CATGCAGGGCTCCTGGCCTTGGCGGAGGGGCTCAGGTCCCCCAGACCCGCACCTCCACCAGCAGGGAGGTGTGTGCACTCCTGCAGGAGCCCCTCCCCGCCCTTTGGAGACCATAGCAGGCACTTTCTAGAATCTTCCAAGTCAGTTTCCCCCAGGCCCTGGTGTTTGCTGGCCTTCGGACAGGTGCAACAATGCCCTTGCCCTAGATGCTGTTGGGTGGCACAGACAAGCTGTGTAAAGAGAAGTTGGAGCCAGGCTGGTACTGAAATCTCGCACAAGGGGTCAGCTTTTCCAGCCTCAGCTGCTCCATCTGAGCAGGGGAACACCCTGGCAGGTGTGCCGAGAGTGACTTTCCTATCCTGCACCTGCCCGACGCCCATGGGGCCTGGCAAACTCTCCAGCCCTCTGGCGCCTGGGCCTCCCAGGGAGTGGCCGGTGGGCGACTGAGCCTGTCACAGCTTTCCCTGCTGTGCCTGCCCTTTGCCTCTGACTTCCACAGCCAGCCCTGTGGGCCCCAGAACCCAGCCTAGGTACCAGATGCCTCCCTGGAGTAGAAAGTGGTAAAAATACATCGCTTAAAATAGCATCTGCTTCCCGATTTGGAAGAACAATCTACCAGCCCCACCATGCACAGCGCTAATTGATCTGTTTTCTTTGCTCCAATAATGCTTCCTCCACAGGGCAGCGCTGTCCCCTCCCCGCTCCTGGCTGTGGCTCCCAGCCCTGAAGCCAAAAATAGCCCCATGCAGATGGCCAGGCCCCTGGCCAGGGTTTCTCTCCTCTCACCTTGGGGTCACCCCTGGCAGAGCCCCAGGGCTTCCTCAGGGTGTGGGCAGGCAGACACAGGGAGAGGTAGCCCCATGTCCAGAGCCCGTGTATAGAGATGTGACGTCTCTGGCAGGCCCTGTGCTGGGCTGGGCTGGGACCTGACACTGCCGGGCTATGAAGGAAGGCACACGGTATGGTCCCTGAAGGAGACCCCTGGGCGATCTCTGGGCTTTGCGTGTGGACACAGCCAGGGAAAGAGGGGTGACTGTACCCCAGAGGGCTTCCGGGAGGAGGCAACTTTCAGGAGAGCCTCTGCAGAGGAGAAGGGGCAGGGTACTCATCACAAAAGCAGGTGAACGTATGCAGGGGCACCTGGGAAGCAGGGACCCCAGGAAGAAATGGGAATCATTCAGGTTTGCTGAAGTAGCCTGGAATTTTGTGCTCCAGAACTGGAGGAGGCTGCTTTAATGTTATTGCACATGGGTTTTATATTGTTTTTGAAAGCCAAAGTTGCATTCTGAATCCCGAGTGGCAGGGTTGGGGTATCCTGGTCTTGCTGTGTGTTCTGCGCGGGGGAGCCCATGGGCACAGCGGATCTCAGCCCCTGGGGACACATTCTGGGTTCTCTTGGCCAGAGCTGGCGGTGCTAGGAGTGGAGCCACAAGAGAGGGTCACTTGGGGTGCAAGGTCAGTGGACGCGTTGGCACCTCCCTGGATGGTAATGGCCCTGTACACAGGGCCCGCACCTCCCCCGTGCACAAAGTGTGGGCTGAGCCACTGTAGGGCATCTGAGTGACCATCTCCATATCTCCTGTTACCTGGTCATTTGTGTGCATCAGAGGGACACGGGGCTGGACCCCAAGAGCTCCCGAGAGCTGGAGCTATATGACCAAGCAACCCAATATCAAAATAGAATTGAAGCTGGGTGTTGGGGGACTTGCCTGTAATCATAGCATGCAGGAGGCTGAGGCAGGGAGATTGCTGTGAGTTCCAGGCCAGGCTGGAACATAGCAAGACCTTGTCTCAAAAATAACAGAGTCATGTTGAGTGACACCTCAGCATAGAGAATAAGAGACACACAGCTGTGTCCTTAGCAGGCCTGTACCTAAATCCAGCCCTTGGGTATTCACATAGCGACTTCCTTCCAACCACAGGGTGACAATCACTGTCTTCCACCACTCGGTCGCCACTGGCACCGAGTCCTGTGACCGCTGTGCCCCACGTGCTGTGATGAGGCTGGTTTCTCCCGGACACGCCCGATGGCCCAGTCGCACCCTGGGATGCTCGTCACAAGTCCCTGTTGAGGGACACCCCAGCATCGATGTGGGTCCCTCAGAGTTGTCAAGGAGCCCACGGAAACAGAGGCAGTGGCTCTGTGTGCCTGGGTGGCCTTGCTAGAGTGCTTCTGGGATGGAAGGGGAAAGCTGGGATGGAAGTGGAAGCCTGACTGCGGCTGGGGATGTGACCCCACCAGACAGGAAACATCTCTGTCCTGTGATTTCCAGCACTAGTTTTTATGACTCCACTGCACGGTTTCTGAGCACAGACTGTAAAAGGGTCAAGGGTGCCTGGGCAGGGGCAGAGGCAGGTGTCACAGGGGGCTGACCCATCTCCCACACCTGCCAGCTACGAGCTCGTGATCCTGGTGATCATGGTACTCCTCCGCCCACCTGCGCAGACGTGTGGCTGTGAGCACGGGCGTTTATTATTAAGCACACATTCAAGTTTCTTTATTCAGTTGTTAAACTTTGGTGTTATTTCTTAAAATAATAAGTTAAAATGCCCAGAAGGAAGTCTTGTTGCTTTACACATTGAGTTTATGTACATTTTTATCAGTGGCCCTAAACAGCCCCCTCCACTCAGCCCCGGCAGCCAGCATGACCCAGCACGTTGCTTAGATCAGGGGTGGTGAACCTGTGGCATGCGTGCTGTGCAGGCCCTGGGCATCGCTGGAAGCTTTGAAAGGTTCGCCACCCCAGGCTGGGTGATACCATGGGCCAGGGCTGTGCCCTACTTGTGACAAATATGCCACAGTGATGTCAGTGATTAGAAACGGGGCCACTCCGTACGAGACAGTGGAGGGTTCCGAGCTGTCTTTGTGATTTTTCTATGAATAAGAAATCACTCTAAAATAGAAAAGTTTACTTAAAACATGGCCAGGTGCAGAGAGCATGCCTGTAACCCCAGTTCATCGGGAGACTGAGTGGGAAAGGCGGCACTGGGCAGCAGCGGGCCCGTGAGTGAACGGTGGTGGCAGAAGCCAGGGCCAGCAGAACAGCATTGGCCCAGCGTGCACAGAGCCAACAATCATCAGCCAGTTAGTGCCCTGCTTCATCCCCTGCAAGTCATCCCCAGGCTCAGGTCCTGACCTGGCCCCTCCTGTCTGGCTGTGTGACCCTAGCAGTTTGCCTCCCCTCTCTGTGCCTCAGTTTCCCCATTTAGCAAGCAGAGACAATAGCATAAAGAGAATTCCCCTCCAGAGTTCCTCGGGGACAATCAGCTGTGCTCATGGTCCTGCTTCCTGAGCGCTCACTTGGTGTCAGGCACAGCGGGAAGGAAACAAAGAAGCTGAGGTCATGTGTGGGGATGGAGTGTGAGCCTGGCCCCATGCTGCAAGCTCACTGCCCTCGCATCCGTCCATCCATTTATTCATTCATCCATTCATCCTCTCATCCACCCGTGTGGAGAGCCCCAGCTTATGCCAGGCTTGGGGCCCTGCAGGGCAGACACGAGGACGAGGTGACTCAGAGGTGGCCCTGTCCTAACAGCTGACACTTGCGAGGCGTCATGGAAGTGAGAGATGAGAAGGAGCCAGGGGTTTGTGGCTGTCCCTAACCTGACCCTTCCACACGGAATGGCTGGGACCAAGGACGCTGGGCCTGCTGCAAGCTGCTGCCCTGTACCAGGGAGGCATTTTTATCTGCCCCTGGCTCTGTGACTGCCCCTGCTGTGTGGTCAGGGAAACCCTGGGCAGCCTAGGGAAGCAGGAAGCGGAAGTGGAGAGAAGCAGAAGTGGAGAGACGGGAAAGTGCCCGGCCGCGTCGTGAGTGCTACAGGTCCCTGACCCTGACGTATGGCTCCAGGCCAGGCCCATGCGACTTCCCGGGGGAGGCTGTGAGCTGGCGGTGCAGTGTGGAGAGCATCCTGTCCACCTCTTCACAGCACCTGTGGCCACTTTCAAAGCAACAAGATGCCTGGTCACTGTGGGAGGACACCATCACTGTGAATGCCCTGCAGGAACGTGCGGTGTGTACACAGCGGGTAGACACTGGCGTCCCCATGTGACCAAGCCACCAGAGCCTCAGCCAGGGCAAGGCCACGGTCACATACATGACCCCCGACCTGTGCAGCCTTAGGACCCATCTGTGCTGCCCCAGGACGTTGTGATCACATGAAGCAGCTGACCTCCTTCTCCATGCCGCCATGAGGCCCCCAGGACCACGTGGCCGCCCCAACGGGTGCACCTGGGACTGGGAAGCCAGGCCCCTCATATCCCAGAGGTGGGGTACACCAAGTGTCCAGATGTGGACAGTGACGGCTTTGCGGGGTGCCAGTGGCATCCCTGCATTGTGTCCCAGCATCACATGGCCAACATCCCAGGCCCTCGGACCTTCACTGTCCCCACGCCGTGGTCTCTGTCTCCCATCTTTTCATGTGGATGTCAGCCGCTGGACTCAGGGTCACCCCGAGTGCAGGAGGGTCTCATGTCGACACCTGTGACCATGCCAAAGACCCCATTCTAGATAAGGTCGCATTTCCAGGCACAGAGGTGGGGTACAGATTCGTCTTTCTGGGGACACTGCCCGGCCCATCTTGGGGGACCCCCTGAGCCTTCAAAGCTCTGCTTCCTTGATGCCTCCCAGCCCCTGAGTTCCCAGGGGCCCCTGGGCCAGCACTGTCCTCTGCCTCTGGTGGTCCCTGGCCCCATCACCCTGGCCCACTCGCCCTTGTCCTGCTTTGCTCCCGGGAGCATGGATGGTCCCCAAATCCGCTTGAGACATATGGGTGACCTGCCTTCTGTCCGGGCTCCCCAGGCAGATTCTTGCCCTGGCAGAGACCTTGGTCCTTAGTTCAGGGCAGAGCCTCAGCCTCAACAGTGTGGGACATTGGGGCACCCCACGAATGGGTGAGGGAGTTGCAGGGCTGGTGGGGCCACTGGAACCACCCACTGAACGCCCCGCCCCAGTTGCCCTGTCACCTGCAGCCGACCTCACACCTGCTCTGTGTTTCAGATCATCCTGGTGAGCTCCTCACTCAGTGACCGAGAGCAGAGCCTCTTTCTGAGCACCGATGAGGGCGCCAGCTTCCAGAGGCAGCCCATCCCCTTCCTGGCAGAGACCCTTCTCTTCCACCCCAAGGACGAGGATAAGGTCCTGGCTTACACCAAGGAGAGCAAGGTAGGAGGGCGCGGGCCCTATGTGTGGGGTTGGGGAGCACCAGCCCTGCAGGGTGAGTGCCCAACTGGACAGATGTCGGCATGGAAGTCCAGCACCCTGGACTGGCACAGCAGCCTCTTTGGGGCTGGGAGACACTGAGCTCCTAGGTACCCTTCTCTTTGCCACCAGTGTCAGCATCTGGAGTCACCCCACCCACAGCGTGCGGGAGCCAGGCCGGGTAGAGACTGGATCAGGAAGTCACAGATGAGGATGGGGTCCCTTCTGCTCCTCCCTCACCCTGGCTGGAGGGTCTCTTCCTCCACTTCTGGAATGCTGCCCACGCCCCTGCCAGCATTGCCAGGCCTTGCCTCTGCCCAGAAACAGGAGAGAGGATGGTCCAGGGCAGGTCAACAGTCCCCACTGTGAGCTGTGTCCCCTGGACCCTGAAGGAAAGTGGGCACCTTCCTGTGGGCCAGCGTCCTGCAGTGTGTGGCACTTCCTCAGGGCCAGCTCCAGGGAGGAAAGAGCGCTGCCTGGGGTGTGGGGAGGATGACCAAGCCCAGTACTGAAGGCTGAGGCAGGAAGAGGCACCAGAACGGGAAGACAGGGCCTTTATGAGTTCCTGCAGCCTCGGGACACCTTCACCCTCCCCAAAGGCATCCTCTCACTGTTCCAGAGGCCAGAAGTTGGAATTCGGTGTCCCTGGGCTGAAGTCAGGGGCTTGCAGGTCGGGTCTCCTCCTCAGGCTCCAGGGGACAATGGCCTCGCCCTCCCCAGATCCAAGGGCTGCTGTGTCCCTTGATGTGAGGCTGCCTCACACCACCTACAGTGCAGCACCTCAAATCCTCTGCCTCATCTCCACAGCACTTGTGTGTATGCTCCTGCGTGCGGTGGGCACATGTGTGAACTTCCCCCCATCCCCTGGTCTATAGGGATTCACAGGGTTGTGTTCAGCCCCACCCCCGGAACACTCAGAGTTAACATCGCGGCTTCACTGAGCCTTCTGTAAAGTCCAGATTTGGGTCCTGAAAAGTAACTGTCCCAGGTTCGAAGGCGTTGACACAGTGATTTTTGAGGACAGGTGCTTTCATCCTCCCCTGTGCTCAATCGGAGGCTTGCAAAAGGATGAGGAGAAGACCCGCCCCTGGGGACAGAAACTGGGCCCCTGCCAACTGCGGCTGTGTAGCCAGGGACCAGGAGACACCCAGCCCCTCCTCCACCCTCCAGTCTTTTGTTGGTGCCTTGCATGGACTGAGGAAGTCTGTGGACACCGTCACTGTGGGTCAGCCCCCAGGCCAGGAAGGGTACAGCAAGCCAGTGGGGTCTGCAGGGTAAACAGCAGCCAGCTGACTGGCAACCTTCCTTGTGCAACCCCAGGCTAGTGTGGGGCCCTTTCTGCTCTTTGTGCTACTGTTTGATTTTATCTGTGCCCTACACACACACTTAGGCTAAGCTCCTTTATGGCAGAGATGGTGTTGGATTTTTTTCACCATTTTTGTCCCAACTGCTTGGTTGAAAATATATGCTGATTGGTTTGCTGGCTGGTCAGATGGATGGGTGGACAGACGGACAGGTGGGTAGGGGGATGGGTAGATGTATGTATGTATTGTATGGATGGATGAATAGAGAGGTAGATGGGTGCAGGACTGAATGGATGGGCAAATGGATGGATGGATGGATGGATGGATGGATGGATGGATGGATGATGAATGGGTGGGTAAATAGGTGGAGAAGTGGATGGATGCATATTTGAATGGATGGGTAGATGATGGATAAATGGAAGGATGGATAGATGGATGGATGGATGGATGGAGAGGTGAATCGATGCATGACTGACTGGGTGGATGGATAAATGGATGGATGGATGGATGGATGGAGAGGGGAATCGATGCATGATTGACTGGGTGGATGGGTGGATGGATATAGAGGTAGATGGGTACATGATTGAATGGATGGGCAAATGGATGGATAAATGAATGGATGGATGGATGGATGGATGGATGGATGGATGGATGATGAATGGGTGGATAAATAGATGGAGAGGTGGATGGATGCATATTTGAATGGATGGGTGGATGATGGATAAATGGAAGGATGGATGGATGGATGGATGGAGAGGGGGGAATCGATGCATGATTGACTGGGTGGATGGATAAATGGATGGATGGATGATGAATGGGTGGATAAATAGATGGAGAGGTGGATGGATGCATATTTGAATGGATGGGTGGATGATGGATAAATGGAAGAATGGATGGATGGATGGATGGATGGATGGAGAGGGGGGAATCGATGCATGATTGATGGGGTGGATGGATAAATGGATGGATGGATGGATGGATGGATGGATGGAGAGGGGAATAGATGCATGATTTGGTGGATGGATAAATGGATGGATGGATGGATGGATGGATGGATGGATGGATGGAGAGGGGGGAATCGATGCATGATTGACTGGGTGGATGGATAAATGGATGGATGGATGGATGGATGGATGGATGGAGAGGGGAATCGATGCATGATTGACTGGGTGGATGGATGGATGGATAGAGAGGTGGATGGGTGCATGGTTGAATGGATGAATAAATGGTTGGATGGATGGATAAGGAGGTAGAAGAGTGCATAGATGGATGGACTCCAGGACTGGAGTTCATGAGTAAATGGATAGATGAATGCATGTATAGGTGAATATTGTGGTCCATAGCAGTGAGGATGGATGAGGAGTGGGGTTGGGGTGGGTGGGTTTATGAATAGATGAGCCATAGATGGGAGGTGGGTGGGTAACTGAATGGACAGATGCTGGCTGATTAAATAAATGGATGAAAGATGGATGACCAGTTTCTCCCAGAAGTAATCAACCTCCAGATGGAGACTCCTGGCTGATCTGGGTCCCGGCTGCCAGCAGAACCTGGCCTCCCTGCTGAGTCTGCCTGCTGTCAGGATCTCCCCTCTCCCCAGCCTTGTGGGCTCCTCTGCACCCCAGTCACCTCCTCGGGGACAGCATTGCTGCTGGGTGTTAATAGTGCTACTTAGCTTTCCGTGTAATTAGACCAAAGCACAATCATGGAGACTTATTTTCCTGCAGAAATTGACTGCATTGCAATTACTCTTTAATTTATGGTGCCCTGAAAAATTAATGGAGCTGAAATCTTGGTTATTTTCCTCAGTTCTTTTCTATGTCTACAAGGAAAGAAAAAGGAGAAAAAAGGCTTGGTGGCAGTTTTAAAAGGAAAAGCAATTTGGGGGAATTAATAAGAGTGACAGCAGGGCTTTAATTTGGGAGGAACCTCATAGTTTTTCAGAGCTTTCTAATTCCCAAGAAGCTGGGTGGAACAGCGTCAGCTTTGGGCTTTAGCAGATCTGATGTATTAGGCAGTGCCTGCTACCATGTGCCAAGTAACACACAGCCCTAGGACTCACTCACTGACTGGGGCCACGTGCCCTGGACATAGTCCTTGGTCTCCATGGCAGGGGCAGGTGGGCCAGAGGTGGCTCCTGACAACTGGGCTGCATAGGCTACTCCATGCGCTGAGCCTCTGCAGACATAACTCACCAGCAGCCTTAGCTCACCAGCCTTGACCTGCACACCCACACCATTGACCACGGTGAGTCACATGCGTCACCAGAGTCCACCGGGTGGCTCCGTGCTGCTCCCCAGGATCTGCAGACTCGCTGACCAGAGCCCTCCTCTCCCGCCCACTGGCCCCTCCTCCCTGATGCCTACTGAGCTCTGCAGAGACCTTCCTCCCAGCCTCAGGCTGCCCATGACCTCCTCCCGGTTCCCCCTTCCTGTGCCGGCACAATCTGGGGCCTTCTGGCCCCTTAACCTGAGGTCTGCAAGGCTCCTTGGGTGCTTTCCTTCCAAGGATCAACCAACTCAAGGGCCACCTGAGGTCAGGAGCCTGTGAAACCTGGCAGTCCCTTCCCAAGCCAGCCCACTGCGGATGGAGCCACAGTACCCACCAGCCTGTTTGCTCTGTGCCCTGCTTGCTGGCAGAGCTGTGGCTGCCCCTTCTAAAAGAGACTCACCTTCCTAGTTCATTGTGCTTTATTGTGCTTACTCTCCATGAAGAATCTCTGCTACTTCCCAGCATGGTGAGAAACTGACCAGAGTCTGGGAGTGCCTTCCAGAAAGGAAGTGGGTACGCCTGTCAGTAGCAGACAGGGAGGAAGAAGCATGCTTGGCTAGGGGCCTAACAGAATGGTCACAATGTATCACTGTCCAGTATAACTTCGGAGCAATAATGTAATCATACAGGGAAAGAAAGGATGGTCTTGCCGCCTGCAGTATCTGTGCCATGGAAAAGGTCAGTGGCGGTGCCATGGTAGTGGGTGTGGGGTGTCACTAGGGAAAGGGTCCCCATAATTTTCACTGAGAGGTGCAGACTTCATGTTGGCTGCTGTGAATATTAGCTGATACCTGAGCTGCCAGCAAGACCTGAAGCTTGAGCACCACATTTACAGCCCTCTCTGACCTCAAACTGCAAGGCCAAGAAGAGACAAGACTTCTCCCAAGGAATGGAGCAGTTTTATGAGCAAGGAGAATGTTCAGCTTCAGCACGTGTTCACTTTGGCTCTGATCATTTACATCCTTCAGGGCAAATGGGTATTTCAGCAGAAAAGGAACTTGGCCTGCAGGATCTGGTACTTTCTAAATTGCTAGTAGAATTAGACCCTCAAGGACATCTTCTAGAGCTAGCTAGCCCACTGTGTGAAAGTCCAGCTCTGCCCATCAAAAAGATGGACATCAGGAGTCCACTGGATCTACCTGTTACTGGGGCAAGATTCTGGTCCTCTTGGCCTGGCTAGGGATGCTAGGGTGCAGAGTCCAGCTGCTGCCTTCCCTCAACCCCCTCTCTTCCCCACAGTCCTGAGCTGGAGCAGGTGCCCATGACCTGTTGGCTACCAGAAATGTCCCAAGAGGCAGGACAGTGCCTTGGCTTTGGGCTGTAACAGATCTTGTGTAATAGGCAGAGCCCACTGCAGTGTGCCTTTTGCCTCTCTGAACTCCAGATTGCAACCCTCTGAGAAGGAATCTAGCTGCAAGGGAGTCCAGGCAGTCTGCACTTTCCAGCTGAACAGGGCAGCATAGTGCCCTGAGCAATGGGAGAGTGTAATGAGTGCCTCCTCCTGCACCCAGCTGCCACCTTGATGCTCAGGAGGAGCTGCCGCCCCAGGCACCCCTGAGCAGCACCCTGCCATGCCTTCCCTTTGGCCCCACCTGGTGCCTCACCTGGTCTCTTTCTCCCTCACCTTCCTATCAAGGCACACACTCTGAGCACTGTCCCTCTGGTGCTTTCTGAGCCATACTCCTCCTGCTGCACATCCCTGTGTAACTTTCAGCTGTGCTGACAGACAGGGGTCTCCCTGGTGTTTATTCTTATTTATTTGCTCATGTTTGTCATTTATTAGGCAGAAATGTTCTGTTTCTACAGCAATTGATGGTGCATAGTGAAATCACCTTCCCTGAGACTATATTGGAAAGGCTCCATGAAGTCGGGGGACCGGTGTCTCAAACGCTAATACATCAGTGATGACAAAGATAATGCCACCCACTAATGGGGAGGCTTTGATACCAACCTCCTGAAGCTGATAGCCACAGCCTCTGTTTTATTCCCCAACTGGTTTCTGGTTGTGCAGTGTCCTCCCTATTTCTGGATGGGTAAACTGACATGAGGCAGAAGGGGCCTGGCCTGGGTCACCAGATGATCCAGAGAAGGGCTGGAGATGCCTAGCCATCCTTCCCAGAGGGCTTCTCTGCCACTAACCTGGGGCTGAGTGCAGGTTTATGTGGAGAGAATTCTGCTGTGACCCACTGCTGTGTGCCTGGGAGCTACTTACTCTCCTCTCCATGCCTCAGTTCTTCCATCTGTAGAGAGGGAAAACCTCTTGTCTTGCGGGCGGTTTGTGAGTGCAAGCATTTGCACATCTCTGTGTTAAATGAGGCAGCATTTGATGTGCTTAATTGAGCATTTGCTGTGGCCAGGTGCTTGCCACGGGCATGTTCTGAGCACTTGCCTCATGCTGGGCCCTTCCACATGCTGGACGAGGAGTGTGTGTTCCTTGTCCTCTAGGGGCCCATGTTCTGGGGAAGAAAGCTTTGCTTAAAAACCCCTTAAATAAGGCCGGGGATTTAACTCAGTGACATAAGCACCTGCTTTGCAACTGCATGGTGGTGAGTTCGATCCCCGCTACAAAAAAAAAAAAAAAAAAAAAAAAATCCCTTAAATAGCACAGATGAGAATTTCCTGTTATGTTCCCCAGAGCAGGTGTCACACAAATAGTCTACCACCTGTTTTTATAGGTAAAGTTTTATCCGTACCCAGCCATGCCCACATGCTTGGGCCTGATCTCTGGCTGCCTCCTTACCCCACAGGCTGGGTGAGTGGTTGCTTCAGGGCCTGGACACTTCCCCTCTGGTCCTTTGCAGAACAAGCTCACCGAGCCTACCCTAGGGCCAGTGGTGCTCATTCATTCAGAAAACACTCCAGGTGCATCAGCAGCAACCAGGGAGCTGCTCAGCTTCAGCGCAAGGCGGGCAGGTCGGGTGTCAAAGTGTGCGGTGAGGCAGGTGAAAGCCCCCTGGCAGAAGCTGGAGTGTTCCTTCCCAGTCCATGTGCAGTGGCCCTGAGCTGTGGTGCTGGGGGACCTCCAGCAGTGTCAGTATTTCTGGGGTACCCTGAGCTTGTCCCTGCCTGACACAGCAGTGGTGGGGCAGAGGCAGGGCCCCTCCCAGCTGTGGTGGGCCGGAGTAGGAAGGGGGAGGAGGAACAGGAGGAGAGGATAAGGAGGAGTGGAGAGAGGAGGGGGAGAGAAGTGAATGGCAGCTTCTGTGAGTGGGGGCTGCCAAGAGCAAGAGCTGTGCCCCCAAACCCTGGCTGGCCACTGTCTTGCCTTCCTGACACTGCCAGTCTGCCATTCCGGAGACAGAGCAGACCATACTTACCCCATTGTGCCCCCTGCCCTCCCCATCGTGACCCCAAACAGAGGCAGAGGACCTGTCCCCCACTCAGGAGGTGCTCAGGCCCCAGTCTGCCTGTGACACCGGCTGTCCTAGGGCAGGATGCAGGGGCCCTAAAGAGTGGTGGTTAATCAGCTTGGGATCAGCGTGCTGGCCCTGGCCCCTCCGGGCACCTGGTAAGGCCTCGAGCTGCATCATAACCTGGTGCAGGGCTCCCATGGGATACAAGGACATCTGACTGCTCGGGCCTCTCGTAGAGCCACCAGTGCCACCCTGGAGCCCTCCTGACCTGGTCTGATCCCTGTCATCTCTAAGAGGCCCCCAAACCCCAAAACAAACAAATCTGAGGATGAAGCCTCCCACTCACTAACTTATGCGCCCACAGTGACACCAGGCTGTGGGCTCACACTCCTGAAGCACCTCCCGCTTCCCGGGCCAGCTGCCCTTACGTCCTCCTAGGGTCTGGGAACCTCGTGCAGAGGGACATAATGTGGGCTTCTGCCAAGGCACCAGGAGGACTGGAGGAGGAGGAGGTATGCCCATGAAGGGGCTTAGCTGCTGCCATGGCTGGTGTGAAGAGGAAGGGAGAGCTGAGGCCATCTGTCCATGCGACTGAGGCCCAGACCTCACCGCTCAGGACTCTTGGGCCTCTGTGCACCATAATGCTTGGCGCCAGGCTTCTCCTGGGCTCCAGGACCTGGCGCTGCCCCTGGGGCCAATGCTGTGGAGGCACCGGGCCATAGAGCAGGCAGGGAACTGCACAGGAGCTCAGAGAAAGGTAGTGCCCGGGCCTCCCCATGGCCGTTCAGAGAGCCAGGGGCAAGCATACCTGAGCGGGTCCACATGAGCCAGCTGCTCTGGAGCCGGGAGCCCATGTGTCCTCACGCCAGGCTGGAAAGAAGTGTGTGGACCCTGGCATGAGGTCCCGGTGGGTGAGGGTACCTCACAGACGGCACAGAGGCTCAGCCAGGGCCTGGGTTCAGAGGCTTCTTGGTGACCCTGGGAGGCATCCTGTGGGAGGGCAGCCCCTGGGTTTTCCCACCTGCTTCACAGAAGAGGGGGAGGAATGGGTCCCCTGTGGCTTCTGATGTCCCCTCTGTTCCCAAGGTGCTACATTTTGGGGCCCTGTGTCTCACAGCCCCCATAGCTGTCCATGGAAATGTGGAGTGATTGGGTCCCCTGCCGGGTGGGGTAAGGATGGCACAGAAGGGTCTCTTTCCTGCCCTGCCCCATGCCCACGCCCAGTGCCCACACCCCTCCTGCCAGGGCAGCCCCGGTGCCTCTCAGACTGTGTCACCAGCTGGCCTCATGACCAGCTGACTGTGGGCAGCAGTTTCCAGGCCCTCATGGGCCCAGCAGCTCCCCTGGGCGTCTCCAAAGGTCACTCTGGTACAGGATGTCCTGGCAGAGCCCCTCCTTCCCATGACCTGGGCACAGCCCCAAGGGTACCTCCTTGTCCCCCACACCTCCAGGGCCTGCCCAACAGGCCTCTCACTGCCCCTTCTTCCTGTCTACTCCTCTGTGGCTCTAGCTGGCCCCAGATCGCCTCCCCTGGCTCCAGCCCCCGACATGTAGCTGGGGTGATCCTGGTCCCCGCTGACCACGGCTCCCCAGTGCCTCACTTCTTCCTGCATCGTCCGGGGTTTCAGGCAGGCACGTGGCATCGCACCTAGGGTCTGGTGCGGAATGGGAAATGCTCAGTGCCCAGGACAAACCCTTGTCATTGTTCTCCGGTCTCGGGACCTGTCGCTGTGTTGGATGTGAGCTATTGATGCCACACACACACACACACACACACACACACACACACACACACACCTGGCAGCTCAGGGGCCCTTGTCCAGGGCAGGAAGACATTCAGGCCCTCGTGGGGGACAGCATGGGGCACTGGGAGGAGACAGGAGCAGGGGAGCCCCAAGGTCGACCCTGGAGTGTGATATCAGCGGACCTCGGGGAGCCCAGCACATGCACTGCGGCTTCCCCGCTCTCCTATGGGTATTGGGTGTTGTGCAGTCCTTCCTGGCACCAGGCCCCTGCACATCTCCACCGGGAAGCCCTTCCCCTGCTCCTGCAGCTGATCTCGGGGGTCAGGCTGGCTGTGCATGGAGCCCCCTTTTAAACACCCCCTTAGCACCAGTCGGCTTCCCTGAGTGTGCACAGTTGCTGTGGGCCTGGCTGCATGGCCAAGGCCCCCCGGCACCTGTCACAGCAGGTGGCTTCATCTCAGGACTGGCTCCTTCCTGGCATCATAATCGGACTTTGTTTTGTTTTTCTGCCCTGAAGCTCTATGTATCGTCGGACCTGGGGAAGAAGTGGACGCTTCTGCAGGAACAAGTGACCAAAGACCATGTGTTCTGGTGAGCACCATCCCCCTTCCTGCAAGTCCTCCTCCCAGGGGACCCCAGAAGACTGGTGGCTCCAGCAGGTGCACTGGAAACCCTCAGGGACCCAGGGCTGAACACCCTGAGACCTGGGGCCACACAGCCTTGAGAGGCCCCCCACCCCGGGGCCTCTGCTTCCTCCTGGTGGAAGGAGGTGTGGCATGCGCAGGCTGTGGGCACAGAGCCTGTGGGAGGAGACCCTCAGCCCCAGGGTAGCCTCGGCCCTGCCCACCCAGAGCCTGGGGTCCCCCCAGCGGGGGCACCCCTGTCCAGCCCTGCTGGGGCCAGTGAAGCAGTGTAGACCAAGCAGGGGTTTGCTGGAGGCCTGAGCAAGGTCTCTGGGGCTGGCACTGGACTGCGGACCCATGCAGCAGGGCAGGAACTAGAGCTGGGCAGGGGAGCAGATCCCTCACCATCCCCGGCATGGCCACAGCCTGCTTTCTGTCCCAGCTCCCTTCCGAGACGTTCGGCTTCTTGATGCTCTTCCTACCTCACCCTCATGCACACACAGGTGTGCACACTCCACACGCAGGCATATATGTGCAGTCACATCTGCTCTCACTCCTAGCACCCATGCGCCCCATTACCATCACACTGGCCTCCATGCTGGCCGCAGTCCTGTCCTAGGGGACAAGCATGTAGAAACAGCCCTGCACTTTCTCACTCCGCCGGCCCCTTGTGCTAACCATGGCCAACCCTGCTTCCTGCCTTCTCCGGGGACTGAGGGACTTTGTCAACTCTGAGCTGAGACAAAGGACCCACACCCACAGTTTAAAGGAAGAGAAGTTTACTTGGCTGATGTTTCAGGGGTTTAGCTCATAGTCAGCTACTCCAAGGCAGAAGCAGAGTGGAAGGGCCAGGGTGGAGGAGAGCCACCCACGTCGTAGCAGCCAGGAAGCAGAGAGGGAGGAAGGGAGGAGAACGGGTCCTTCCAGACCACACCCCAGTGACCACCTCTCACCCAGCCTCACCTCTGACAGCGTAGTGAGCAATGAGCTCGTCCACGGATGAACCGACTGGTGAGGCCCTCACCCCGTGACCAGCTACCTCCCGAGGCCCCCTCTAACACACGAGTATGTGAGGAGCGCTAGGTCTGTGCCATGGCACCTCTCCTCTGGGCACTGACTCCTGGCTTCTGTGCCCCCTGCTCCCAGGGAGAAGTGATGGTGTCTCTCCATGGCTTGTCCATGGGTGGGCCCAAGTCCTTCCTTGGGCCAGAGTGCCACCATCAGTGGCTTTGTCACAACTGTTAACAGTGGGAGCGGCCAGGTGAGGGGACCTCTGGGCCCTGAGGGCTCCCAGGAAGTAGAGACCAGGGGCAGGAAGTGGTGTTGCTGAGCCTCCGGGGCCCAGGGAACAAAGTGCCACAGAGCTGCGACAGTCCCAGGCCAGGCTGCAGGCCCTCCTGGCCCTGGTGGCCTTACAGAAGCTATTCTGGTCAGAGAGAGAAACCAGCGCACCACTGCTGCAAGTGAAGCTGGCAGTAATTCAAACATGCCGTTAGCTCCCGCAAATCAAATCGCTCCTCCCCTCTTTTCCCCAAGCACTCCTTGTTATGCCCGAGAGATAACGGCACGGGGCCCAGGATCTTCCTGGAATATGGGGACAGTCATGATGGCCCCAGCTTGCTTGCAGTGAATGGTGCTGTTTTGACAGCTTTTCCCAGGAGCTCTTTGTCCCTGCACTGACAGCACAAATCGCCAGGCCGGATCATTAAGCAGGCAGCTCATTAGGGTGCCTGCAGGGGTGCAGGAGCCCTGGACCTGTTGCCTTCAGCACCCACGTGCTCCCACCACCCCCTAGCGGCCGGCTTTGTGTGCTGGTGGCCCGCCAGGCTCTGGGCCGCCATACCAAGGGTCACTGGATTCACACGGCAGCCCCGGGTCTTCCTGTCCTGTGACGAGGCAGGACACGCATCCCCAGTTCTGCTGTCGTCAAGCAGTGGCCCTGACGTTGGCCCTCTTCTGACTTGGCAGGAGACCCTGTCTGGGGAAGAAGGAAGTGGAGGGGGGAGGGTTGTCCCCGTGGTACTCTCGAGGGCCCCCAGAACCCTGGGCACCAGAAGTGGGGGTCACTGCTGTGTTCCCGGCTTCCTTCTCCTGGGCTGCAGGTGCCCATCCTCCCCTGTGACCCTGTTTCAAGCCAGCTCCCAGGGCGGGGGACCTCAGCAGACACGAAGGCCTCCGGCCAGGGCTCCCTGGCTGCAGGAGGGCTCAGTCACCAGCGAGGGTCTCTGGGCAGGGACCAGGCCTCAGGGCCACTGTGGGTGAGTGAGTGGGTGAGTGGGTGGGTGAGTGGATGAGCAGGTTAGTGAGTGGCTGTGTTGATGATGGTTGAGTGAACCACAGAGTGACTGAGGAAGAGCCTGTGACAGGCCAGGTGCTGCTCCCCACTAGCAGAGAAGGCTGCAGCCTGTGTAGTGTGACCCTGGGTGCTGTGCGGGCTGTGGGTGCCCTCTGTGGGTGGGAAGCATGGGCAGGAGGCCCTGTGGGAGCTCAAGAAGCCAAGCTGCTGGCTCCCAGGCTGGAATCCACACTCACACGGATGGAGGCCCAGAAGCACAGCTCCCCTGCCTGGTGATGGGATGGATGGTGGGCACTGGGGCTCCGGTCTCTGACACCCATGATCTCCCGGGAACCCCTTGGGCTGCCCCGCTCCAGCATACCTGCAACTGCACTGGGGCCCCTGGGCACTTAGAAGGGCATAACAGGCTGGACTGGCACCAGGCACTAGCTGTGTCCCTGTGAGGCTGGCACAGCCATGGGGACAGCGATGCTCCTGTCCACAGTGCCACATGACCTGTGGCAACAGGAGAGAGGCTCAGCTTGCTCCTGGGCAGGGCCCCAGAGAGGCTGATCTGGCCAGTGACTGGCAAATGCGCAGTCATGCTGGCAAGGACACCCGGTACACAAGTGGGACAGGCTCCTGAAACTCGTGACTTCTGGAGCATCTTGGCCAGTCTCAGCGGCTGAGGCACCTGGCGGGCAGGTGGCACCCAGTTACATGTGGTCCAGGGAAGGCTGGACAAAAATTCACAAGGCATGAGGAAGGCCACCCAGCTCCCGTGGATCACACATACCTCCAGGCTGTCTCCAAACCAAAGGCCGGGAGGGGCACAGCAGAGACGGGGCCAGGTCCCAGTGGAGCATCCTGGCCAGGAGCTGCCACCCCACAGCGTCCTGTGAACAGGGCTGTGCACTCGGCCAGGGAGACCTTGGCAAGCTTTGGTCACATCACAGCACCCCTGGTCCCCTGTGAGGTGCACATGGCACCTGCCTGCCCCGGCACAGATAGGACCTGGGACATGTTGGCGGGGCAGTGATGGAGGCACAGACACAGCAGCGCCTTCAGCCCTCGGAGGGGCAAGGCAGCCCCAGGGCGCACCAGTTCAGAATCTTCACAGGTCCCGGGGTGGGTGATGACTGCAGCCATCCGAAGGTAACAGGACTGGGTGCCAGCTGAGGTCAGGGCCAGCTGGAATCCGGGGCCTGGTTGGTCTACGCAGCCCTGGGAGGTCACTTTACTCCTCTGGGTTCCTCTGGCTGCAATATTTGGGTGGTATGGGCTGCCCACCTCTGGAGATGGTAGGAAGGACCGCCCACCCCTGGGCTCCAGGGAGGCTGTGTCCTTGGGACCCACGGAGGAAAAGCAGTCCAGGTCCCGGGGCCCCGGGCTGTAGGGGCCACAGTATGCCAGGTCTCAGCGACCTGCTGCCATACCAACCCGGCTTCCCTTCCAGGGCTGTGTCCGGGGTGGACGCTGACCCCGATTTGGTCCACATGGAGACCCAGGACCTTGGTGGAGGTGAGTGAGTGGCACAGGTGTCCCCCATGTCCTGGCCTCTTGGGGCTCTGCCATGCCCTTGATCCCGTCCTGTCCTCAGCGCTGGGCCGGCACGGTGACCTCCCTGTGTTATGATGTGGCGTAATGTTAGATGTGCTTGTTTCCTGCTGGGGATAAATTCAGGTCCAGGGCTCCGCTCCAGTGGAAAACTCTATTAAGAGGGCAATTTGTTCCGGAGCTTGTGCATGGTGTCAGCTGCCCTCTCGGGCCTGCGGGGCTGCCGAGCTGAGGCAGCAGGGGTGCCCCTGGCTTCCCCCCAGGTGCTGTGTGCGCATGGTGGGAAGGCTCTCTGTGGCCTGGTGGAGGGGGAGTGTGGGTGTTCTAGAGCCGTGGAAGGTTCTGGAACATCCAAATTAGAGGGCTGCACATTGAACGTGCATCCTGCAAAATCCTGGGAGCGTCCCCTAGGCAGATCCAGTGCTGTGCCCGGTAGGGATGCAGAGGGGACCAGGAGGGACCCTGGCTTGACGGGACCCCTGCAGGTGGCAGGCCCCAGTGAGGTCTGGGGTGAGGCCTGGGTTTTCCCACCTGTGAAGTGAGAAGAAACTTCCAGCCTGGAAGGTGTCGTCCTGGCTCCACCTTGGGAACCAGGAAAATGGAGCTCAGGGAGGGTCTGGGGGCCTGGGTCACTTGACTCAGGACAGCCGGCCCCTGTGCCCACCTCTGGGGCCACCGCCACATCCAAATGTCCCAGAGCCCAAGGGCAGCACGGGACTCTGGATGGCAGTGGGTGGCTGTGGTCAGGCCATCCCACCAGCCCCCAGCAGGAAGGGGCTCCCTGCCCTCCTCAGCGCTGGGGCCGCTGGCCTCCTCTGCCCTCCAGAGCCTTCAGCCAGGCAGTGATAGCAGGCACCTGCCTCGGCCCGTCCGTCTGGACACAGTGAGCCGGGGACAGTGGGACCCTGTAGGAGGGACCAGACAGATGGACAGTAGATGGAGGGGTGGTGGGCAGATGGGCGCAGGAAGGATGGAAGAGGGGCGGAGGAACGAATGAGTGACAGTAACTGATGGTGACTGACCATGAGTGCACAGCACCACAAACCCCACTCCCAGCCCCCTCTGCCCTGGCAGGACCTCTGGGGCAGTGCCCCTGGGAAGGGCGTGGCCAGGGACCGGACGGCAGCCTGGCCCTGCACCTGATTCCGCCCTGTACCCCATCCCCGAGCTGTCCCCCTGCAGGATGGCGAGAAGGCGCCTGGTCCCCAGAGGACCTGAGCACTGTGGTGGGAGCGAGTGGCTTGGGGACCAGGGACCCCCTCCTCCCACCTCAACCCCACCCCCCCCCCATTCCCCATGTATCGCGACCTCTGGGCCTCATGGTGGACCCAGCACAGGCCCCTGAGCTCCATATAAACTCAGCACAGTGTCCAGATACGCAGCAGTGGCCTAGCGGAGCAGGTGACCAATGTGCTAGACCACAGATGTAAGAAAGGAGGGCTGGAACACAGGCCACCTGCTGGGGTGCACCTGCCCTGCCCACGTGGGGCGGAGCCTGCAGGAGGCGGGACCTGTTCGTGGGGCTCTGTGAAGTGGGGCTCAGGGAGAGGGCTGGTCCCCGGTGTGCTGCCCCCACCCTGTTCAAATGCTGCTCCTCCTTGCCGCAGGCCCTGTGGGGCAGCAGGTGTAACTGAGTCCAGGCCCTTTATATCCAAGCCCCCAAACTGAGGCCAGTGACAGTGACTGACCATGAGCTGCCGGCACCAAACCCCGATCCCAGGCCCCTGCCTGGGCGGAACCTCCTGGGCAGCTCCCCTGGGAAGCCACCGTCCTGTGCAGTGAGACCCGGGCTCCTGCCCACGCCTGTGGCCAACTCTGTCTCCGCAGCCTTCCGCTACGTCACCTGCCAGATCCATAACTGCTCAGACAAGGTGCTGGCAGCCCCCTTCCCCTGGCCCATCGACCGTGGCTCGCTGACTGTGCAGGACGATTACATCTTCCTCAAGGTGAGCTCACGAGGGTCACCCAGAAATGGAGCCATCTGGGGATAAAACAGCTCCTTTGCCTCCAAGGGCCACTGAGCTGGCCTCGGCTGCCCACTCCCATGTGCAGCCCTGCAGGGAGCCTTGCCTTCCGCTGTGGTCCTCCCAGCACTCCTGGCAGGCCTAGGCCTGGCGGTGCCCCCATACGCAAACATTCAGGAGGGCTCCCTAGTGCCCTTCCATGGCGGGCCACCTGGCCACGCCTACCTGTGCCTCTCCCCAGAGCTCATCTGGTCACAGATGGGGCTTGGAGAGGGGAATGCAGCTCCCCTCCCTCCTGTGCTGAGGCCCCAGGTTCCTCCTGCAGGAATAGGGTGCCACCTCCCCCAGGAAGCCTGCCCAGCCCGTCCAACCCCAGGGCAATCCCTGAGCTCCCAGGACCACCAGACACCCAGCACCACGGCACCTACTTGGGGCACAGAGGGCAGGACATCCTGGGGACTGGAATCCCCTCCTCATCAGCTGTGTGCAGCCAGCCCGCTGTGTGGCCAGGCTGTACCCGGTAACTTGTGACCCCTGCGTGGGGCCGCACTGCCCCCAGATCCCCGGATGCAGGTCCCCCACCTGTCCCATGGGGCCTCATCCTGATTTCCAGGGACCTGGGCTCAGAGTGGGGTGCAGGGCCCCCAGGTCACATGGTCCCAGGTCTGGAGCTGGAGCTCACAGCCCAGTAGTGTCCATCCTCTGCCCTGTGCTCCAGGTGCCACCTGTGCACAGTTGGACACCTGGGGACACACTTGGGGCTCCACATGCACAGGGGTGCACACTCGTACACGCACACAGTTGCACACTCGAGCACGTGGGAGACTTGGGCTACAGGGCACTGTTCCTTGGTGACCATGCCTTTGCCTGCCCTCTTTCTGTCCCCCAGGCTCCTCCGAAGAGTGGACCTGACCACGTCCACGGTGCCATTTGTTTTGGGGTCAGGGAGCAGGGCTGTCACATACGTGGCGGGCACTGGCCACCTGGATGGCACTCTATGGCTCTTGCCTGATTTTTCATGCCAAGAGTTCTGGTGGCCACTTCCGGTGACTTGGACTCATCTGTGGCAGTCTCCTCCCTGCTCAGTGGCAGAACAAAGTACTCTGTCTAAGAGGAATTCTGGGAAATGGAACTTTCTCTCCCTCAGATGTAGAGAAACATCGTACTGGGGGAGCGTGGGGAAAGAGGTTAGTTCTAACTACCCAAAGGAGGGACGTTTAGTAAGGGGTTTTGAAGAATGAATAAGAGTCTGTGCATTTTGGGTGAAACAAGCGCAAGCACAGTAAAAGGCATCTCCACGGCCGGGTGTGAGGTTTCGTTGGTGACTGACCCGCACGCGACACCCTAAAACCTCCCTCTCCTGCTAGACAACCTCAGCCAACCGGACCAAGTACTACGTGTCTTGCCGCCGCAATGGTTTCGCCCTGATGAAGCTGCCTAAGCACGCGTTGCCGAAGGTGAGAGCCCCGCCCTGGCCGGGGAACCAGTGGATCTGGGGCTGCGGAGCTTGGGCCGCAGGTCCGCAGAGCCAGATCGGCCGTGGCCGGGCCGTGTGCTGCCTCCTGCCTCGGCTGCCACAGGCCAGGGTTGCCTCCGGGTTCTTGGCACTGCGTTGCAGAGGGTCAGGGATGGCCTCTGACAAGATCCACTCAGGCGGCCACGGGGCAGGGGCCCACGCCCGAGGGCTGGGGCTGAGGGCTCGCACCTCGGAATTTGCAGTGAGGTTGAGGGTTTGGTCTGAGCTTTGATTCCCCTGAGATCTAGGCTTCTGCGGCCCCCAGCCCCTCCTCCTGCAGGGTTGGAGGGAGCCCCTCCTCTCGGTCTCTCTCCTGCTCTCCTCTGCCCTGGGGACGGGGGCTCTGCCTCATTCCCCTGTGCTCTGGCTGCCCGGCCCCATGTGGCCCCCATGGAGGGCAGGAGAGCCCTGCTCGCTGTTTCCCTGGTTACCGGGGCAGTGGCCGAGGCTCTAGGTGTCCCAGACACAGTCCCACAGCCTGCTGGAGACCAGAGCTGACAGCAAGCCACATCTCTCCTGGGCATCGCAGACCTCTGTCCCCCCCCCCCCCCGACCCTGTCTGGAGTCAGCCTGAGCCCCAAACTCCACAGAGGTCCTGGGATCAGGGAAGAGCAGGGCTGGGATAGGAGTGGCCGGAAGCAGACGCCAGGCTGCTGCTGTGGGGGCTCAGCCAGGACCGGACAGAGATCGGGGAGATGGACACACGCGTGAGATCATCACCGGCTGTGACTTGCACAAAAACAGGGGTGGAGCGTAGCAGAGGGTTTGTGTGTGTGCACTATGTGTGTGTGTGTGTGTGTTACACGTGTGTGCACACAAAAGTACATGTACATGTGTGCGTGTCTACAGCTGGCTGAGGGCAGGCAGGCCCCGCCACGCTGGAGGTGGGGAACGGCTGTGAGCCCCCCAGTAAACAACTTGATGAAAAGGAAGGGAAAAGCTAAAAGGGGGAGCGGGTTAATGGAGGGACTCCAGGCGGGGATGTGGACACAGCTTCCTGTCAGGCGGCGGCACTGGTGTCCCTGGGGCCAGAGGCCTCGGTCCTCCTGTCAGAGTCGTGGCTGGTGGGAACGGATCCACTGGCTCCCCCACCTGCTCCCCGCCCGCCCGCCCGCCCGCGCTCGGGCTGTTCCCCGGGGAGTCCTGAGGCCCAGTGGCTGCAGCCAAGACCACCGTGACCTTGAGCCAGGCCCGGTCCCTGGAGCCCGAGGCACTGAGACGCTGCGCTGGGGAGCCCGCATTTCTACCCGGTGTGCAGCAGGGGCGAATCGTTTTCCTGCTCAGAGCTGGTCGTTTTAGGGTGAATTTGTAATTCATGCTTTTCCTGCCCACAAACCCCGATCTTGTTTCCTTTTGGGCTTTTTTTGTTTGTCTGTTTTTGTGATGCTGGACCACATCTGCGAGCCCTGGCGATCCTGGCAGTAGAGGCCTCACCCCTCAAAACCCCCTCCTATCCTAGCTTCGGCCCTGGCCACCACCTGCCCCTGCGACTTTCGGTGGCTGAGGTCTAAGCAGACGCCTGGTGGCACCCTCGGGGCCTGTCTCGAGCATCTCTAGCAGGGCACCAGGGTTCCGGTTGGTGGTAGCACAGCTCCCGGCAGAGGGGATGCGTGGCTGCAAAGCCAGGCACAGTCCTGACTCGGGGTCCTCCTGTAGTCTTGCCCTCAGGGCGGGCTGCCCCCGGCATCTGCCTGCAGTGCAGCTTCTCCAGCTGAAGGCCCCGCTGTCTGCAGAGAGGACGGGGCGTCGTGTGGCCCTGCTGCTTCTGAGAGCTGGGTGGACCCCTCCAGCCCCCCTGGCCAGGCGCGGAGTTTTATCTTGATTTCCATCTCCTGCAGCAAAGCCTGGAAAGGGCTGGAAAGGGCTCTGCCGCTGTTCTAATCTGCCCGCAGTAACAGCTTCTATTGTGTGTTCAGACCCTGTGCTGTAGTTCATTCCCGGTGATATATTATATTTTAATAGAGAAAAAGTTACCCAAGGCTATAAAGGAAGGAGGAGAAAAATCCAAATAACTTCACATGAATCATATGAGAAACGTTCATGAGAATGAAATAAGTAAATTTTGCTTTAAAGTAAACTATTCCTATGCTTGTCATAAATTTATTTGAAGTAAAAATAAAACCTGCACCATGTAGGGAGGGAGGAGGGTGCAAGGCCTGGGCAGAGGGCAGTGCCGGGGGCCACAGTGAGGGTCCCCCACTCCTCTGCAGCTCTGTCCGTCCTGAAACCAGTGCTTCCACTTCAGGAGAGACAGGGAGAGGCTGGCAAAGCTGCAGGACATGGCAGAAGGGCCTGGCAGGGGCCAGCTGGGTGTGGGAACCAGCTCGCAGGACGGGGGCAGGCTGAAGGGGCAAGGGCTCCACGGAACACGGCGGCCAGGAAACTCATCACAGCCACTGAACGCGGAGCTGATGGGCAGTTTTCATGGCAGAAGAAAGTGCTCCCTGCCGTGTAACGTGAATGGGAGGCTGTGACCCTTCCAGGGTAGAGAGCGTGGCTCAGCTTAGGGAAAAGGCTAAGCATTCACGTGAGGTCTCTCCAGAGGCCCCATGGACCTCCCCTTGGCTCCCAGATCCCTTGGTTTGGTTTTGAGCCCCGGTTGCATGCGTGTTTGCCAGGCACTGCCTGGGCCAAGGTGAGCCCCACTGGCAGAGCTCTGCCTGTGGCAGGCACCGGGGACCTCGCAGAGCCCTGGCTGCCGCTGCAGGTACAGAGCGGCATCACCTCCTGTCCCTGCCCGCCTGTGGTCCTGTGCTGTAACTGCTCGGGGCTGAGGCCGTGAGTCAGGGGACAGACAGGCCAGGGAGCGTGGCAGACAGACAGGCCAGGAGCGGCAGCTGCACCCGCCCCACTGCCCCACCTCCCAGGTGGACACCCAGGCCCCGGACCTTCCACTCTGCAGGTTGTCCAGTCCTGACCCTGGTTCCGTGGAGTCCCAGTTTGTGGGATGCAGTGTTGGTGCTTCTCAGGGTCCCATTCCTTCCCCCAGGGCCCCTTGAGACTGTACCACGCCTGGCCAGCTGGGTGGGAGTCACAGGACCCCGAACTCGGCCCCAAACCCCTGCTCCAGCTGTAGCACAGCCTGGCTCTGCTCTGCAGGAGCATTGGGTGTGTCCCACTGCTGTGCCTCAGGTGGTAAGAAGGGCAGCTGAGGGCACAGGGTAACTGAGGAAAAGGACAGCGGCCTCAGAGGTGTTGCGGTCCCTTCCCGGGTATTGTGGCCTTGGTCCTGGGTGGGAGAGAGGATGCACCGACCCAGTTTGCCTGGATTTCCTTTTTTTTATCCTGAATTCTAAAATCTGGAACTGGAAGTTGAGGCTCCTGTGCTGAGCCCAGGCAGGAACTACCTCACCTGCTTGTTCCCAGAAGGGGAAACTGAGGCTGGGAGCCACCCTACCCCCGGGGCTGCTGCTTTCCCGCACTTTCATCTTTGAAGCTCACCTTCTCAGGGAAGGCCGCCCTGACAGTGTGGAGACCCATGGCAGCCGGAAGAGCAGGGCGCTGGGGCTGCCCTGGCAAAGCCCAAGCAGTGTACTTAGAGAGCTCCTCTGGGCCGCACTCGCCCCAGGGTGGGGCTGGGCTAGCTCTGCACCCCGTGTCCAGTACGGTGCCTGGCCCTTGGCTGGGGCTTATAAACAGGCATTGAAGGAACCCCTAGCTCAGGAGGCACCGGGATGGGGTGACCCAACCCCATCCCCCGATGACCTGGGCCTGGGGGGCGTGGAGCGGCTCCTGGACAGAAGGTCTGGACAGAAGACAGACTGACTGGGCAGGTGCCTGCTTGGGCCTGGTGTGCAGCGTCCTATCGATAGTCATCCATTTGGGGTACACACGCTGAGGCTCAGTCACAGCAGATGTGGGGAGTCAGGGTGCTGACCTAATCAGAGAGCAGAGGGCCCAGGCTGCCAGCTGTGCCTGATCCCTGTGCCACCCCTGTCACCAGGACCTGCAGGTGATCAGCACGGATGAGAACCAGGTGTTTGTGGCGGTGCAGGAGTGGTACCAGACTGACACCTACAACCTGTACCAGTCAGACCCGCGCGGTGTGCACTACGCACTGGTGCTGGAGGACGTGCGCAGCTCGCGGCAGGCTGAGGAGAGCGTGGTCATCGACATCCTGGAGGTGGGCCCTCCCTCCCCCGTCCCCGTCCTGAGCTCTCATCCTGCCACTCCTGCCCCTGCTCCTCTTTCCTCTGTCCCTGTACCCCACACACAACTCGGGAAACGGAGGCTCAGAGTGGGCAGAAGGCCTCCCTGGGCCAATCCAGAGGGGAACGAGGGCCCCTCAGCCTGCAGGCGGCTGTCCCTGGTCTGCAGGCTGTCCCTGGGGCTGCCCAGCACTGGGCCACTCCCAGCCCGGCTGCTGCATGACAGGTGATGGAGGGGAGGGGTGCCGACCGTCCTGCCACAGCAGTGAGTGACACCATCTCAGTGTCACCAGCGACACACACCAGGGCCACCTCGCCTCCGTGGAGCAGGCAGACCCCTCCAGCTGTGGCCCTAATTCAGTGTGAGGTGCCTGGGGACACAGCCCCAGGCTGTGTGTGAGGACTCGGGGCCCCACCCTGACTGCACACAGACTGGCACCTGCCGCCCAGGTTTCATGGCACATGCCTGGCCTGGATGTGGGCCAACTATGGCAAGGCTTGGCAGTGACACAGGTCAGGGACACGTGGCCAGGACATGACGATCATGGTGACTGTGCTGTCCATCGAGATCAGCAAAGATGTTTTGGACCAGATGTTGCCGGTAAACACCACCTAGGAAGCCTTGGCTGTGAAGCCCTTGCTGGGCCGGGCACTTCCGGTTTGGCTTAGGAAAGACACTTGGGGCATTCCAGTCCTGTCCCCTGCCCTGAGCAGCTGTGGCCACAGCTGGGTGACAGCCACGAAAGGGGTCTGAACGGTGGCCTCAGAAAGAGATGTCCCCATCGTCACCCCCAGATGCTGCCAAATGACCCTGGACCTGGATTCCATAGTACAGGGAGGCGCTCCTGGGGAGGAGCCTGGGCTCAGCCCCTGCCCCAGGGAGGTGCAGCAGGGAGCTCACCGTCTGGAAAGCGGAGGCTGAAGACAGAGCGCAAGGGTGTGGGCACCATCAGGGACACCTCAGAAAGGCCCGAACCCTGGTCACTTGGAAGCCTTGTGGAAGTAACTGGGCATGTGACTTCCTCCTGCTGACCACAGCAGGAGCCACAAAATTAGGATGGGGTCTCCTGGGCCATGGGTGACACAGTCTCTGTGACATCAAGGAGTCTGTAGAGTATTTTGGGATGTGCTGGCGGACGAAGCCCACTGGCGTGGGTTAGAGGGGCCTGAGGCTGTCAGACCCACGTGTGTATAGGCAGGAAGCGGCTGCTGATGCCACTGGGACACCAGCCAGAAGAAGTGAGGAAATGGGTCCTCCCTGGAGTTTCCAGACAGGGACACACTCCCCTGCCCCAGACCCCAGACCACTACCTCCAAAACTGTAAAACAGTACACATGTGGTGTTTAAAGCCACTGATTCTGTGATGATCTGAGACAGGAGCAGCAGGAGACTAATATACCACCCATCCAGCCATCTACCCATCCATCCATCCATCCATCCCTACACCTACCCACTCATCCCTCCATCCATCCACTCACCCATCCATCAATCCCTATACCTACCTACTCATCCATCCATCCATCCATCCATCCCTCCATCCATCCACTCACCCATCCATCAATCCCTATACCTACCTACTCATCCATCCATCCATCCATCCATCCCTCCATCCATCCATCCATCCATCCATCCATCCATCCATCCCTCCATCCCTCCATCCATCCATCCATCCATCCATCCATCCATCCATCCACTCACCCATCCAGCCCTCCACCTACCTGCCCATTCATCTCTATATCCACCCACTCATCCATCCATCCCTATATCCATCAATTCAACTAACCATGCATACATTTGCCCACCTATCCACCATCTAGATATCCATCTGTCCTTCCATCTGCCCATTCATCTCCCTGGCCATCCATCCATCCATCACCCATGCATCTGCCATCTTTTCATGCATGCCTCCATCCATGTTTACCTGCCCATCTATGCTGGCACTGCCAAGAGTGTGCTTCCTATGAGCCCCGCATTTGCAGACCCACACAGGTAACAGGAAACCCACCAGCCTCCCAGGATTGTGAGAACTGTACTAGGTGACACACTGCACCTGCACTGCACCTCAAAAGCACAAGTGGCTCTTATTTCCATCAAGGCAATCGTGGCCTCTAACTAGAGGACTCTGTATAAATCACAGAAGCCTCTGGGCCTCAGTTTCCGGAAGCACTTTTGAGAAACAAGAGCATGTTGTGTATAGTGGGCAGAGGCAGCCTCTGCCCTCCAAGATGGGGGGAACAGGGGCTTCCCGTGCCTGGTCCCACCACGTGCCGCGTGGGCCTCCTCCATGAGCTTAGCAGGACCCCGAGAAATGGGGCAGCAGAGGGGAGATGGAGTTGTGCCAGAAGCTGTGTCCCTGGCCCAGGGCCTGTGGGTCCCCGAGTAGGCTGGGGGGTGGGAATGGTGTGGCCCCGAGGTGCAGGCAGTCAGGGGACCGGGCTGTCCTTAGCATACATGGTCGGTCAGTTGTCCTGGAGATGGCTCGGTGTCACATAATGGCACATGCAGAGCCCCAGGAGGTCCCCAAAGAGCCCAAGGGGCAGCTCACCATTCTTCTGTGCTCTGTCCCAGGTCAGAGGGGTGAAAGGGGTCTTTCTGGCGAACCGGAAGGTTGACGGGAAGGTGATGACACTCATCACCTACAACAAGGGCCGTGACTGGGACTTCCTGAGGCCGCCCAGCAGTGACATGAACGGGAAGCCGACCAACTGCCAGCCGGTGAGTCCTCCCCGTCCAACCCAGCTGCATGGCATCGGGCACGGGTGGGCACATGGAGAGGGGTGTAAGGCGCTGGGATTCAGGACGCAGGTCTGCGGGCCCGGCTGGCAGCCCTGCCATCTCATGCTGGCCTGTCCACTTGTGTGGAATCACTGCCCGAATCGGCGTCTGCTCTCTGTGCCACCCCTCCAGGGACCTGGGTGGACATATGTGTTCCCTGGGGCCAGCAGAGGAGCAAGAGGACAGATGGGAACAGGCAGGCCACTCCAGCCTGCTGCAGGCACATCTGGGCCCTCCCACTGCCCAGAATCAGGGCCTGGACAGCATCATGCCCAGGGAAGGGGTGGCAGAGAGAGGTGTTTGCAGTCAGCGGCCAGCTCCCCTGACTGGTCATATGTGGTGGCCGAGCGTCCAGCTCCAGTGGATGTGTGCGTCTGAGTCCCTGGCTGTCTGGGACTCCTGAGCCCTGTGTGGCCCCGGGGGCCCTGGTGGTGAGGATGGAGACAGTGCCAAGGGCTCCTGGCCTTTCCCGCCCAGCTTAGGGCGACATTCACGACCAGCAGCGCCAGGGATGAGCAGGCTGAGTGACCAAGCCTGGCCTGGTTTCTCATGTGTCACTGCCCCCTGCCCCCATGGGACTGCACCCTGCCTCCCACAGGGAGGCATACCTGAGCGTTGCCCAGTGCTGACCTTTGGGGCCCAGTCCAGGGCTGCACAGGACGCAGGCTCCTAGCTGACTGCATGACTCCGGCCAGGCCGACACTGCCTCTGGCCCTTGCTAACAGGGAGGCAGGGACTGAAGTCTTGTGCATCGAGCAAGGGTGCAATAAGACAGAGTGGAGGGCACAGGGGCTGCGGGAGCCGAGCTCTTCCTCTGTGGATGCATCCCCGTCCTCCTCTCTCCTGGAAGCTTGGACAGCGCATGCCTTTCTCTCTGGCAAACTCCTACTGAGACCTGAAAACCCTGCCCACAAGTCCACTCCACTAAGTCTCTGGAGGACACCTGTGCTTCTCTGTCTGTTCCACTCTGTGTCTGTGAGCTCCCCACTCTGGGGACACCTGAACCCACCATCTGCCTCAGTTTCCTCATGTGCCAAACAGAAAGAACCACAGTTCCTATCGCACGGGTTCCGCCCAGCTAACCCACAGCACTATGAGGGCTGGGCCCTGTGCCAGGAGCTCAGGCTGCAGCAGGAAGCCGGCGAGCACAGACTCTGCCTGGAGACACGGGCCTTGTCCCTGTCCCCAGGCCAGGCCGCAGGCATCCGCTGATGGGCATCATGACAGAACCGGTTCCCGCCTCGTCCTGAGCCTGGGAGCAGAGTGAGCGCTCAGCACCCAGCCTGGGCCCTGACCAAGCTCTGCCCAGAGACTCCTTCCCGGGTGGGAAGTCGGTGGCCCTGGCCTCCCTGCCCTGGCAGAGGCATGGGGTTAATTACCCGCGTGCCCTGACTGCCCCTGAGCACAGAACTGCTGGGAAGGTGTTGGCAGAGTTAAGCCGTATTAATCTGTGGGGCAAGTTTCTTCCTAGAATAGGTTCTTGTCTGCAATTACTCGGCTCAGTGAGGAGTGACCTCGGCGGGATTCATATCCCGGCTGTAAAATCACCAGCGAAGGTGCCGCCCGGCAGGCGTGTGGGCCCAGGAGGCTCCTGACCCAGCTCCGCAGTGGGGGTGACTCCCACCCAGCAGGATCAGGTCTGCCTTAGCCCTGCCTTCGGCCACAGGGAAGGCTTCCCCTGAGCCACACTTGAACCTGCTGTGCAGGTCTGGCTGGGTCTCTCAGACTCCACGGGAGGGGGCGCCGAGGCCTCTGGGTGGCTGGTGCACAGTCCTGGCCCTCTGGCCTGCTGGTATTGTAGGCTCTGCCAGGCTCTTCTGCAGAGCTCCTGCCAGCCATGGCATGCGGAGGGGCAGCCTCGGGCCTCGGAGCCCACCACCCGAGCCAAGCACTCTGGGGTCACCAGGTCAGGACCCCTCAGCACCAGGTGCAATGCACCCTTGGGTCTCCTGCCTTTTCCCTGGCAGCCTTGGGGGACCCTGTCCATTTGGGTACCCAGAGGAGGATTCCTTGATGTCCAGTCCCCTTCTCGGACATTCCAAGCCCTGGGTCTGCCAGGCTGCCCTCCACCCCTGGGCCCAGCCTGGTCTGGGGGCCATGTGGAGCCCTCATCTCCACCATTGGACGGGCAAACCTCTTGGTGCTCAGCGGGGGGGAGGGATTGTCTGCAGGCACAGCTGGGACACGTAGGTCCCAGGGGTCCCAAAAAGTGCCTGACCACCAGGATAGCTGCCTGTGGCCGGAGGGGATGGGGCAGAGGTCCTGAACTGTACCTCTAGTGTCACTCTGCCCCCTGCACCCGGATGGGGCACCACCGTGCCAGCACATGGGGTAGGGTGCAAGGGTAGCTCTGGAGGCCTGCAGCCAACCGAGGGCACAAAACCACTGTGCCAGGGCCTTGTGCTGTGCAGCCTGTGTCTGGAGGGAGCTCCCCCAGCAGAGGCCCACCCTGCCCCAGCTTGAAGGTAGCTCCCCACCACTGTCCTGCTCCGTGTCAGGTCTATCCATGGGCTGAGGGACAGCAAGGGCTCCCGGTCATGACAGCCCAGAGGAGACATCTGAGGGTCTCTCAGGCTCCAACGGGGACCCCACTAAGCAGGGCGACACAGTGACCACAGTCCTGTGCCAGGGGACCTGCCATCTCTGGCTCAAGGGTCCCCAGGTTGCTACTGGGTGGGGGGACATCAGGTCCCTCCCCCACTGCCTTCAGATGTCTCCGAGGTCACAGCCTTCTTTGAGCCCGATCTGTCACCAAATGTCCCCTGTTTTCCCAATAAATCGCTTCGAGGCCATGATTTTCCCAATGACAGGGACAGCGTGGTGGCCTTTGGCATCTTTGGAGGGACACAGCCACAACCATAGTCCATTTTAGACCCTTTTTACCCCCAAACAAACCCTGGTCCACTTGCTATCAGCTTTCTCCCCATCACCCCTGACCCCTGAGTTGTCTGCTTCCTGTCTGTGTGAGGTCCTCTTGTGACATTCCATGTGGCTGTACAATTGCAGTGCCACTAAGACATTCCGTAGGCCCTGGGGTGGGCAGATAAAGCCTGGGCCAGCCGGGACCACCCCAGTGACAGCGGGTCCAGACCAGTGTCCAGCACTGAGTGGTTTAATTCCTCCTTTCCTCTTTGTTTCCTTTTTGTCTGAGGCAAAGCTTTGCTACGCAGGCAGGCTGGCCTCAAACTCATGGTATTGTCCAGGATGGCCTCAAATTTGAGGCGATCCTCCTGCCTCAGCCTCCGAAGTGCCGGGATTACAAGTATCTGCCCCCATGTGTGGCTCTCACGGTTTCCTTTCTGCCTTTGACAGCTGTAGGAGGCGCGCTCGGGCGTGGCCGGAAGTGTACAGAGAGACAGAGAGACACACTGATTGGGGGGGTTCCAGAACAGCAGACGTGGGGAGCAGGGACCAATTCCACTTTGCAGATGAGGAAACTGAGGTCCAAGGTGTCCAGAAAATTAGTAGCACCTCCTAAAGGATCAAGATCTTTAGGTGCCCAGCGTTAGAGTGTTTCTAAACTGGAGGTGTTTTTCCTAGAAAGCACACTTAAAGGCGGGCAAAGAAAACACTTACCTTTCTTAAGCCACTGGGAGGCCTCGAGGTAGGCTGGACCCCGGCTCTGCCTCGCTGTTGTGGTGTCAGCCATAGCTCTGTACAGCAGGAATCACCGCCCCTCTCACAGAGCAGGACACCGAGGCACAGAGGAGACAGGCCCCTCAGGGATTGGCAGGGCAGACCTTGCTTACCCCTGTGTCCCTCGGATGGGAGGAGGGTATTTGGGGTGTCCCACAGCCGTCCTCTGACCCCCAGGTGCCTGTGATCACATGAGAAGCCCCGTGGTGAAGCCCTGGAGGGATGGAGGGGTGCAGGCTGCAGCGGGGATGGGGAGGGGAGGGAGGAGGGTGGGAGCTGGGCTGTGTAGGCCCCAGGCATCCCATCCTCTGGCCAGCCCTGCATGTGGGGGCCACGTTGCAAAGTCAGCTTGCAGGGCAGCTGCGGCCAGGCAGAGGCGCCTCCCCGGATGTGGCAGGGCGCATTCCAGGTGCTTCACTGGTCCCCACCCCACCCCAGGCCATGTGGATGGCTCCGCTGAGGTGTCCTTCGCCTGGCCGTCAGCCTCCGCTCACGTGTCCTCCCCTGCACAGCGCCCCTACCCTGTCCTCTTCCCAGGCAGGCAGTGGCCCCAGGCCTGGGTTTCCCACGGACCCTCCCCCTCATACTGACCCCCGCTTCTCCTCACAGCCTGCCTGCCACCTGCACCTGCACCTGCGCTGGGCGGACAACCCTTACGTGTCCGGCACCGTGCACACCAAGGACACCGCCCCCGGCCTGATCATGGGTGCAGGTGGGTGCCAGGGGACAGAGGGAATGTGGGGCCAGGCAGGGGCCTGTGGCCATGGCCTATCCGTGTGGGGACTGTGCCTCAGTTTCTCCAAGATGCCCAGCTCTCGTGCAGAGCCCTGAGGGGTGAACAGGGGGCGTAGCGTGGCATGCGGTGTGCGCTGGGTGAATGGAAGGAAGGCCGGATGGGTGCACAGATGGCAGAGGACGGGCTGGGTGGTAACGGAATGATGCCGGCAGGTAAAGCAGTCCAGATGAGTGTGAGGGAAGGAGAAGGAGGAGATGGATGGTTTAGATCATGGTTGCCATTTATTGCTTCCTGAAGAAAGAGGAGGAGGAAATTTTGTATGGAGGTGGAATATTTTTTTAAAAAACAAATATAATTGCTGTGTGCCTTTGTGGTCCTCATGAAACAGAAACCTACTTCGGGGATGATTAGGTGTAAAACATTCAAAATCAGAAGCAGGACCCCGCAGAGGTCACCAGGCAGGTCCAGGGAGGGGCCTGGCCACGTCCCCTGCCCCATCACAGCCTGAGGACACAGAGGCAAGGCTCAGAGCATGCGGCGTACCGCGCCACATCCCAGCCCTCTGTTGGCCCTGCACCAGCTGCAACACAAGAGGCTGCTGTGGGCTGAGGACAAAGGCGGGTGCGGCTGGAGCCGTTCTGCGCTGTAGGCACGTCCGACCGACCCCTCGCCCTGGCCCAGCGTGAGGCCCAGCCCACAGTGGGCCTCCAGGGCTGTCGGCCATGCAGGCGGAAGTGGGCATGAAGATTCAGCGCGGCTGGCTGGTGTGCTGGGTCCGCGGTCGGTGGGCTCCCCAGGCGGCCGCAGCTCCTGCTCCTGGAGCTCCTCTCCAGGGAAGGAAAACAGGGGGCTGGGCAGGGGTCTGGGACCATGGTGTGTCTGCTAGGGGACAGTGCACTGCTTTCTCCAAGATGCTGAGCTTTCATGGAGAGCCCTAAGGGGCAGTGGAAGGGCCACGCAGAGGTGAGCTGCCCACGGCATGAGGAACCGGAAGCAGAGACAGAAAGGGGCTGGGGGAGGAGCTAAACCTTTCCAGGCCACGCCCCGGGACTGCCTCTTCCACCAGGTCACGCCCCGTCCCCCTCTGTAACCCAGTGACCCCCGCACAAGCTCCAGCACAAGAGGCTTTGTGTAGGCATCCAGATATAACGCACAATGGCCCCGCGCTTCAGGTGCGCATCGGGATTGGCCGGCACCCCAGCTTCTTAGCCAAAGTACAAAAGGCCTCATCGCTCCTCGAAGGCCTCAGAGCTGGGTGTGAGCCCTCCAGTCCCCGAAGGCTCCGTGCAGCCCTTAGCTGAGCGCGGCCACGCAGGAAGTGGGTGCTGTTCGCCTGCTGTGGGGTTCCAGTGCCGCCCCCAGTCCGCTTTTCCTCCTGGGAAGGATGCCGCCTCTTTGTCTCGCTGGGCCCTGACTTGTCTTGGCAGCCACCTGCTCAGGGACTTCTGAAGGCGACTGGGGAGGGCCCTAGTGTCCTCCCACCCCTGCAGCAAACTGGGGACCCTCGGGCCGGAGGTGGCGGGACCCCTGGCACAGGACTGTGGTCACTGTGTCACCCCACCCTCCACACCTCTGCCCCCTCTGCCCGCAGCCTTGGCCTCTGACAGCTCCAGTTTGTCTCTCCAGGCACGGCTGCAGGTCCACTATCCTGGCTCTGAGTGTGTCTGTGCAGTCACCTTCACCCCTGCTAGGCGGCGAGCTGGTGGCAGGGAGCAGGACAGGGTGCCTGCAGCCTAGACTCCCGGAGCTCAGCATGGGGCTGGGCAGAGGGCTCGGGAGATGCTGGGCACACACAGGAAGGGGGTCCTGAGTGGCAATAATGAAGAAAAAAAGAAGGGAAAGTGGATGGAGGGGTGGATGGGTGGACAGATAGTAGCCTTATGGAGATGCGTGGACGGATGATGGGTAACCGTGGGGTGGGTGGGTGCGTGGATGGATGCATGGATGGTGAATGGAGGGGTGGGGAGTGGAGGGGTGGGTGGGTGTGTGGATGGATGGGTGGGTGGATGGGTGAAGGCATCAATGCAGGAAAGATAAACGCACACTCTACTTAGGACTAGAACACAGCTATTTGAGGACAAGCCATTTTCCTGGGAATTTTCCCATAATGCCTAAATTGGAGCTGAATAAAATTCTTTTGAGTGTGTCATGCAGATAAGGCTTCAAATGGCAAGTGACTTCCCCAGCACAGGAACAAGGCACGGGAATGATGTGCCCATCACCCAGGCTGGGGCTTTAGTGTCCTCACCACCTTATTCTGGGGACAGGGCCCGGATCGTGCCGTGACCAGGGCGCAGCAGAGCTGTCACTTCACAGAGCAGCCCCTGCCACAGCCATGTCCTCTCTGTGACCCGGCTCCTACAGTCACCTCTGAGCCCCTTGGTGTGGCCATCTGAGTGGCAGGCAGAACCTGGGGGCCCGGTCCGCCCAGGGTGTGCACCTACCCCGTGCTCCCCCAGCCCTCACCCGCCCTTCAGGGGTCACTCACCCTGTGCCCACCTGGGTCCCTGCAGCCTATCCCTGGCCACCATGGGTTTTTTTCCTCTCTCTCTTCCTCTCTCTCTCCCTCTCTCCCTCTCTTTCTCCCTCTCTCTCTCTCCTCCTCCTCTTCCTCTTCTTTTTTCTGACTGGAGATTGAACCCAGCACCTTCCCAGTGAGCCCAATCTCTAGCCCCTTTAATTTTTTAAAGTGTTGAGACAGGCTCTCACTAAGCTGCTATGTTGCTAAAGCTGGGATCTAACTTGGGGCCCTCCTGCCTCAGCCTCCCAGATTGCTGAGACCCCAAATGTGCACCCTCAGCACCTGGCCATACATTTTATTCTTGAGCCACACCTGTGGGTCTCTGAGGGACCCATGCTCTGTCCACACCTGGGCAGTGGCCGAGCTACCTGGGTTCAGCGGTTTGGTCCCTCTCTTGTCACTGCAGGGAGGGACCCAAGCCCAGAAGCCACCACAGGTCCACTGTGAGAGAGGATGGCAGGGATACACTGACGGGCAGCTCTGGTGACTGAGTCGAGGACCAGGACACAGACACCTTGCACAGCTGGGATTCCCTGGCTCCCTGCTGGGTGACAGTGGGGAGACCGGTGGACCCCAAGAGCAACACCCGTTTCTCTGTGGCCAGGTAACCTGGGCTCGCAGCTGGTGGAGTACAAGGAGGAGATGTACGTCACGGCGGACTGCGGGCACACCTGGCGGCAGGTAGGGCTGCGTGCACCCACCCCTCCGACTGCACTCTCAGGGGCCCAGTGAGTGGCCCCTGCAGCACGAGGTGCCCCTGCCCCTGAGTGGCGCCCCCCATCGTCCTCTGTGGCGAAGACCAGCTGCCTGCAGGCGGAGGGGAGGTTGGGGGGACGGGACGGGACACATGGCTACGGGGAAGAGAAGAGCAGGCCTCGGGCCTCGGCCAGTCTGGTTGGGCTCTGGGGGACGTTGGGGATATGAACTCCAGGCAGGGTGTGGCCAAGATGAGGGGTGCGTGTGGGAAGCCACCCCGTCCCCCAGCCGGGGCCCCAGTGGAGCTCAGGGTCATTCCAGGCCCCCCTTGGCCTTCAGCACGTGAGGACTAAGGGAGGAGGGCGCTGACCCAGCCCACCCTGGGCAGCTGTGGCAGCTGAAGGGCCTGTGTCCCCGGCACGGCCCCTGCCTCACCTTGGGCCCTGACTCTTTTGGGGATGCAGTGGGTGGAGCATTCTGAAGCAGCCTGGGGCTTTGCAGGTTGGGAGGAGCCCGGTCCAGGTCCGACCGTGTGGTGGCCAGGGGCAGCCCCTCGAGGGGTGGTGATGCTGGCTCTGGACAAACACGTTCATCCTCAGCACGCAAGGTCTGCCTGCCGCCTTGGTTCAAGGCTTGGTCATTTTTAATAGCCAAAAAGAAGGAATTTTGAAAAGGGCAGAAGCGATTTATTGTATTATATTATTTTTATCTCACTAAACCCTGAGAAAGATGTCCGAGTCTCAAAGGTCACCGCCTGTCTATTCTGGCAGCCCCTGTGTTTTCCTGTCACTCTTGCCCAGCAGTTTGTTTGGTTTCAAACTTGGGAACAACAGAGCTAGATAAGAGGACGGAGCTGGGCTGGGAGAGGCGCCGGGGGCACCCAGGGTGCTGGCCAGTGTGTGTGTGCATGCGCGAGCCAGGGAGCGAGGTGCTCTGGCTGTGTTGGGTCACTGAGAGGAAGAGAAAGAAAGCAGGCAGTGGACAGCGGGCAGCAGGGTGGATGCGGCACCCGCCTGGCCACCATTTGGGGACAGTGACAGGGACACACCTTGGGGGACAGGACCAGGACAGGAAGTACAGTGGCAGGTGCACCTCACGGAGCAGGTATGGTCTGTAACACCCTCAACTCCCTAGGGGCCCTGTGGGACTCAGGGGAGGGACATGGGAAAAGTTGGCCCAGGGATGGGCCAGGGTGTGGGGACCCATCGAGGCACAGAGAGCCACAGTCCTGCTCCGAGGCGGGAAACCCAGCCGCCTTTCTCCAGAGCCCTGAGCTGATGAGAGCGATGTTCTTTCAGGTCCTGGGGTGGCTTAGGGCGCCCCCTTCCGTCTTTCCCAGATGGCTGTGACCAAAGCCCACCTGCTGGCTGGGGGGAATGACCAAGGGCCCCCTTGGAGCCCCAGCTGTGATTCAGGGTTCACCCCTGTCTTCCGCAGCCAATCACCCTTGGTGGAGGGACCCCCAGAGACAGATCAGGCCCCCATAAAGTGCTGGTTCTCCTGGGCACCCTCAGGAACCGGACAGGCAAGGTCAGCCATGCCCTCTGCCTTGGATCCCATGCAGCCTCTGGGGCCCCGCACAGTTCTGGCCCCCCAGGGTCCTTTGCACACACTATGGGAAAGAGCTTTGCTTCTCCCGGGCGCTGGCTGGGGTGGGGAGGAGCAGCCCTAGCCTGGACAGCACAGTGCCCCTGAGTCACAGTCACAGGTGGGGAAGCTTCTGGAAGGCAGTTCTCCCCACGGAGACTGCCCTGCGCCCCACACCTGCCCAGGGCTGCCTGGGCTCCGGTGCAGGTTCCGTGGAATGCATCCTCCTCTGTGGTCCGTGCTCCAGGCGGGACCCAGCACAGGGCTAGGGCAGCAGGTGCAGAGGACGGGCCCTAGTACTAGTCCACACCCTGGCACCACAAGGGGCATCCCGGCCAGAGCAGGGCAGGCGAGGCTCATTGCTAAACTGTATATGTGTGGCAAGGTGGGCTTCCCATAGCTCTCTCTGGGATGCACGGGGCCCGCAGCCACCCATCCCTCCCGGGGCTAGTGCCCCACAGCTCGAGGACATCCCCCCAGGCCACAGGGCAGGGCTCAATCATGGCCACTAAACACAAAGGGAAGGAGGCAGCAGGACCCTGGGCTTGTCCCCTGTCTCTGCCCCATTCTAAGGGGTCTGTCTTCTTTACTCAGCCAGAAATGTGTATAGAAGAGCTCTCATGTGCAGTAGGGTGTGCCAATGAGGCTGCCAACAAGGTGGAATTGGCTGGGGCAAAGCTTGGCAGGCAGGGAGACTGCATGTGCAAAGGTCCTAGGGTTGGCAGGCAGGGAGATGGCATGTGTAAAGGTCCTGGGGTGCATTCAGGAAGGGAACCAGCATGGCTGGTGGTTAATGGAGATCAGTGGTCAGGACTCTTCCTATGGAGTCTCAAGGACCTGGAAGGATTGGCACTGACTCCAGGGGCCATGGCAGGCAAGAGGGGTCACCTCACACACTGGCTTCCCCCACGTCCCTGCCTCAGCCTCCAGCCCACCACGCCCTGTCCCTCAGGTGTTTGAGGAGGAGCACCACATCCTCTACCTGGACCATGGCGGTGTGATTGTGGCCATCAAGGACACCTCCATCCCTCTGAAGATTCTCAAGTGGGTGCAGGCACGCTGGCTGGGCCAGGAGGGCGGCGGCAGGGGACACCGCAGAGCAGCTCCCAGGGCCAGGGTAGCACTGAGCCCAGCACCTGGGGGTTCCCGCAGCTCCCAGGGTGCAGCAGAGGGCGCCCCTGTGGCCGGAGGGCTTTCCAGAGGCCGCAATGTCAGGATCAGTCAGTGGTGGGCTGGAGGCAGCAGTGAGTGCCCTGAGGAGCAGGGGTGGCAGCAGCTGCACCCCGAGGGGAAACTGAGGACAGAGTGCCCTGAAGGGGCCGCAGGCAGAGCTGGGGCAGCTGGGAGGAAGCCAGTTTCACCTTAGTCTAAAGAAGAGCGGTGCATTCTGGGAGCGGCTGCACTGCAGTTCCATGCCTGTCGCTGGGCCAGGGGTGGGGGGCTGGGCCCGAGATCCTTGCCTCTCACCCGGCCCGCCCCAGAGGAGGAGCCTGGGGCTGCAGCCCGGAGATACGCTGAGACCCCTCCGCAGGTTCAGCGTGGACGAGGGCGTCACGTGGAGCACGCACAACTTCACCGGCACCTCGGTGTTCGTGGACGGGCTGCTGAGCGAGCCAGGGGACGAGACGCTGGTCATGACGTGAGTGGAGCAGGATGGTGGCTGTGGGGGGGGCCCGGAGGGGGGGGCGTCGGGACGTCCTCGGTGGGGCGGCTCCTCACGTGCCCCCCCGCCCTGCTCCGGGAAGTTGCCCTCACCTAGTCCCTGGCTGGTCTCAGTGTGCCTCTCCGGCGGCACTGGATACCAGGAGATGAAGGTGGGGTGGGCAGTGCCAGGGGCTGTCCCCCGACCAGGACCCCAAGGCCAGCCCAGTCAGCTCCTCTGGGCCAGATGCACACAGTGCGGCGAGGAGGGGCATGAAATCCTGCTGTTCTGAGGGTGTGGCCTGGGATGGGGACTCACAGGACCCAGGGGACACAGCGTGTCCAGGGGGTAGTGCTGTCTCTGAGCCCCAGCCGGGCTGGGTGTGGGTGCAGTGGGACAGGGACACTGCTGCCCTAGCTGGGCATGCCCAGCAGCTTCCATCCCTGCAGTGCCTGCTGAGCGCCAGCGTCCCCAGCCTCCACATCCCCCAGAACCTGGCATGGATGCAGGCGGGGCTCGAGGGGTGGGGGCTGATTGGGGGACAGTGGCATGGAGTGAGGAGGTGGGCACAGGACTGTCCCCAGGTCAGGTCACTGCCGGTGACAGCCCTGTGTGTCGGGCACCCCGCTCGCAGCATCCGTGTGGGCTTTGGGTTCTGTCACTGTGATCAGGATTACCGAGGCCACGCCAAGCATCAGTGTCCCCGGTGCCACTCGTATGGGTAAACCGAGGCTGCAGCTCGTGATACCCAGTGTTGTCTCCCCACAGGGCTGCGGCTCTGTCGGCTGGGTGAGTCCCCTACCCAGCCGCAGTTGTAAGATGGGCATAAGGGTCCTGTACACTTCCCGGGGAAGCATCAAGGGAGGATGGGATCCCGGGTGCCCACCCGCATAGTCGGAGCCATTGCCAGCTCAGCTGACCGACAAGTGTCCCCACAAGTGTTTGTGAGGTCACAGGGTGACGGCAGGTGACACAGGAGACAGGTGCACGTCGGCCGAGGCTGCCCACAACTGCAGCCACTAGCCAGCTCCTCGGTTGGGTTTGGTGTCTGTCAGGGCAGCTGGGTGGGCAGAGGAGAAGCCCGGCCAGGGGGCACAGCCCTCGCCATCACAAGTAAAGGAGGAGAGTGTCACTTTGGCCACGGTCCGAAGCCTGCTGGCTCTGGGGTAGGGCGGCTCAGTGGCGAGCGCCCACGGAGAGACAGAGCGTCCACTGAGGACAGGCAGGAGCAGCAGCTTCCCTCTCCCTTTATCGCATCCAGGCCAGGAGCCTGTCGTTTGGGGTCACCCACACCCCGTGTGGACCTTCTGTCTTCAGTACGCCCGTCAGCCCACCCAGAACTGTGCCAGTGCAGTCAGAGAATCCGGCCAGGACCCTGTATGGCACCCCGACCCGGAACACACCATGATCCAGTTGCTCCTAAAAGCCTCATGGGGGGCGCACGAGGCTTTGGGGTGTTTTAGATGGGAACTGTGACAGATGGGGAGCAGAACGCCGGCCACAGGCAGCGAGGGTGTCTGGGGACACCCTGATGCAGGTCCCAGCTGCTGAGTCATCAGTGCATTGGGACAGTGAATTTGGGGCCCTGAGGAGGGCGTGGCCCTCCAGGAGCCACCGGGGAGCATGGGTGTGTGCGGCTCCTGCAGTGCTGCACCGCCCAACCCTCGCTGCCCAACACCATCCCGAGGCCAGGCCCAGGGTCACAGGCCCCTGCCCACATAGATGCTGGACCTCTGGTAATGCAGTCAGCGCAGACCAGGCAGAACAGGCTGGGCCTCTTTGGGGTGGTCCTGGAGCCCAAGAGTGAGGAGCAGGGTGGGGGACAGGGGTGGAGAGCAGCCGCTGGGACAGCTAGAGGGCCTGAGGCGGACAGGCTGTGTGACCTCAGGGAAGTTGCTCTGCCTGTCTGGGCCTTGGTGCTTCTCTCTGTAAACAGGGGCGCTGTGGCTGTCAGCACACTGAGAACACCCTTGCATGGCTGGTGTCTTGCAGTCCCCTTGCTCCTGCACCCCAGGACTGGAAGTGCCTGGCCTCCCCTCACAAGGTCACCTGGGGAGGGAGACAGAGGGAGAGGCTGGGTGGCCCTGAGGCCGCCCCATGCTCAAACACTCTGTGAAGCACAGGGCAAGAAACAGTGTGGTGGTGCCTGGAAGGGTCCCTACAGTGGCTCAGAGGCCAGGGCCACACCAGTATAGTCAGGAAGCTGCAGGTGACAAGTGCCATGGAGGAGACAGTGTGTCCAGAGCTGGCCCACAGATGCAGCCTGGCTAAGGTGCTGGCTTCCCACCCCGTCCCCAGGGTCTTCGGCCACATCAGCTTCCGCTCTGACTGGGAACTGGTCAAGGTGGACTTCCGGCCCTCCTTCTCCAGGCTGTGCAGCGAGGATGACTACGGCTCCTGGGACCTCGCCAGCCTCCAGGTGGGGCCCTGCCTGGGGTCTGCTGGACCCCCGGGACCCAGAAGGCTGGGAGAGGGGGCTGTCGCAGCATGGGGCTGTGGGCCTCAGTTTCCCCCCTGTAGAAGTGGTGGCCCTTGGCCCAGCTGCTGCCAGAGGGACTGCAGAACAGGCCGCACCAGCCAGTGGACAGCTGTGCCCTCCCAGCGCCCCTCTCCCTGTCCTCACTGCAGGGCGACCGCTGCATCATGGGCCAGCAGAGGAGCTTCCGCAAGCGGAAGCCGGAGTCCTGGTGCATCCAGGGGCGGGCCTTCACCTCCGCGCTCATGGCGCGTGTGTGCCAGTGCCGCGACTCTGACTTCCTCTGGTGAGCCCTGCCCCCCACGGGTCCCCGGGTCCTGGGAGGCCACTCTGGCTCCGTCCCTGGCCACAGACTGCCGCCAGGGCCTGACGAGTAGGTGCCGGCCCCCTCAGGTTTGAAGTGTTAATGAACTCCTGAGTCCATTTTCCAAACTCCCTGTGGCCTCTCACAGGTGAGAGGAGAAACTGAGGCACGCAGGGCACCATGCGGGCAGGTTGCACCCCAGTCCTCCTCCCCGACTGAGGACTTGGCCACAGCCGTGCGCCACCCCCTTGCTCCGATCAGTGGTATCTGTGAGCCGGGTGTTCCCAGCTCTCTGGGAGGCTGAGGCAGGAGGACCACAAGTTCAAACCCAGCCTGGGCAACACGGGAACTCGGAGAGACCAGTGACAAAATAAAAAGTAAAACCAGGGCTGGGGTGTACTGCTGTGCAAAGGCCCTGGTTCAGTGCCCACTATTAGCAAAGGAAAAAGCCTGTAGCTGCTTGCTGCCCAGGACAGTGTGGCTCTCAGGGCCACCACTGCCCCATCCCCTCCGGCCCTATCCCTGCATCGCAGCCTGCAGCCCGCGCCTGGCTGCTCCTGCTGTGGCTCCTGTGTGCCCTGAGACTCTGGCCTCCTCCAGGAAACCCTCCGGCCCCGGAGCACAGCACCCGTGGCCTCTCCCTTGGGGACAGGGCGGGCCTTGCCCCAGCTCCCTCCCAGCCTCTCCCTCCGTGTTGACCCTGTCCTCTCCGCCCAGCGACTACGGGTTCGAGCGCATGGCCTCCTCGGAGCCCGGCACCCAGTGTGCAGCCAACTTCTGGTTCAACCCGCTGTCCCCGCCTGACGACTGCGCTGTGGGCCAGACCTACACCAGCAGCCTGGGGTGAGCCCGCCTACGCCGCCCCGCCCCACCACTGCCACCTGCAGCCAGGGGCGTCCACGACCTGGCCACAGGATGGCAGGGTCCCATTGTACCCAGGGGGCCAGCAGGGGCTGGGCGGGCCCAGGAGGCCACCCAGAGGAGGATCCCTGGTCTTGCTGTGGCCCCTGCTGGACTTGGAGCCCTGACCCCAGGGGGTGCCCTGCAGCTGGGCGTGTGACACAGGCTGGGCAGGAGGCCCGGTGCCCTGCGGGTGGGCTGTGGTAACACTATCCCTGCAGACTGAGTGCGTGTTGCCCAAGTGTTCACTTCAGGCACAGGTGTTAGGTGTGTAAGAGCTGCCAGCCCACGGCACACCTGTGGGAGGCCCCGCACCCCCGTCCTCCATGAGGAAGTCTTCAGGGAGGGGAGGGAAGGCCCCGGGGCTCCTGAGAAATCGCAGCACAGGGAGCAAGACCAGAAGCTGCAGGCGCTGACTTCAGCAGACACACACTGCCGTCCATCCACCCACTCAGGTCCATCCAGACGTCCTTCCAGTGACTCACCTATCCCTTCGGGTATCCCTCCCAGCCCATCCGCTCAACAGCCGTGTAACTGTCCACCCACACACCCACCACCCACTCACCCACCCAACTACCCACCTCTCTGGCTATCAATCCATCCATTCATCCTTCTATCTTCTAATCATTCATCTACTATCTATCCATCTAGTCACACATCCATGCGTCCATCTACCCACTTGTCAGCCTATCTACCTACCACTCATCTGGCCATCCATAGGTTGACTCTTCCATTTTCCATCCATCCATCCATCTGTCCATCCATCCATTCATCCATCCATCCATTCATCCATTTATCCATCCATCTGTCCATTTGTTCTTCCATCCATCCATCCATCCATTCATCTATCCATCCATCTATCCATTCATCCCTGTATTCATCCATCTATCCATCCATCCATCCATTCATCCATTTATCCATCCATCCATTCATCCATTTATCCATCCATCTATCCATCCATCCGTTTGTCCATTTGTTCTTCCACCCATCCACCCATCCATCTATCCATCCATCCATCCATCCATTCATCCATCCATCTATCCATCCATCCATCCATCCATCCATTCATCCATTTATCCATCCATCCATCCATCATCCATTTGTCCGTTTGTTCTTCCACCCATCCATCCATCCATCTATCCATCCATCCATCCATCCATCCATCCATCCATCCATTCATCTATCCATCCATTTATCCATCTATCTATCCATCCATCCATCTGTCTGTTTGTTCTTCCATCCATCCATCCATCTATCCATTCATCCATGTATCCATCCATCCATGTATCCATCCATCCATCTATCCATTCATCCATGTATCCATCCATCCATCTACCCACACAGTGAGCCAGCCACCTGTCCATCCCTGTGTCCATCATGCATCCATCCATCTATCCATTCATCCATGTATCCATCCATTCATGTATCCATCCATCCATCTATCCATTCATCCATGTATCCATCCATCCATCTACCCACACAGTGAGCCAGCCACCTGTCCATCCCTGTGTCCATCATGCATCCATCCTCAGTGCATTCACCCACTATCTATCCACCTACCATCTGTCTACCTGTCCACCCCCACTCGTACACACACACCACCCACCCATTCATCCATCCACCTGGTGTCCATCTGCCCACTGATCCATTTCCCATGGACCCAGCCATCCATCCACCACCCATCTACACGTCCACTCATCCTTCTAGTCATTTCCCACCCATCTGCCGTAGCCTTGAGCCTCTCTAGCATTCCACAGGCCTGGAGCAGGTCCTGTCATGGGGAGCATCAGGGTCAGAACCTGCGTCAAGGGCGACCAGGTCCACGAGGTGCCAAGTGCATGCTGAGCTCCAGGGACCTGTGAGTGGGAGGCTCCTGGAGAGGTACATCCTGTGTCACCGCTCAGCGTGATGAATGTCCACCTGAGGTCAGCATCCGAGCCACCCAGCAGAGCCCAGCCCTGGGGGATGCAGGCCCTGAGCACTGTGGCGCAGTGCTAGCTTCTCAGGCTGCATCCCAAGAGGCCAAGGGAGCTTTGCAAGCCGTGGTGCCATGCAGCAGTGGCTTCCAGCAGTGTCTGCAGTGTCCCAGGTCCCTCAGGCTCTGCCCAGCTGCACTGCTAGCCTCGTCCCCCCGCCCCTGCTTCTTCTGTCACCACAGGGCCTTTGCCCATGACACTCCGGTGGCCTGTGGCGGACAGTCTTCCTCCTGCTCACCTCCCAGAGTCAGCTGGAGGCCTTATCCCCAGGAGAGGGTCCCCAGTGCCACCTCTGCCACAGTCCCCACCGATGTGGGCAGTCTGTCCCCCCCCCAGGGCAGGGCTGCATGTGTGTCCCCCTTCCTGGGCCAGCATTTATAAGGAGGAGCTGATGGACCTCAAGCCTTCTCTCTCCAGGCAACTGGTCATGGAGCTCAAGAGGAGGGCAGGCAGGGCCAGGCCCGCCGGGCACCCTGTCCTCTGCGTATCTCAGCAGGATGAAGACAGCTCAGACTCGGCAGCAGTAGCTGCATTACCCTCACTGGTAGGACCAGGCCAAGGGAGTGCGCGGCCACTTCCAGTCTCGCCACCCTCAGAGCCCCAGAGCCCGCTCCTCCAGCAGGGCAGCAGCCGCAGCCGGGCGCAGCAGGCAGTGCAGGGGCAGCGGGGGCCGCTAGAGCAGGGCCAAAGCCGTGCCGGACCCCGGACCCCCATCCCCCGGGAGTGTGCTGTGACCTTGGCCTGCTGTCCCCCACCAGGTACCGGAAGGTGGTGTCCAACGTGTGTGAGGGTGGTGTGGACCTGCGGCGGGGCCCGGGGCCACTACAGTGTCCCCTCATGCCACCCCGGGGCCTGCGGGTGAGCATCCTCGGCGAGGCGGTGGCCGTGCAGCCCGGGGAGGACGTGCTCTTCGTGGTGCAGCAGGAGAGGGTGAGTGGCCCCTGGTGACCTCCACGGGGCCTCAGGGTGGGCAGGGGACATCACCACAGAGACTGGCCTGCCTGCAGTTGTGGGGGGACCAGGTCCCCACCAGAACTTGGAGATGAAAGTCGGGGGAGCAGGAGCTTGGGGGCCCTGGCTGGGTCTCTGCCCTGGGCTTCCAGGGCCGCTCTGCCCCGTTCTGATCCAGGAGGAAAATGTATTCATTCGTGGGTGTCAGAAAAACTGTAAACCTGCAATTACATCACAGATTTAGTTAATTTAGAATCCTAACAAAAGCAGAAAGATTTTTTTTATAAATATCTATTTCTTATATTCACACAACCCAAGATGAATCCCTGTGCGTCTCTGGGTGGGTACAGGTTTAAATATAGATTTTATAGATACCCACATCCGGATGTACCGCAGAATCTCCGCCCAGGCTCCCACTCTTGCTATTTTTACCTTAGAACCAGCATTTTGGTTTTTTCTGATTTTAAAAATAATGTATGTATATTCATCGTAGAATATTTGGGAAATAAGTGAACAGAAGCAGGAGCATAAATAGCACCCCAGTCCCACGGTGGCGCGGGCTGCCAACTGTATTTCTCCGTTGTCTTGTAAGGTGATGCCAGAGCCCGCGGCAGTCCCAGGGGAGTGGGCGACGCTCACCATCAGGCGTGGGAAGGGAGACCCAGGAGGTCAGGTCACACGGAAAGCCCAGAGCTGCAGGAAGGGCTCAGGAGATTGGGGGCCACCCGTTTCGAGCCCAGGGAGCCTCAGGGACCAGGGTGGAGGGTCCTCAGGGGACCCCAGGCCTCGACTCTGAGTTACTGGGCATGGAATGCCCAACTGAGGAACTCGGCCAATGTCCTTCAAAACATGGGGCCCTGTGGGTGTCAAGACAATGACAGAGGTCTTTGGAGTTGGAAAGCTGGGGCCCTGGCCCAGTGCAAACAGGGAAACTGAGGCTGCAGAGGATGGAGGGGCCCACCAAGCTTTAGGACACACGAGCATGTGCTGCCCCCTAGGGCCCAGAGTCCGCAACTGCACTGCATGGGCTCAGCTTAAGTGGATCCCAGGGGCCCAGCCTGCAGCCCCAAGACCACCTTCCTGCCACCCAGGGGACCACGGCACCCAGGGCTGTGCACCCAGGCTGGGCAGGGGCTGGGCAGGGGGAGGGGTGAGGAGGGGAGCTACCTGAGGGTGCTCTTGGGAGAGGGGCTCCCTGTACATCCTGGCCTGGGAGAGGCTGCTGTCTGTGCAGGAAAAGGGGTGCAGGAGAGGGGCTGGGCCTGGATACACACACACTCACCCTCCCTCACACTCACCCCCAAGTACACCCACACACACACTCACCCCCACTTACATACTCACCTTCACACACACACACTCACCTTCACACACATACCCTCACACACCCACACACTCACACACGCCCTCTCACACACACATGCCACGCCCACGGGACACAGCCCTGGAGCTGGGCTGCAGCTGCCGTGGCTCTGGGGATGGGGTGACACCAACTCTGTTGCAGGGTGCTGGGCTGGGTGGCCTCTCTGCCCCATGCCTGGCTGCCTGGACGGCCCCACTGACAAGGATGGCTGCCAGAGAGTGGGAACCACACACAGGAGCAGTGTGGGGGAGCATTCGGGGTGCAGCAGAGAGCCCTGGCCAGCCATGAGGGCACAGCCTGGAAGGGAAGGTGCCAACCAGGCGTGGAGGGGACACTTCCACTGCAGGACGGCCAGCCAGGGGAGCAGAGTTTCATGCAAGCCGGAGGGACGTCCCCCAGCCAGAAGGCGGGCCACAGGCCCAGTGCAGAGAGAACCTTTGAACCCCCTAGACAGTGGTGGGGAAGTGGGCAGAGGTGTGAATGCTGCCTGGGTCATCGCCAGCGGGACACCCGCCCGGGAGTGAGGGGAGCAGGGCTCCCCGCTATGGTCGTCACCGCTGCTGGTGGTGGGGTGCCCTCCTGGACCCCTGCAGCAGCCAGGCCTCCTTCCTGATTCCAACGAGGACAAGAGGATGGCGCCCGCTGTGAACTGTCAGGGTCTTCCTGTCAGTCCCCCAGAGCCCTCCTCCGACTGGGAGCCGCTTCCCAGCTCCAGTCACTGCCTCAGGGACCCCTGGCCATACCAGCCCCCACACTGCCTCCCGAAGGCCGCCTGCAGCCCCTGCAGCTCCCACTGGTGCAGCTGGACCGTGGGCCACGGGCTAGGCCGTCTTTATGGAGGCCGGGACAGTCCTGATGAGTGGCCTTGGGGTGCTTCCTGCAGGGGGACATCCTGACCACTAAGTACCAGGTGGACCTGGGAGACGGCTTCAGGGCCATGTATGTGAACCTCACAATGACCGGCGAGCCCATCCGGCACCGCTACGAGAGCCCTGGCGTCTACCGTGTGTCCGTCAGGGCAGAGAACATGGCGGGGCACGACGAGGCCGTGCTCTTCGTCCAGGTCAACTGTAAGTCTGTCACCCTTGTGAGGCCCAGAGTCACTCCCTGGGACAGAGGACTGGGTCACTGGGGAAACACAGGGAGTCCCTAAGGGCTGGGCAGGTGCTGGTGATGGTGGTGGTGATGGTGGTGATGGTGGTGATGGTGGTGGTGATGGTGGTGGTGATGGTGGTGATGGCGATATCGATGTTGATAGTGGTGCTGGGGATGGTGTCAGAGGCAGCAATGAGGCAGGAAGCGGCCATGAACTGCCAGCAGCCTCTCTAAAGCCATGCCGTTGTCTAACCTGCCTCTCTGGGCCTCAGCCCCACTGCAAGCCCTCTACCTGGAGGTGGCCCCCGTCATTGGCATCAACCAGGATGTGAACCTCACAGCTGTGCTGCTGCCCCTGAACCCCAACCTCACTGTCTTCTACTGGTGGATCGGCCACAGCCTGCAGGTGTGCTGACCCCACCCTGCCCCCCTCCCCGCAGGCTCCTGTGGGGGTGCAAAGCTGGGCCGGCGCTGCCTGGCTACCAGGCAGCGGGGACAGGGTTGGCCCTGCTCTGCACCTTTGGGGCTCCACCTGATACCATCAGGCGGCCCCAATCCTGGGCTTGTGCTCCAGGGCCACCTGCCCTGTGGACACAGGATGGACAGGGCAGCACCTCCCTATTCCTGAGAAAAAAATTAGACGTGATTGGCTTAAGTCTGGTGTGCTCGGGGTCACAGGAGGGGCAGGAAGGCTGTGTAACAGCATGGGGACAGGGAGGCCACTTCCAGTGGGGTGGTCAGGGTCACGGCAATGTCCCCGGGTGGACAGGATCGTGGGAGACTCACCCTGAAAGCACTGGCAGCCTGGGAGTGAGTGGTTCTTGGGCAGAGTCTGCCACATCCTCACAGTGCCTGGAGAGGGCAGCACTGCCCATGCCCAGGTCGGGCCTTGAGACCCCTGGAGGGGTACCTGGCACTCATTCAGCCAACAACTGGCCCCGTCCCAGCGCAGAACCCCCCCATGGCAGCTGGGTACCCCAACACAGAGGGCTGGGAGCAGTAAGGGGGCGTGGGGTCAGAGTCCAGCAGCTGCCGGGCCGATCTGAGCCCCATTCTTCCCGCAGCCCCTCCTCTCCCTGGACAACTCGGTGACCACGCGGTTTGTGGCCCCGGGGGACGTGCGTGTGACGGTGCAGGCAGCCTGTGGGAGCTCAGTGCTGCAGGACTCCAAGGTGGTCCGCGTGCTGGGTGAGTCCCCGCCCCAGGGGTGAGGGTGGGACAGGGTACAGCCAGACATCCTGCATACTCCGGGCAGCCCTGGGCTGGGAGCAACTTCCTGCCTCTCTGGGCTCAGTTTCCCCAGCTGTGAAATAAACACCATGTCTCACGAGGTAGCAACGTGGGTGAGGATGCTGCCCCGTGATGCCCCCCGGTCCCCAGCAGTGAGACAAGGTGTGGACCCAGGCTCGGTCCCCACAGCCTGATTGAGGACTCTGCAGTGCATGGCACAGTGTGTGCCCGTGGGCTGCCCAGCAGATCCCTTATGCCCCAGAGAGCGCCCATCAGCCAGCCCCCTCAGTACTGAGCCGGGAACTGGTCAGGGGTCATTGCCACCCTTGATACAGGACGCTGGCTCAGGACACAGAGCACTCAGCCTGGAGCCCCTGAACCCTATAGGGCCTTCTCCCATCTGAGGTTAGGAGTCAGCAGAGAGATGATGCCTTGGCTCTGGGGCTCCCAGGGACTCTAGCGAAAGCACTGAGCCACGGAGCCTAGGAAACATGGAAGGCAAAGGTAAAACCTTTGCTCTAAGGGACTCTTAATCTGGTGGGGGTCAGAGCCCAGAAGTCCCTCAGGAGTGACGTGTGTAAACGCTTGTGAAAGGAGGGGTGAGTCTCATGGGACAGCTTGCACCCTGCCCAGTCTCCCGCCCAGGTTCCTGTCATGGCCACCCTCATTGTCACTGTCAGAGCTGTCATTGGTAGGTGGCAGCCACCCCAAAGCCCTGGCTTTGCAGAGGCTGAAGCAGGACACTCTCCGGCCTGCTTCAGGAGGTCGGTGACAGTGGCCCGGGGGAGCAGCGCTGACGGGCACCTCCATCTGTACCGCCCTCAGATCAGTTCCAGGTGGTGCCTCTGTGCTTCTCCCAGGAGCTGGACACCTTCAACCCCAACACGCCCGAGTGGAGGGAGGACGTGGGTCTGGTGGTCACCCGGCTGCTCTCCAAGGTGACCCAGGCATTGCGGGGTGCGGTGTCAGGCTGGACATCACCTTGAGAGGGAGAGACAGGGCTGCAATGTCCATGCACACTTGGAGTGCCCGCTGCAGGCACACATCCAGGGTCCAGGCTCAGCCAGGAATCTTCATTCACTGGCCGAGTTTCTCTTCCGAGCTGGACTCTCACAGTGGGACCCATATGTGGCTGCTCCGCTCAGGGGCTCACAGGATGCAGCAGTGGCCATCTGGGTGGGCACAGGTGGGGGCCAGCCTGGCCAGCCTTCACCTCGTCCTGTGGAGGGTGCTGGTAAAATTGCTGTGGGGTTGAAGGGTGATGGCCATGTGCGGGGCGGGTTCCCAGGAGGTAGAGAGGCTCCAGCCGTAGAGCCTCGGTGGGCCATGGCTTGGTCTGGGGGAGGCAGGCAGGGGCTGGGGGCAGGGGACCCACGGGTGGCAGCACAGGAACCTCGGGTTCCAGACCAGCCATGCAGCTGCAGGGATGGGGAAGTGCCCCGGTTTACACAGGAGAAGAGGTGTCCCTGGGGGCCTGGCATGTGGCAGGAGACGGGGAGACAGAGGGGAGCCTAGTGTCCCCCTCCATAGGAGACCAACATCCCCGAGGAGCTGCTGGTGACCGTGGTGAAGCCGGGGCTGCCCACCGTGGCTGACCTGTACGTGCTGCTGCCACCGCCCAGGCCCACGAGGAAAAGGAGTCTCTGGAGTGACAAGGTATGTCCCACGGCCAAAGGATGCCCTGTTGTGCTAAGTGGCCACAGGCTGGTAACCCAGTGGCCAGCTGGGGTCCCCTCTGAGTGCATCTCGGAAGGGCTTCTTCCTTGCCATGTTGCGTCTGATTCATTGTGGCTCCACCTCCTGGAGGTCACGTAGCCTCCAAGGTCACTGAGCGGAGGGGCGAATCCTTCAGCAGGGTTGCCCTTGCTTTCCCTCTCACGTCATTGGCTAGAGTTGGTCACATGGCCTCAGCCTGGCTGCAAGGGATGCTGAGAGATACAGAGGTCCAGGAGATGCTTGGCAGCAGGAACTCTGGACAGGGCAGCCCAGCAGATAGCAAACCCCTCAGTACACAGGACAGCTGCCAGGCTAGGCCCTCAGCAGGAATAGAAGTGCTGCCATGTGATGGACATGGAGGGGACCCCGAGGGGAAGCCTGGCCCCTTTATAGCTATGGCAGACCCTAAAATCAAAAAGCAGACGATGCCCACATTGGTGAAGAGGGCTCAGACCCTCACGCTCTGGAGCAGGGACAGCAGGCGGAAGGCAGCCCAGTGCTTTCAGTTTGGACCTGGAAGGGCCCCGTGGCCTAGAGACGCCACCTTGTGTGCACACGCAGGAGGGATCAGATGCTCGGCCACACACAGGTGCTGCCGGACAGCGCTGCGCTTTGCAGCCCGAGACAGAAACAACCCACGTGGCCCTCAGTGGATGAGGGTGAAAAGGGTGGGCCGTCTGTGGAAGGGCGAGGCCCCCACCCTAGGAGAAGCGATGCCCAGGTACACGTGACGGAGCAGGACCTCCGGAGTCACAGGACATGGAACCACTGTCACAGTTCCACCCAGAGAGGCAAAGCCATAGAGACAGAGACAGCGTGAAGCTGGGGACCCAGGAAACGGGGACTGCAGAGGCCGGGGGTTCTCTGGAGGTGACGAAGTGTCCAGCTGGGCAGAGGCCCCAGCACACACGGCCACGGAGTAGAAGGAGCAGCCAGGGCCAAGGGGACTCCTGGAGCCTGGGGACACCAGTGGCCACACTGTACACAGCCATGGAGAAAGGAACTCACTCGGCAGCCCGTGCAGTGCCAGTTACCGACCTGACGAGTTCAGGATCAGCTCACCTGAGGGGCTGGGGACCTGCATGGAAACCACGGCATCATAGCAAAACACGGAAATGGCACAGGTGGCGGAGAGCGTTCCAGTGTTCGTGGAGTGGAAGTTTGCTCCACCGGAGCCATTGGCAGATTCGCTGGAGAATCCAGAGGCAATTTCTATGGAGGAAGAAACAGAGAAAGAAAGGTATCGTGAAAGTCACATGGGACCACAGGAGACCTGGAGTAGCCAAAGCGATCTTGAATGAAAGAAGTGGGGGGCTGGGGATTTAGCTCATCGGCATAAGCGCCTGCCTTGTAAGCAGGCAGTTGTGAGTTCAATCCCTGGTACTGATAAAAAGGAAAAAGACAAAACAAAAGAGAAAAAAGAAAGAAGTGAAACCGAGCTGAGCGTGGTGGCACATACCTATAATCCCAGCACGCGGGAGGCTGAGGCAGGAGGATCCTTTCGAGTTTGAGATCAGCCTGGGCTACAAAGTGAGCTCAAGGCCAGACGCGTCAGTGACTAAATCACACAGTGCAGGCAGGACCCAGTTCCAAGAGAAACAACAAGCAAATCCACGCATCGGAGGCCGACTGATTTTCAACAGAGCTGCAGGGAACACCGAGAGGGCCAGGCATCTCTTCAGCGTGTGTTTGGGGAAGCAGAGTCCCTGCGTGGAGAACGGAGCCGTCCTCAGCTCACATCATGCCCAGAAATCAACCCAACTGGGCCAGAAGCTCAAGCAAACTGCAAAGCTGTGGCGGGAGAGGAACTGGGCAACTCCCCAGAGATACTTCAGAGCTGAGCCCCAAATCCAGGGTGCACAGCAGATGCTGGTGGGTGGCTTTCTCCAGACAGAGGTGTTTGCAGAAATAGGGTGAAGTGGCGGCCAGGGGATGGGAGGGAACCTCTGCTAACCAGACATCTGTTGAGGGGTGAGGCCGAAACCCCAAGGGGAGCACGTGCGACTGGTTAGCAAGTGGACGGGCTGCCCTGTGCAAAGACTGGCGCGGGGCCTGCGTGGCCGCTTCCTCAGAGAAGTGGAACAGGACCCCATGATCGCAGGGAAGTGCAGATTCAAGTGCAGCCAGACGCCACCTGCTCCTCTCCTCGGTGGCCAGCGTCAGAGGTGACCAGAGGGCCGGCAGGGTGTAGAGGAGGGGAGCACTTTGCACTGTGGGTCTCTGCCACGGCGTGGGGATGGCGGTCACCCCTGCCCCAGGCCCAGGAACCCCCTTCACCATGAGCAGGAACTGGCCTGGGAATCCCGAGTGCCCACCAGGCTGCCCCTGAACCGGCAGAAGCAGAGCTGTTGCTGTCCTCCCCGAGGTGTCCTGTGCAGAGAGGGCCTTGGGGACAGCTGGACACAGCATCCCTGCTCACCCTCAGACCCTTTGCATGCACTTGTGCAACGGCATGAGCCCTGAGGAGTCGCCCCCATAATGGTGACTGGGGGCACTGGGGGCGCGTAAGCAGGGTCCTGCCCTGTCCCCCACAGAGGCCAAGAGCCGGCATCCCAGGCGGCCCCAGCTGTGGCCATCACAGAGCCTGAGGGCTCTGAGGTCCGTCTAGGAGAACCTAGAAATATGAAAACAGGTCGGTTGGAGGTGGCCTGGGGTTTGCTGTGTCACTTGGATCCCAGGAGACTCTTGGGGCCAGCACGGCTGCCACTTTTCTGGGGCCACACCCCACTTCAGGGCCCTCACCCCCCAGTCTCCTACCTGCCTGCCTCAGCCTCTTCCTGGTCTCCATCCTGAGGCTTGTGTGGCCCAGGCAGGGTCACCTCTGAGTTCCTTGGTTCCTGGTGATCACTGGCTGCCCGGTTGCCACCCAGCTCACAGGGGACGTCCCCAGACCACCTTCCCTGCTCTCCTTTCAGAGGCTCACGGCCATCCGGCAGGCACTGAACGCCCAGAAGATCAGCTTCCTCCTCCAGGGCGGGCTGCGCGTCCAGGTGGCCCTGAGGGACACGGACACAGGTGAGCACCCCAACCCCGCGCTCTTCTGGGCTCAGCCCTGTTGCCCTGCCTGGGGTGGCAAGGGGGCCTCACGGTCCCTCCCGGGTCACACGGGGCCCAGGGACCCCCACAGCTCCGTTCTGCCCTCCCTCCAGTGTAGCCCTGCTCATTTGTGCAGCCCCCTTGGGACACGCACGGCCCCTGGGGACAGGCAGCTCCCCGGTGGACCACTGGGTCCCCTCTGCAGGATGAGGCTGCACACTGAGTCCATGCCAGGTGCCCAGTTCCCCAAAAGGCCACGCGGCGCTTCTTGTCCCTCTCGACCCGCTGCCCTCTTTGGTCTGGACGCTGGGAAGCAGCCTCCCCCGGGCCGGGGTGGGGACAGGACAGGCTGATCCCGGAGCCCTGCCCGCTTTGCTTGCAGGGTCACAGAGCCTGGGTGGCGGCGGTGGCTACTGGGCCGTGGTGGTCCTCTTCGTCGTGGGGCTCTTTGCAGTGGGCGCGATCATCCTCTACAAGTTCAAAAGGCAAGACCTCCGCTCCGCTGGCGCTGGGCGGCTCGGGGCAGGGCTGGGTGGAGAGGAGGCCTGTGGGGGGGCCGCTTGGGACGGCTCTGTCTGTGGGCTAGGACAGCTGCTACACCTCTTCCCGAGGGGCTCCCTGCCCACTGGGGCAGCGGGAACCCGGCTGGGGCTCCTGCCAATGTGGGACGCCCTGAAGCCACAGGAGAGAACCCCTGTGCAGAGTCACCGGAGTGCTTGCCACACTGACCACAGCTGGACCTTGGGTCCCTGCTGACCCTGCTGAGCCGCCTCTAGGGGACGGTGGCTCACCCCACCAGAGCCCCGTCGGGGACCGGGGAGGGTACTGCTGCCCTTCTCTTACACCTGTCTGAGTCCAGAACACTCCTCTAGGGCCCTCGTCCTGGACCTGCACAGCTGTCACTCCTCCACGGGTCCTCTCCCACCCATTCTGTGCTTCTGGTCTTGATTGCCATAGCAATTCATGTAGCCGCCACACAGGACACAGTGCTAACTCAGCTCCACCTGGGAGCTTGTTCCCGAGGAGGGGATTTCTCAGTGGGATCCTGAAGGATACACAGGAGTTTGCTGCAGAGCCACTGCAGCAGGATCCCAGTGTGGCCTGATTTCCATACTGGGGGAGGCTCTGGCTCCCTGACAGGCCCACCTGGGTGTCCTGTAGGCCCCTCAAACTTAAGTCACCCCGCAGAGCCCCTCCTGAGTGAAGAACACAGCCCCCACCAAGTGCCAGCCAGAATCACCCCCTCGGCTGCTCCACTGCACAGCCATGGCCCCGTGCGAGCCCTCGGGGCTCTGGTCCTGAGTGTGCATTTGGCTAGCTGGGTGGGGGGCCAACCTGCACTCCACACTAAGGAGGCCTCGGGCCCCATAAAACCCCAGACCCCCACATCCCGGGGACCGGAGCACTCCAGGGCTGGGGAGCCGGGGATGCTTTGCTCCCACTTGGTGCAGACCCTATGGGAGCGCCACGCCCTCCATCTCTGAGCCTTAGTGTCTTCATCTGTGAAAGGGGCTGGGGAGGGGGAGAGGAGGACGAGAGGAGGCGCAGGTGTGAAAGGTCTGGGGGGAGGAGAGGACAGAGCTGCTGCTGCCCATTGGACCCTGAGTGGCCCTGAGTCCTTCTGAAGTGCTGGGTCACCGTCCCCAAGCTGCCAGGCTGTAGGAGATACAGGAGCATCAACACCAGGTCCTCATGGCCCTGGCTCTAGGCCCAGGCGGGACGGAGTGAGACGAGAGCCAGGCCGGCTGGGGCCCCTGCCGGGGCTGAGCGCCCTCTGCCCGCAGGAAACGCCCAGGCAGGACGGTGTACGCGCAGATGCACAACGAGAAGGAGCAGGAGATGACGAGCCCTGTGAGCCATGGCGAGGATGCACAGGCCACCGTGCAGGGTGAGGGCACGGGGCCTCCGGGCTGATGGCACGCCTGAGGGGGTGGAGCACCGGGTGCCGTGCCAGGAGGTGCATCCAGCCTGCTTGGGCTGCAGAGGCAGAGAGATCTCCATGGAGAGTCCAGGTGTCCATCTGTGGGTGTCACACGTGCACACGCACAGCGGCCTCACCTCCGCCGTCCCCCATCCTCCTGGCCATGGCTGGGAGTCAGCACTGGTCAGCCTCCTTGGCCACACCACCTGCTCTCAGCCTCCTGCTCTGTTTCCAGGCAGAGCGCTGTCGTCTGCAGCTGGCTCACAGCCTCAGTGCCCGAGGTTGGCACAGGCGGGCAGCCTGGTCCTGTCCATGCCACCCGAACACCTACACGAGGCCACTGTGGCCTGATGTGGGAGCTCCAGCAGATAGGGAATCGGCTGCAGCAAGATGGGCTCATGCCCTGGAGCCAGGTCTTGCTGGCAGAACAAGGCACCCCCAGAATTCACCCTCCCCAACGCTAGGGGCAGGTTGCCCTCTGGTGCTGGCGGTGCCACCCTCTGCCTGCTGATGGGGGAGACCCGAGTGAGGCTCAGCTGAAGAGCTTGGGGCTCCGCTGCAGTCAGGACCGGCCGTGGGGAGCACTGTTGCTGTGCCAGGGCATCAGCAGCCCCAGGAGGACACAGGCACAGGAGGAGTTCCCAGTAGGTCTGCCTATCCCGGCCCAGTTTGCCCAGTTCCTGCTCTCTGCCCCACCTGTCCATGCAATGGCTATGGCCACCAGGGCAGAGCACAGGACCCAAACCCTTGTCAAGACAGGTTCTTGCTGTCCCTGACTCAACTTTAAAAGCCACACCCACCCTGCCTCCATTAGGTCCCCAGAACTACTCAAGGTAGAAACCGTGGCCTTCATTGGTGGACCAAGAACAGTGATGCTCAGAAAGGCTCTGCCCCTCACCTCGGGCCTCCTCGCTGTCCTAGGGGACTGGATCAGCCTGGCCCCAAGCCTGGGGCCAGCTCTCTCGAGTGCTTTGGGGGCACCCTGTCCCCATCTGTGCCCTGCCACCTACCCCCAGCCATGCTGGGGGTCCCTGGTCCACCTACATCTGCCAGCCCATTGCTGGAGCCCAAGACACCAGACTTTACTGGCCCCAAGCTCAGCACTTCTGGCTGTAATCTACTCCAAGGAGCAGACTCGGGCGCTGTGCACACTTCTCAGACAGGAAACCGAGACTCATTCTGTGCACGCCTCTGCAGGCTTCTAGGTGTCCTGCACACCTCAGAGATCCTCAAGGTGTCTGCACCCGGGGACAGAGGTGGTCTTGCCCCACTGCAGGCAGGGTCACAGGGTCACACCCTTGCCAGGGAAGACCGTGGGGTCCCATGGAAACAGGAGCTTGGCTTTTAAGCCCCTAAAATAACAAGAGTCTGCTGGGATCCTGACCCACGTTCATGTGCACCAGGCGTCACCCATAGATGTCCTCCCGAGGGGCCTCTGCAGTGACCCTTTGTCAGATGGTGGCACAGAGTCGGTGTGGTGAGGGTCTTGCCAGGTACTCACCTGCATGGACAGCCCAGCTCCTGTCTGGACCTGGCTGTCACAGCCCTGGCAGTGCCAGGCCCTCGGCCACTGTCCCACAAACTAGGGTGGGGATGCATTCCTTGGAGCAACTCAGCCCCAGGACCTCCTTGTCCCTGGCTCCCCGCATATCCCCTGCTGGGCCTCCGGGTGACCAGTCTGTGAAGGTCCCCGCCACCCTCTCTCCCTGCAGCAGCCCCTGCCAGGAGGGGGCGGAGCCTCAGCCCCTCCCACCACCCCTTGCTGCCTGTGGCAGGTCAGTGGCACGACCCCACCCGTCAGCCCTCCTCTGGGTCCACCGCTTGTGTCAGCACTGGGCACGCTGCCCCCTGTTCGGTCACCCTGGGAAACAGGGACCCCACCACCGCACAGCACGGGGTGCAGGAACTGTGGGTGCACTGCACGCTGCTGGCTTGATGTGTGGCCAAGGCTACTGCCGCGTCCCCACAAGGCCCCCAAGTGGTCCCCAGCCCATCGGCCTCTGCTCATGTATCTCTTCTGTTCCTAGGCAACCACTCAGGCGTGGTCCTGAGCATCAACTCCCGTGAGATGCACAGCTACCTGGTGAGCTGATGCCCGGCCAATGCACGCCCCCCACCGCCCACCCGCAGGGCACAGACCACTCCTGCCTCTGGAGCCACGTCCCGAGACCTCCCGGGAGGCCACCTCTGCCAGTGGCCCCCACAGGGACAGACCTCCTCCCTGTTCAGCCCACACCCACCCAGACCACGGAGGCTCAGGAGCCAAGCCCCAGCCCTGCAGCAGTCCAGGGACCCCACCCCACCCTGGGGTATGTAGGCCCTGTGGCCTGCACACAACTGCCCTGACCACTCCCATCCGCCCCATGCCAGGTCTGCATCCCTGTCCCTGCAGAGGGCACCCCAGAGCCCCGCAGCCTGCAGGCTGGGCGGCCCCCAGGCCTGCCACCTCTGCCCCTCTGTAACTGCAGAGAGTGTAAACCCTCTCCGGAGGCTGCTCGTGCTGGGGCTTCCGCTATCTTTTTGTTAGTAGGGCCGGGCAGTGCCATCTGGGTGGCTCCACCAGTCACATTCTCGGGAACCCTGTTTTCCAGGGCACCCTGTGGTCCCTTTTTGGGGTTCAACCCGCTTTCCCAGCTTGGGGCTTGGGGCCTCAGTGAAGGGACCCCTGCCTGTAGTTCCTGCTCCTGCCAACAGGCAGCGCCCTCCCAGAGCCTGGCCACCCAGCTCGCCGCCCACACCCTGCACTCAGTTCTCTGTACAACTCATGGCTCAGGGGTCCTGTAGAGTCATCCAAGATGGGAGCAGAGCGGGTGGCCCCCAAGAGCAGGCCCCTCTTGGGGAGAGTGGTGACTTTCCCAGGGAGATGGTAGCAAAGGTGGCCCCAGAACCAGGCCTCTGAGGCTCAAGCAGACCGCCTCAGCAATGTAGACTGCCAGGCAGGGATGCGGATAGCGGGGCCTTCACCTTTTGCCTTGAGATGGAGTCAGCGTCCTCTTCCCCCTCCTCCCGCCCACCTCCTCCAGCCCCGGCTCTGCCCAGCTGGTACCAGGCTGGCATCGTCTTCTCAAGGGAGCCGCAGGCCTGGGGGCACCTGGGGACAGGCTTTCACACCAGGCCATGCGGGGTACTTGTCTTTGCCTTGGGGGTGGCCCCTGGCATCTAGGCCAGGTCACAGATGGGACTCAGGGACAGGGGCCCCCAGCCCGGCCGCACCAACACCACTCCTGCCACTGCCCACCCTGGACCCCTGGCCCGCCCGCCTCTCTCTGGACACCTGTGTGGGACTTGCCTCCTGCTGGCATCTGCCTGTCCTGCCTTATTGCAGGACGCCCCAAGCGCAGTCCCGGTTCGGCCAGCTCGGAGCAGCCCACCTCCCGGTGCCTGCGGGGCCAGCCCGGGCCTGGCCCTTCCCTGCCACTCAGCTCCACGTCTGCAGCCATGCGTGCTGGAGCCTCCCTAGTTATTGCATACCCCTCGTATTTTATGTTATTATTTCTGGTCAGAATATCTTGGGTGTGTGGCCCTAAGACCCTGGGAATGAGGTGTCACCTGACATAACCTATCGCCCCCTCTCCGTAACTGTAGAGGCGATCACTACTTAGGCTCATGGCCTCGCAGCTGGTCACAGGAGCATGTGTGCCCCAAGGCCCAGTCACCTGCAGGCACCAAGGCAGGCGCTGGGCCCGAAGGTGGTGGTCATTGCGTCCTGCAACCCAACGGGCCCCACACATGGTATATGCACAGAACAGAGGCCAGGCCTCTGTTCCTATTTTTCCTTTTTAAAAATCAATAAATCATTTGTGTTGCTTTTAACAAAGATTAAACGAGTGTGACCAGCTCCTGTCTTCTCATGAAGGTCTCTGTGTCTCCCTGCATGCACGCGCACCCCTGGAGTGCAGGGGGCTCTGGGGAACCCCCCAAGGCAGGTCCCCAGTGGTGTGGGAATGAGAGCTTGGGGTGGGGATGGAAGTGACATCCTGTGCACATGCGCACAAGCACTCCTGAGCATACCTCGGTACCAGCACGTGCTCACACACATAAGCTGGTGTGCACCCTGGAAATCTCACAGGAGCCTTTGACCTCTTGTGGGTTGCTGGGTAGTGTCAGGCTGGGTCCTGTGCATGGCACGGAGCTTTAGTCGTGCAGCTGGACCTGGGTGGGAGCCTAGGAGGCCCCAGACCACAGGAGAACGGTGGTGGCCATCGAGACCCAGCCTGAGGCCAGGTGCCTGAAACCTGGGCAGCGGAGGCCAGGTTGGCACTGGGCTGGCAGGGTAGGATGAGGATGTGTGCAGGACAGCAGGGCAGGGACAGCAGGGCAGGGCAATGGGCAGAGGGCTGCAGTCCTGGGTTCTGGCCTCCTGCTCTACTTCTAGGATGGAGGAAGCCAGAGCCCTGAGTGTGACCCCTGTCAATGTCCCTACCCAGGGGCATGCCCAGCCCTGGGGGCATCTTCTCCTGGGGAACAGGCCCCGGGGTGACGAGGAGCTTCATGGCTCCACCTTCCTCCTTCTGGAGCCTGCCTGATGACCCTGTAGGACACTGGGGCCCAGAGACACCGAGCACAGGACACAGAGGCCCTAGAGAGCCCAGGAAGGGGTCCACGCAGTGAGACGAAGAGATGCTGCAGCTGGCTCTGCAGTCCCTGCATGGCACCACGTGCCCAGCCGCGGCCGGGGCCTGTGTGGACACCCCACTCACAGGGAGGTGCAGGGAAAGGGGATGTGGCTTTTAGCTAAAACTGAGGCCACTTCAGGGCTCCAATTTTGCCCCAAAGGCTCAGCAGCCTCCTGCTGGGGCTCAGAGCTGTACCAGCGATGGTCAGTGTCAAGGAAAGGGGCAGAAAACTGCAAGGTCTGGACAAGTCACCTTGAGGGCACTGCCATCCTCAGCACTGCCGTCCTTGTCCCTTAGTCCTGACAATAAACAGAAGTGGCCACAGCAGTGGCTGGGGTCAGCGACACGGTGGTAGGCTTCCGCTTGAGCCATGTGGGACCCCTGATGATACCCACATGGGCAGCCCAGAAATCAAGAGGAGAGAGGTTGGGTGGCTAGGCATGGTGGCTCATCCTTGTGGGATGCTGAGGCGGGAGGATCTCAGGACCAAGCCTGGGCAACTTACTAGGATGCTGTACAAAATAAAATAAAAATTGAAGTGAAATTAAACAATAACCAGCTGGGGCTGGCTGCCAGCCAGCTCGGAGGCAGAGGGCTGGTCCAGTGCGCAGGACGCCCAGGTTTGGCTCCCGCTCGCCCAACCTCTAAGTGAAGAAACCTGGAGCTGTGCCGGGCACCTGTCCCTGGGGCCTCCTGGTCAGTGTGCTGTGAGGTCCCAAGAATGGAGGACAGGAGCCTCCCTGGGTGGACGCGGACACTGGTGCGGGAGGTCTGAGGCTCCCTTCTGCTGGGTCTGCATGGCGCTGGCCGAGTTGTCGCTGGCATTTTCACTCCCATGGCAGCCCTCACGTGTGCCCATTTCTCCTGCAGGAGGGGGATGGGGAGGGTCACCAGTGGGGCCCAGGGCTGCACGTTCTCCTCCTGTGGTCCAGGACGTCCATCCCGCAGGCCTCCGGGCTCAATGCCCAGACTGCACACCTGCTGGGTCACCTGCTGTGTCCCTCTCTGGGCAGCTCTTCCAGGGAAGAGCACATGCCCTGGTGCTCAGGTGGCTGACTGCATGGTTCAAGCAGGGTTTGCTCAGGATCATTGGGGCCCGATGGGGTCCTTACCTCTCTCAACTGCATTTCCACCCGTCACCTAGCCAGCGCATGCGCCTATGGAGGCCCAGTCACCTCCCTTTCTGATCTGCCCTCGACTCCACCACCTTCCTGCCTCTCTGTGGCCCCGTTGCTGGCCACACTCAGCCACCCCTTGGCCTGTGCCGCTCACCCCCTTCCCAACCTCTGTGGCGGCTGGTTCCTTGCACTGGTGCCTCCCCTTCTCTCCTTGTTGAACTCCTACTTAAACCCCACAACCTGGCTCAAATAACCTGCACCCTGCTACAAACCCTACCCAATGCCCTCAAAGCTAGCTGCCCCCTCCCCTAGCACCCCAGGGGTCACCTTCTGGGTCCTCTCATCATCAGCCCATGTCCACCTTCCTGCCTGTGTGCAGGTGCTGCCACAGTAGCCCAATTGTGTGTGTGAACTAAAAAGTCCCAAACATTATAGCTCCTCCACGACCAACCCTACCCTGTGACCATGACCCCAGGGGCCACGAGGCCCGCGACGACATCCATGTGCATCGAGAGCCAGGGAGGGACACTGGGCCCGGTCAGAGCGTTTTATTAACTGTACACTCGCGTCACGCCAGAGGGCGCCGGTCAGGGGCTACACCGCAGGACACAGCAGGGAACTCAACCCGGAATGCAGAGGGTTCAGGTACAGGGCTTACAAAATGGGGCAGGGGCCGGACCCGGGGCTCCTCACAAGTCTTCTTCTTTACGGGTTTGGGTCTTACTTTACAACTTAAATAGAGACACAGAGAAAACGTATTTACAGTTGCTTCAAACGGGCACAGACAACAGGTTTAATTAAAAAAAACTCCTGTCCTGCTTCTTCGCCTGTTGCAAAGAGAATTTTAAATATGACTTTAGTTTTCAAAAAATACAGTAAGGCAATAATTACATTCTTCATAGGAAACACTTTACAATGGGCGGCTGCAGCCAGTGAATCGGCGCTGCAGGGCGAAAGCCAGTGATGAACGCAAGGCGGCTCCTTCCGGGTAAAGACGCCTTTGGTCCCAGAGCTCCGATCTCCAGAGGCCTCGGAGAGCCTCCTGCTGTGACACTCCTCAGGCTGGCAGAGCTGGCACGGAAGTCTTGGGGGCCAGGACAGTGCTCCCCACCCTCGCATACAGCCCCCGGCGGCGGTTTTCACAGTATGAACCGGGCCCGCCGTGGGGCTGGGACAGGACCCCAGCTCTAATCACGGCATGCGTCTAAAATTATTCTTCCTGATAAAAATTACACAGAAACACGAAGGGAAGGCCACCGTTGGCCATTTTAGAGTTGCTATGCCCTCAGGCACCCGGGGACGCCCTGTTGGCTGCAGGGGGAGCACGTGGGGTGTCATAGAGGAGCCCCAGTCCCACCTTGCGGGTGCCAGCACGGTTCTAAGGGTGTGTGGCATAGTCCCCCGGGGGGCAGCCCAGGACGTGGGCTCCGTGCAGTCTGCAGAGTGGTGGATTCCACCCCTCGGGTCAGTGACGTTGTTCAGAAACAGCCAGACAATGTGCGCCAGGGCCAGGCAGCCCGGGGTAGGCAGGATGGGGTGAGGATTCCCAGGAACAGCAGAGTGGCATCGTGGGGACGGGGAGGGTTCTGGGAGGTTCTGGATGCCTGTACCAGCACCTGGGCACCAGTGGAGTGCTGCCTCTTGAGGCAGGTGACAGTGAGGCTGGCACTTGTACCAAGGTGGGTACAGAAATGAGCCCTGTGACCCGAGTGGCAGTCTCCATGCAGGGACTACAGACACCTCGGATCACACAGCAGGGACTCTGAGGACCGTAACATCTCACCTAGCAGCTACGGCCAGGCAAGGGGGGGAATGCAGTGGCCTCATGGTGGCAGGAAGGCCTCCCTGACCTGTGCTGGGTTGTCCCTCCCCCCAGATGGCCTCCTCACTGTGGGGCCACCTCTGTGAGCACCGGGACCTATGGAGGTGACAGGTAACACTTTAATGACACTGGACCCAGGGCAGCTGCCCTATACCCGGCAGGAAGGGCCAGTCAGCCCTCTGCCACCTGGCCCGGCTGCAGTCCTGAGGACTAGGGGTCCTGTGCTATCCCAGGGCCGTGGTCACTGGTGGGACATGCTGACATGTGACAAAGGGAGACCCCTCCAGAGCAGGACCAGATGTCTCTGCGTGTCTACTATGTACAGGTATAAATTAAAGCTACACTTATGGGACATATACAAATAAATAACTTACTTTGAAACAAATGTTTTAAATTGACTTTCTGGTCAGATCTGGGACCAGCAGGGCCCACAGGGCCCAGGGCCCGAGCTGGGAGTCTGCATTCCTTGGGGCCCTCTGTGGACGCCCGGGAAGCTGCTGGGCTCACTCCGCTTTGCAGCTTCCTTCAAAGCAAAAGTGAGTGACAGGGCCAGGGGCACAGTCAGCAGCACGGCGCCCGCCTGGCAAGCGCAAAGTTGTGAGTTTAATCCCTGGTGCCACGCCCCAAAAAAAAGAAAAAAGGAAGAAAAGAGGGTGTCAAAGCTTCAATCCTCGAACATCAAGCCCAGGCCCAGAGCCGGCCCCACCTCAGCCCTGCCAGTGTACCCAGAGCCACAGGGTCTGCAGGCACAGCGGGCTGCCTGTGGTGCTGTCCCTGCCCACCTCGCTACGTGCCTGCTCCAGGCCGGGACGTCCACCTGGACCTGAGGGTGATGCCTGCCCCTCCTCTGGGAGGGGACAGGAACCAGCAGCAGCTCGACCAGTGGCTGCCGGTCAGATCAGCCTGCAAGCCTGGCATTGAGGACTTTATGGATTAGGCCCAAACACAGCAAGAACTTCCGGTCTACAGATTTCTTCCCTTTACACAAATCTCATTTTCTATGGGATGAAGTGGCCGAAACTTCCTGTGATGGCTGGAAACCCAGAGGGAGTGGCAGTGGGTGCTGGTGTGACCAGGTGGCAGCCCCGGGGCAAGGCCTGGTGCCTCATGGACACCCAGGCCATGGCTTCTCAATGCATTCACAGGCCAGGAGCCAGGGGCCAGGGGCCAGGGGCCAGGGCAGCAGCCCCGGTCCTTGCTGGAAAAGTTTCTCATGTCCCAGACGATCTTCCTGCTCCGAAAGTGAACCAGACAGCTCCTTGGGACCCCAAGTGTGGAGGATGGGCCCTGCCTGAGGCCTGTGGAAGTGCTGGCGATGCCTTGAGCCATGAGGGGCACCTCTGGGCTGGGGGCAAGAAGCTCCCGCAGCACAGCCAGTGAGCGGCCGAGCCATCGCCCAGCGGGTCCGGTGCTGCATCTTTCTGGACGGCGCCTCGGAGGCCCACAGCTCCTCCCCCAGAAGCTGCTGGCCAGCGCCGTCTGCCTCCTCCGGAACACTGCGCAGTGGGCAGTGAGGCGGGGCCACGTGTCCACGCCTCAGGGTGCAGACCAGGCGCTCTGGCTCCCAGACTCCGCATGTCTCCAGCCTGCAGATCCGGCCTCTGGTACCAGGCCCGCTCCAGCCCAATGTGGCAAAACATAGCACCCGAAGCCTGTCACAGGCAGACAGATCAAGGAAACAGGACCAGGAGCGCTGGAGATGGGGCCTAAGTGAAACAGGCAGAGAGGTTTCTTCTAAAAACGCCGTTGACTCTCCACGCCCCAGGGAAAAGCAGTGAGGTGGGGACATAGCACCAGATGTGCCTGCCTGCCTGCCCCGCTGATGCTGAGGGCAGGGAGGGCTGGATACACTGTGCTCAGGACACGCTCACTGTGGCCACCCATCTTCAGCCCGTGAGGTGGCCACGAGGCGACCCTGACGTCACATGGCCGCAGCTGGGAGCCTGGAGAGGTGTGGGCAGTGACCAGGCTGTTCCAGGGCTCAGGGTCCATCTGTCCCCCCGTCTGGTGTCTGCTGGTTGGGGGGTGGAGGGCAGGCCCTGCTGAAAGCAGCCGTCTGGCTGGCTGGAGGGACGCGGCTTGTCCACTGACCACAGGAATCCTCCACTCCAGCTCAGTGTCTTTGTTTCTGGGTTTTTAACAGGAGAACAGGAAGCTGAGGTCTCATGAGTGAACTTCAGAAGGGCACCGTTCTGCAGCTTGGCGGACGGGTTGGCAGTGGGCAAGGGTGGCATGGCAGGACTCGGTCGCAGAGCCTCGGATATCCTGTGTGGCTGCTCTGGGAGCACCATGTTGCAGACCCTGGGAGCTGGCGGGGTGCAGTCTCTGCCTGGGGCTGGAGCCACCTCCATTCCTATGTTCCGTTCTTCAGCTCCCATTCCTGGAGAAAGCAGAGCCACATCACCCCCAGTGGTACCTTTCAGGCACGCAGCACCACAACCCTAGTCTTCGGGACCAGAAGGAGGGGGCGCTGGGCCACCATGGAAGGCAGGATGGGGCACCTTCCATACCCAGCACCGGGGCCTGGCAACCCTACTTACAGTACTCACCCACCCAGACAGCGTCAAGGCTAGAAACCTGCCCCAGGAACCCTGGGAGGAACCGAATCTGACGGACCCACAGCGAGAAGAGATTTCAGGGTCACAGTCAGGTCCCTGTCCCTAGAAACCTGGATGTCTGCCCAGCTCACGTGCCCTGAAGCTGTGCGTCAGACCCTATCGAGGGGGCAAGAAGGCTGTGACCCGCTCCCCGACCTCCTGGGGGTGGCACCCTTCCTCCAGAGCTGCAGAGCCAGCTGTTGGAGACATAGCTGGGAACTGTCTGCTGGGAGAAGCTAGGGCTCGTGTGGCCAACAGGCCTGAGAGGCCTCACTTTGGCATCAGGCACTGCCTGTCGGTTAGTGATCTCGGACTGGAAGCACCAGGGATGGAGCTGGCAGGATCGGATTATGTCCTGGGGCGGGGTGGGGAGAGAAGTGCGTGCTCCAGCTCTTTCTTTTTGGAGGAATCATGGCACTTAAGCACTGCCAGGGGCTGGGGGCCACCTGGCCCAGTGTCCACTCCACCTGGCCCAGTGTCTACTCCCCCAAGAGACAGGCCTGTGGGGTCAGGAGGCCCAGGCCGAAGCCAGCACTGCAGGGACCTGGTCTCTCTGGCTCCCAGAACCCAGGTCCAGAAAAACAGTCTGACAAGGTGGGAACCCAGCGAAAAAGCCTGGCACGGCCGCACCCTGGCGGGACACCCTGGCGGGGACAGGGACGCACCTTGGCCTTTCGAAGCACATGGCCCCGGCAGGGTGAGCTGCCTGTGGCCGGCGGGCTCCTCCTTAGGACGGCGGCACTGTTCACGGGTAAGGGGCCCTCGGTGTCACTTGTGTCACAGCTGGAGACCGGAGAGTTCTCCAGCGTCCGGTGCCGGAACACGGGTGACTGGGGGTGACAGAGGGTGACAGAGGCAGCTCTGTGTGAGCAGTGGCTCCTGGGGTTCCCTCAGAGAACCAGCTTTGGGAACCAGCGCAGCAAGGCCGCCCCAGGTCCCGGCCCAGCCTCTGCATACTGCGTCATGCCCATCAGCAGGCTGGGCGTCGAGGCCCAGGGCAGGCGCCACCTGCTCCTCCTCCCTATGTGGTGTCCCTCCCTGGATAGGCCTGGCCCAAGTTTTGGCTCAGATCTAGGGCGTCGCCACAGTCTCCCGTGTCCCGAGGTGGCCACAGGCGGGGTAGCTAGCTACACTCATTGGGGATCCATCCACGCATGAGTGCGTGGCTGACTGCCGTGGGAGGCAGGGCCTGGCACCCCTTAGTGGAGGCACTGAGGACTGACCCTCCCCCTGCAGGGGCAGCCACAGCCTGGGGTATACACACCCCCAGGAGTGTGCAGGCTGTCCCTTCAGGACATACTGGAACAGAGCTCTCGCCCACCGTGGAGCTCCCTGACTGCGGTTCCCAGGCACAGCACTCAGCTCCAATTGAGCTTCCCTAGGAAATGCTCCCAAGGCCCAGGTGGACTGGGGTGTGCAGGAGTCACATCAGTGACAGGGACAGACTACAGGACAGATTTCCAGCACGCTGCTGGCACTGGAGAATGTCTGCCACCAGTGTCCATCAGAGGACAGTGACCATGTCCATGGAGAGGACACACTGCCCGGGTGCCGCCAGGACGCTGACCTGTGGGCTGGACGTCCCCGACTTGGGCTCGATGGCCAGCCCCAGGGTGACGCCACCAGCCAGGGCTTTCTTCAGGCTCTCCTTGACCTCCGTCAGCTCCAGCTCCAGGCTCACACGCTCCGCCTCCCTCTGTTTGCACTCCTCCTCCAGCTTCCTCAGTTTCTCCTCCAGCACCACCTGGGTCTTCCTGCCTGTGAGCACAGATGGCACTGGAGCCTCAGGCAGCAGCCGCTGTCCCCACACCCCAGCCCAGGCCCTGGCTCTGCTGAGCTGGGGAGAGACCGGGCCATGGGCCTGACGCCCACACTGCAGGACTCCCGGCCCACACCTTAGCTTCTCACTTAAGAAAGTGCCACTGGCTTGGAAGTCTGCAGGACCTGACCTACCAAGGCCCAGGGATGCAGGCCGTGGCCTCCAGTTACCTAGACCTGAGCTGGGTCCAGTGACCGACCACTGGGAAGGGGGGGCCAAGGCCTGGGGTACCTGGCCAGGACCCATCTGTAGCACCGTCAGCCTGGAGGAGACACACTCCTGTCACACCATAGCGTGGGCCGCCAGTCTCCTGGGCAGAGCAGGGGCCATCGAGGGGCACAGGCTGGCCAGAACCCTTCCTACCCGCGTTCACTTCGATGGCAGCCCGCAGGTCTCTCCGCTCCTTCCGCAGCTGTGCCAGCCTGTTCCGCAGGGTCTCCTTCTTCTGCAGCAGCTCGTCCTCTCTGGTCTGCAGCCGCCTGGCGTCCGCCTCCACCCGGTTTTTGCCGTATTTGTACTGCTCAGCATCTATGGAGGAGCACAGGCAGTCAGCCCGTGGTGCCACCCGCCCTGCCAAGCAAGCCCGGGCTGGACCCAGGACACCGTGACTGTTCCAAAGCCCCGGGGCTCTCGGAAGTGAAGGTGCACAGAAAATGGGTCCTGGGGACCTTCTAACCACGCCCCCAAGGAGCTTGTTATCCATCTGCAGCAAGCCGAGGCTGGGCCTGGGGCTTGGAGGCTGTCACTGTCCGGGTCACCACTGGACCCTAGTTCTGTGTCCCCCTGCACAGTTCGCTCTGCTCCTTTGCGGCCTGTCCTGCGCTGATTCTGTGGCAGCCATGGGCAGGAGATGAGGCAGCACAGGGTGCGCCCGGGTGCAGCGCGGCAGTTGGAGTGACCTGAACAAGGTCTAGGTGTCCCTGGGCCTCTGGGCCCTCGTGTGGGAAGCGGGGTGGTGACGAGGGTGGACTGGTCAGTACACCGTCCACCGTGAGCTCTGCATCGGTGCTGGTTAAACACAGTGAGGAAAGGGGAGAGGGTATAAGGACACCTCAGAGCAGCTGACGTCACTGCAGGCTAAGCCCGAGTGCTGCCTCTTCCTGCACTGGCCTTCTGTAACTGTGCTTTAGAAACAGCCTCTCGGGAAAATACGCCAAAGAGATTCAGCTTCCAACCGGGAAGACCGAGGATCCCGTTTTGCAGCTTTAATTGCTTCTCTCCTCTATGATTCTACCTCCAGGGTCCGCTCGCAGAGCCTGAGGGTGCCCTAGGGCCCCTTCCTGCTTGAGACTGCCCAGAGCGTCCAACTCCCCGCCTCAACTTCCAGCCCACAGAGCAGAGGTCAGGGCCGCCCAGCAAGTCCTGCAGTAATGGCTCCATGGCCACAGCCCCAGAGCCCTGTCCAGGACGGTGGGCCACACCCCAGCCTGCCTGAGTGTGAGGCTCCTGGTGCTTGCAGTGCAGGCCACTGAGGGCTCCTGGAACACAGGGACAGGAAGGTCACTCCAGGGAGACCCTGCAGCTCAGCATGAGAGGGGCCAGCAGCCTGGGGACACCTCAGTCCTACAAGACCAGCCTGCTGTCCTCGTGGCCAAGGCGGTGTTACATCTCACAGAACAGTTCAAACGCTTCTCACTTATTTACACCTGAACAGATTTGCAGACGACCTGTAAATGCCCTCGCCTTTGGGCTCTGAGCAGCGATTCCAGGCCATCTACAAAGAGGCTGGATTCACCAGTAACTGCGCAGGGTGCAGCTGCCCGCTGCCAGGAAACTGGCTGCAGAGCTGTCCGGCCTCAGTGCCTGCGGCCCTCCTCAGCTCCTACTCTGAACCGCACCACAGAGCCGCGGAGGGCAGGACTGGGTGACCAGGGACACTGCTGCAGAGCGGACAAGGTGAGGTCTGAGTCCCAGGTGACAGTGATGAGTAGCAGGAAGCCTAGGCCAAGTGGGGCTCTGGTAAGAGTGTGGCCATGATCGACACCTGACGCCAGGAGGCCAGGCCCAGATGCTATCTGCAGGGCAGTGCCCCCCCCCACTTGGAGGTAAAAGCAGGGCCAAACCCCATCCCCAGCCTCTCTGCTCACCTGCTTCTGCTGGTCCTGTGGCCTAGACGTGGTTGCTGCCCTGGCTCGAGATGTGACCCATGCAACCCAGAGTAAGGCTGCCGCCCCCGGGCAGCCATTTCTCACTGTTCAGAGTGGTCAGTGACAACAGCCACCCAAGGTTGATCACAGCAGCTGGCTGTGGACCATGGTGGACCCCCGGGAAACACAGCGAGACTCAGGACCAGGGTCCAGGGTCACCATGGCCCCCTGGTGGGCCTCCTCTAAGACCACAAGTCCACATGAGCGTCCCGGGAGTGGCACGGGCTGGGTTAGGGGGTCCTCACCACACTCCATTTCCACACAGAGGGACAACAGCACCATGGACCCCCATACCCGATCCCCGAGTGGCTGGGTCGCCCTGACTCTGTGACCCAGCTTTCAGAAGCAGCAGGAGGCCCGGGCGGGAACTCACTTGAAGCCGTCCGCTTCACGATGGACGTGGAATCCACTTTTTTCTGCTGACTGCTTGGAGTTTTCCCTTTCCCAGGGACCCCATTCGATGCTGGTGGGGGTTTCTTACCCTTGAGCTGTCAGAACAGACGTAGGGAATTAAAAACACCTCCCCACTGCAATCATTTCCCCCAGACCCTGGGTAAGTAGAAGCTCAAACAGCCAGGGCTCGGCGAGGAAGGGACCCGACGTGGTTTCCAGAGCCTGGTGCCACGATGGCCCGGGTGGCCGACAGAACTCTGCTGCCTGGACTGCTGGGCCCTTGGGGCTGCCCAGGCCTCACTGACCCCATGGCGGCCTTGGCAGGATCGATGCAGACACAGCCCTGTCCCCGGGGACTGGTGCTGTCTGACACTGCCCTATTCTCCCGCTGGGCCCAAGATGCTCAATTCTTCTGTCCTTCAGGAGCCCCAGAGCAAGCCAGGGAACTTCTGAGCCTCTGCCTGCTCACCCAAGGAAACACCAAGCGACTGACCGGTCTCCCCACGGGGCTCCTCCTAAGGGGCCTGGGCATCCACAGCACCATGTCCGCAAGGGCACTGTCCACATCGCTCAGCAGGCCCGTAAAGTGGCTGTAAGGTGGGGGGAAGCTACTCTCCAACGCAGAAATGAGCAAACAGGGAAACGGCACTAATCAGCCACGTGTCCAGTGACTCCCCGCTGGCCTGGGCCTGCCTGAAGGGCCACGCTTTCACTCGGGGCCGCTCTGCTACCCACAAAGAGACAGGTGCATGCGTGGACACACAGTGCCCGGTGAGGAAAGGCAAGGCAGTGCCCAGGCTTGGGCAGAGGTTCTCCTAGTAGCGCCCACGCCCACCCGCACAGCCGCTAGGTCCCGTGGAGACGCTGCTCTGCCTCTGCCACACTGTCTGGGTCCCCAGGGCTCAGCCGGGCCCACTGCCGTCACAGTGGAAGGGAGGGGGACACAAAGCATGCCCGCTGCTTCTCGCTGGCAGGGGATTTTCCAGAAGGAGCCTGGATCGCCAGGCAAAGCGTAAGGAGCTCTCAGGTTAGAAACTCGGTAAGTCATCATCTGTCACACAGCTGGACAGAGTGTGCCCCAGCTGCCTGTCCACTCCATCTGCTACGGCAGCAATTTTCCAAGGCGGAAAAGGCAGCCCAGTGCTTCTATCAGCTGTGCAGCAGCCAGGAATGTGTCCCCTGTCCCTCGGGATTTCCCAGTCGAGGAAGAAGTTACACTTTGCCTGGCTGTGTGTTTCTGCACCTCACGAGCACCCATGGCTCACGGCCCCAGTGGGCAGGGATCCCGGGTGGCTCCGGCACCCCGGAAGCGATCCTGTACCTGGAGGTGGGGCCCGAGAGACGCCCTCCCCACAGAAGAGGTGTTAGTGACAGACGGGGTGCAGGGCAGGCCCGAAGCGGGGGACTTGTAGTGGTTAGAGGACAGCTTGTCCGCAGACAGCCTCGAAGCCTTCCTGTCGGCAGGAGAGGAGCGAGCAAAGATTTTCGGAGACGGCAAGTTATCGTAGAGGCCTGCGTTATCGTACAGCACCTCTTCTCCCGGGCCGGGGCCACAACAGGCGGGATGACCGCCGTCCTCCGAGTCCCACTGCCACACACAGCCCTGCGTTCATGCGGACAAGGAGAGAGCAGGTTAGCAAGCCAGAGGTTAGCAGCGCCCAGCACCCGCACGTGGGGACCCCGGGTGGTCCCCGAGATGCACACGCCAAGCCATGCACTCCCCACACGTGGGAGTGGAGGCCAACTCACAAGGACCCCTTCACTTTGGGGGTCTAAGGAAACTGCGTTCCCTTCGATCATTCCCAGAGCCATTACATGGTGCCATTTTGGTTTCATTATGTTTTCCAAAGCAGAAGTTACTCATCTGCCCCACTCTTCTCTAGCCAACCAGAGCTGGGTAGTCCTTGAAGGCAGAGCATGGAAAGGCCTGGAGTGCGGGCAGGGTCTTAGGACGGAGGCCTGGACTCCACCCCGGGGAAGGCTGCGCTCTGGGGAAAAGGCACTCCGAGCTTCAGAGGCCTCTTAGGGAGCAGGGGGAACTGAGCCAGAAGTCACTCCATCAGTGGGAGACAGAGCTGGACACACCCTGCCTCTGCTGAGCCTGGGCTGCCCGGTGGGGTCAGGGCCTAGGTCCGAGCCCACCGGACTGGTCCTGGCCCACACGGGCCAACAGTGAGTCAGGCCACGGTCACAGCCACATGTCTGCGTCTCCTCCTTGGTGACACCTGAATCAAGGGCCATGACCAAGCAAGACATGGTCTGCTAAGAAGGAAGTGGCCTCTCCGCAGAACTCGGACGCCTGGAACTGACAGACGACCGGGGTGGTTAGGGAGGGCTGAGAGCCACTTTGAGGACAGAGACCCTCAGGCCGCGGTCACTCCTGAGTGGGAATAAAACCCTGCTCTGCCTCACTGCAGGCCCTTTTGAGGCCCAAGGTCTTTACGAATCGCCCTGCGCTGAAGAAGCAAACACTGGTTCACACATTCTGCTCCTTTTACCCTATTTTCCTGTTCTTCCCGAAGTTTCCTCAGGCCAGACGGTAATTACAGGCCTTTGGGATAAAAACAGAGAAGATTAAACTGCAGTTACTTCCCTCAGTGGGGCTGGGGCCCAGACCACCCCCACCATCCAAAGCCACGCAGGTAAACCCGAAGCAAGTGCTCCGCCCTGACAGCCTCGCACATCTCTGTCCCCAGTGATTAACATGCTCTCGACCAGACCAGCATTTGCCTAAAACACCCAGGGTGAGTCACACAGAAGACTTAGGGAACAGTGACAGAAACCCCCAGAAGTGTCAGGGGTGGTGGTGCATGCCTGTAATCCCAGCACGGGGAGGCTGAGGCAGGAGGATCACCTGTGTCCCAGGCCAGCCTGGCTCCATAGTGAGTTCAAGGCCAGCTTACACTACATAGCGAGACTCTGCCTCAAAACACAAAAACAAACGCAAAAGGCAAAAGACAACAAAAAAGGTTCTTGATGAGACGTGTGGAGTTTCATCTTGGTTTAAATATCTGGGAAGCTGCATGGGTGATAACGAAGGAAGCTGAGACACCGCTGACCTCAAGGATCTGGCCAGAGCGCACAAACTTCACAAAATCCAGCCATGAATCCCCACAGAGGAAGTCACCTGGTCACCAGCCCAGCATGCAGATGTGAGAGGACCTGGGGGAAGCTGCGGTAAGCAAGTGGCCACAAACAGGCCCTCCAGATGTGGTCTTGAGAGCTTCAGTAGCCCCGCACTGGGAGGCTGAGGCAGGAGGGAACTCAACAGTTTAGTGAGACTCTGTCTCAGAAACAGACAGGCTTGGAGCGGTAGCTCAGTGTACAGTGCTGCCTCTAATCTCCAGAACCGCTTAAAAAATAATATATAGATACTAAATAAATAAAAAGGAAAACGCCACCGTGGGCAGGCACCTGACCTGGGGCAGGCGGGTAGCACACAGGACTCAGCTCCAGAGGACGCACCCAGCCTGGCTGCCAGACACATGTGGAGTTGGCCAGGCCAGGGTCTCAGCCGAACCCACGCATCACCTGGGAGCCACGCACGCTGGGGCGAGTCAGGCTCCAGCGCCCAGTGGGTGTCACAGGCCGGGGCTAACGCCCAGGCTCTGGGAAGCAGCTCCGACCCCTGCAGGCAGCAGCGCTTGGGCTTAGGGCTGAGGACAGGGCCGTCCTGGGCTGCACTGTGGTTACTGCTCCGTGGAATCTGGCAGTGACTACCTGGTGTTTTCCTCCTGCCGGAAGGCAGCTGCCTGCGGACAACTTACCCCGCCTGTTGACAGATCCACCCCAGCCAGGGGAGGAACAACGCAGTGTCCTCCAGCCTGTCCCACGGCACTCAGAGACATCTAACTGATGGGGTCCCCAGGTCCCCGTGTCTCTGTGGGTGGCAGGTGCCCAGGGGTACGGTGCCCCTGAGAGCCCCCATCTGTACGGAAGCAGGAGCCGCGTAACACTCACTGAGCCATTGATGCAGGGGACGGCGTCATAGTGCAGAGCTGTGCCGCTGGGGTTTGCGTAGCCATTGGTGGTGCTGCCCAGGTAGGGGCTGGTGGACACTCCGCGCCTGTTCATGAAGCTGGGGGGCGAGAGAGAAGAGGACTCAGGACTCAGGACTGGCTGACAGCTCTGCCCTGGTCCTTGGTGCAGCCTGAACTGCACAGAGAGACCCTGTCTCAAAAAGACAGGAAAAAAAGAAAGACAGAAAGAAAAAATAAAAATAAAAAATACAAATAACCATTACTGCCAGCTTACACCTCCCACAAAGGTCTTAAAGAAGTGAACAAGTTTCCTGCAGCCCTAGACATGGCTCGTGCACCCTGCTCAGTTTTCGGATTCTGCAAGCCGTATTTCTTTCTTGAAAAGATGGGACCTTCTCACACCGGGCTCAGGTTAACAGTCTACTAATCCGTAAAGTAAAAGCCAGATTGTGTCCTGAGGGAAGTATTTGTGTGCAGGCCCTCCCGGGTGGCGGTGGACCGGAGACCCCAGCCACACACACTTCTGCAGCGGCTCAGCTGGGGGAACCTGTCCCTGAGGTGGTGGCCTGCTGTCCTCTGCACCAACTGTGCCACCAGGGATCCTGCCCCTGGCCACGGCGTGAAAACTGAGAGAGGCACTGCTCCCCGATGGTGCACCCCACCTCCTGCCTGGCTGGGCCTGGAGCCTGCGCTGTATCAGCAGGGCCACCCTGGGATCCGGAGGAGCCTCGGCCCTCATAGTTGAGCACTTGGAAGTGGGTGGCCCCGTGGAAGCTTCTAGGCCTGATACACAGGCAAAGGCAACACTTGGGTTTCCTAATGTCTCCCCATCCGCCTCGTGAGGCCCAAGCCGCCTTGCCCTTGGGTTAGGCCCCCAGGTGCCTCTAGGACAGGCCCTTCAGTGCTGGCTGTCTCCTCCAGAAGCCAAGGCCACCACATCCCTGGGTTTGGCCACTGTCTTTTTACAAAGGTCCCCACATGCTAGGAAGCTGCCTGGCCCCCAGCAGGGGTGCAGAGGGGCTGCCCCAGTTCCCATCCCAGTCGCAGGTGCCGTTTCCTAGGACAACAGCAGCAATTAGCTCACCGAGACTGAGCATCGGATGGCCTACCCGCTGTGGTTTAAAGTCAAAGCAACAGTTTTTGCTTTGGTGAGAACGGAGGCCAGAACCCAGGGCATCTGCCCCAAGCCAGGTCTGCAGCCCTTCTTATTTTTAGTTTTTTTTTTTACACTTTTTTTTTCTTTTTATCGGTACCGGGGTCTTATTTTTAGTTTTGAGATAAGTCTCGCTAAGTTATCAGGAAGGGACTCAAACTTGGGATCCCACTGCCTCAGCCTCCCTTAGGGCTGAAGTCACAGGCCAGCACCACCACACCCTGTTAAAATCGGATGTTGTGAAAGGTGGCCAGTGGCCTAGCAACTCCACAGCAGGAGAGCACCCCCTACCCCTCAGCCCCTGCCCTGGGAGAAAGGACCCACCACTCGGGGCAGCCTGGGTGCGGTGCTGCCTCCGCGCCAGGCCTGAGTGTCAAGGCCCTGTGACCTGTGGAAAGGGCCCTGGACCGAACAGAGAGCTGTGGCTGTAAATACTTTTGCCATTGTGATAGGAAGGAAATATGTAGGGTTTGAAAGAATGATTGTGCACAAGATTGCCTTGTGCTAAAATCACAGCTTAAAACAGAGCACTGGATTCGGCGCTTCACAGGCTCAGCCTCGCTGCAGCGGGAGCAGGGTCATTTCTGCCACATGGTACATGGAAGGGGCAAACCGCAGCCCCTGGGCCAAACCTGGCCACTGCTGGTGTGCAAATCAAGTTTTATTGTCATCCCCTTCACTCAAACTGTCTCCCACTCCAGTGGCAGCGCTGAGTGGTGAGGAGAGGAAGATCTGGGTCACAGAGCCAGACGTCTGCTATCCGGCCCCTCATACAAGGCTGCCGGTCTGTGCGCTAACAGGAAACCAGGGACGAAAGGGCAAAAGCAGATCTGAAGTAATAAAAAGGGAGGTCTTCTGGGTCGGCTTGTTTCGACCACACACTTATGCCCAAGCCCTGGTCAGGCATCCAGGCAGTGGCCAGTGGCAGGGCGGGCTTACCAGAAGGTCTGCTTGGCGGTCTGGATGACATTGGCAGACATCTCCACATCAATATAGTCGTAGTGCAGGGCCCCGGGGTCAGTGGACGAGCCCGTCTCCGCCAGCAGGATCCCGATCCACCTGCCCATGTCTTCCGAGGAGGAGGCCTGCGGGGAGAGGCAGTGCATCCTTGTGGGTCCTTCAAACACTGCCGGGGGGCCACCCAATGGGAGAGGCCATGAGAGGTGAAGGTGGGACACAGAGGACCCCGGCCTCGCCCGAGTGCTGGGCTCACAGAGGGCGTCTGGGAGCAAAGATGCCAAGGGCAGAAGCCAAGGAAGAGGAGCCCAGACAGAGGCTGGGCGTGTGACACAGGTGTGACCACTGCCAGCTCCACGCCAGTGAAGGCAGCTGCTCCGGGAGCCCCATGCATTCGGTGGCAGAATGGACAGTGCGCACTGCACCCACTGCCGTGTCCACCACGCCCACAGGGGCCCCATGACACGGGATCACCAGGCCACCCTGCATGGGCCACTCTCACAACCCAGCTGACCCCACAATCTGATCTGCTTAACTTGCACATCTGAAATAGATCTCTAAGATTATTCTCATCACGTTCTATGCCACCCTGTGACATGATTTGGAAAGTCACTAACAGCGTATGAGAGGTCTAAATAAATGTGATTAATCAAAATGACCAAGGGGGTTAAAGTAGGGGAAACTGAGCTACGGAAGGGGTGAACAGACTGAATGCTTATAAATTGAGGACTTAGCTTAGTGGCATAAGCACCTGCCTGGCAAGTGCGAGATTGTTTGATCCCCAGTACCAAAAAAACAAAACCAACAAAAACAAAACATAAATTTTTAAAGTAGAGAAACATTTATAGGTAGATTTGGGTTTGCGATTCTGTTCCATACCAGGGAGAGCCACACACTAAGAAGTCCCCTTGTGAGTGAGTGACACTGGCGATAAATCAACAGGACCCGGAGTGCAAGAACCCGGCCAGTGTTTCCAGACTCATGTGGACTCTGCTGAACACTTGGGCTCTGAGAAAAATGACAGCTGTGTTCTCGTCACGGTCTTTGGTCCTCCCTCAAGCAGAATCTCTGCCGGGACAGGGCTGCGGCTGGGGTGGAGGGCGTACCTGTGTGTGTGCCACCCAGGTTCCATGCTCAGCAGTGACTCAGGGAGCCATCCACTGACCCCACTCCTTGTGCCACGGCTGCTTCCCGGAGGTGTTTTCTACACTGCTACCATCGAGGGCGTGCAGGGCGCCACTACACCAGCGTCCACTCACCGACTGTTTTATGAACGGGCCTCGGAGGCTTTGGGCAAGCAGCCCCATGCTGTGGGACTGGGCCTGAAACCAGTGACTGCCTCCTGACTTTTGAGTAGACACAGAAACAAGCCCTGGTGGGGTGTGGGTGTGTGCACTGAATCACTGCCACGCACAACATGTAAATGGGGGTGGGCACACACCAGCTCATTTCCTGGGTGTGTCCACGGTGCAGGCCCAGCAGCAGCATGCCCGCCCACCCGCGCAGCACCGGCTCCTCCACACCTCTGGGGGAAGTGCTGCACACACATGGGGCAGAGAGGAGGCCAGAGCGGCCTGGGGCACCTCACTGTGGGCTCTGTAGAAAGTCAGCGCCACACAACAGGGCCACAAGGGCTGACTGCCAAGGAACTTGGCCCACACAGATCACGCTAACAGAGGCTCAGGAGTGACCATGACACACACATCCATGAATGCGTGCGTAACTGGTGAGAGGGGAGGGAGTGGCGAGGACAGAGGGGACGCTGGGCAACACAGTCATGATCAGCAACTGTCCCTGCAGTGACTGTGCTGGGCAGGTCACCAATGGGTGCCTCCGAGATAGTGAGTGACAGTCTCAGAGGACCTCCCCTTAGGGGGACCGAGGTAACTGGGGGGTCCGATCCGAGTTAATGCTCTGGGATTGAGACATGCTGACACCTGCGCCCCACAGGAGCTATAAATAACGCCACTTCCACAGGGTTCCTGCTGAGGCCCTTCCAGATCCAATGCAAGCAAACAGTACCCGTGTGCCCAGCGTGGAGCTGGTCCGAGCCCTTGGAAAGGGTCGGCAGCGGAAACCAGCCAGGCCGGCAAGTGACAGGTACCCGGCGGCTACGTCAGCAGGTGAGCACGGGCTTTCTCCTGATGGCGAAGGACAGGACTGGAATTTCCTGGGAGGAGCAAGCAAGGTGGGGGACCCCAGAAGAGGACAGGAGCGACCCCGTCCTGACAGCCACCTGCTCTCCCCCCCAGCAAAGACGCAGGGAGGCTGTGCAGGTGCAGGGAAGCGTCATGAGCGGTCCCGGGTGACTTGCTACATCCACATGGAGGGGCCAGGGAGGTAGCAAAAGAGACCAAACTCGGGGAGATGTCACTGTGTGGGGACCCCGGGTGAAGGGTATACGGGGTTTTCTGTGCTATTCTCGTAACAGCTGTCTCTTGGGAATATCTCAAAACAGAAGCTGCACTGGTCTCAGGAGACACATGGACCACGCCTCGGCTGGCTCACCACACACCGACACTAGCGAAGGCAGACTCCACACTGACCACAAAAGCTGTGGCTGCCTCTGGTTTCTGTCACTCTCAACTCCATAACCTTACAGTGTGACACCAGTTAACTCCAGAGTCCCAATCCCACAGGGCCCAGGCTAGCACCTCTCGCCTGCCCAGCCTGCACACCCAGCCCAGCCCCACACCCGTGTGCCCTGGCCAGGTGTGTGCCACCTCTCTTCCCTCCCACTGTCGAGTCTCCTGGACTCCCTGCCCAAGCTCCCGGGGAGACCCAGGCTCACCTCTCAGGGTCAGGGCTCAGACCATCCCATGGCCACGCGCCCACACTCTTCACACCACGGAAACATCTACATAGACACTGACGCGGCCCAACACAGGTGCCACCTCGTAGGAAAAGGAAGCCAAGGACTCTGCTGCAAGCAGGGCCCATGACAGATGCCATGATGGGCATGACTCTCCTAAGGGGTCCTAAGAGCATCCGTCTGCAGGAGCTCGTGGCCGCAGCCAGGGGGCGCAGTAGGTCCTGAGTCCCCCTCCAGAGGGGACTGTGCTAAGCAGCCTTGGAGAAGATGCTATTGGGGTTTTCACCTGCTCTGGGCTCCCGTCCTGCCCCCAAATAAAAGCCTGTGTGAAAAGTCCCCGAAACAAACTCCTGCCTCTGAGATTCAAGACCCTGACTGCCTGGCTGGGCACCTTGATGCTGGCTCCACCCTGCATCCCTGCTAGCATCTGGGGTCTGGCTCTGGCTGACCAGCTGAGAGCCTGCACCAGCCCACTGCCCAGGCCACACACGGCCTTGTTCTGCAAGCACAGTGGAAACACACGCTCTCTGGGAACATGCAGGTGTGTGTGTGCGCGTAGCTCTGCACCGTGAAAATAGCAGCAACATGGCAGGAGGGAGACGGGAAGGAGAAAGCAAACCGATGTAACAGGATGGAAAGGGGCACTCCCCAACACGGAGCTGGCATCGGCGCTGTCAGCTCAGCTGCCCGGCTCTACTTCAGTGGGTAAAGGACCAAGCAGCCAGAGAAATAAAACACGCAGAAGCCGAAGGTCCAAAGTGCAGAGAAGCCCCGGCTTGCTGTCCACAGGGCCACTGCATGGTCCCCGAATGCTGTCTCACCAGGAAAGAAGTCGAGGGCATCCTGAAGCAGGCTCGGGACCCGCCGCTCCCCCTGGGGTTTCACGAGCTCGGGAGCTCGGCTCTGGGTACCCACAAGGGAACCCCCACAACACAACAGGAGGCGAGAACAAAGGTGGACACTCAGGGCCGTGCTGTGCCGCTCGGAAAGGCAGGAAGAGGAGGGAAAGCGGAGGTAGGGGCCCGGCCAGGGCGGATGGGGATGCTCCAGGCGGTGCCATCAGTCAGGAGCAAGGGACGGGAGCCAGGGCAGAAGCAGCTGGCAGGAGACCGCCACGGGGCGCCCCTGGAGAGGCCCCTGGAAAGCCCATACCTCCAGCACGGCCACCTCCTGTCCGTTGCGGAGCAGCCGGAAGGTCAGGGGGTGCTTGGAGTCCAGGCCCGGGATCACCTCGCAGCCGCGGAGGGGTATGGACACGATGTGGGTCTTCAGGTCCGCCCTGTCCTTGTGGAAGACCAGCTTGTTGGCCTTCACCCTGCACCAGCGCTCCCGCCAGCGGTTGTTGGAGAGTACGTTCAGGTAGCCTGCGAGGAGACCAGAGGTCAGCATGGGCAGGCACCGGGCAGAGGACCTGGGTCCTGCCGTGCCGCCCTGCCAGAGATGCGGGAAGGTGACAGGCAGACGGCAAGTGCCCCACCCCCACACTCTGACCACAAGCCTCGGAAGTTGCTACCTCTCTGTGACTCCATGGAGCAGAGGCTAGGGCTCTCTCAAGGCAGCAGAGGGCAACCAGGATTGGAGGTGCCAAGTGACCCAGCTATGCCCCTTCTGGGCATCTTCCCAGAAGAATTAAAAACACCATACCATAGTGACATAAGTGTGCCCATGTTTGCAGCACCATAACCTGTGATAGATAGGTTTTGGAGGCAACCCAAGTGCCCATCAATCAACCCAGGAATGGAAAAAGGTGACTTTTTTATACAATGGAGCACGACTCAGCCATAAAAATGATCAACTGAATCCTTTTACAGGTAAACAGATGCAAGTCCATACTCATAAGTGAAATAAATCAGACGCATGTGTGCAAGCAAATGCATTCTCCCCAGTGTGAGAAGCCGAGAGTAAACATCAGGCAGCACAAACGTGTATTAATTCCGGAAATAATGTCATGGTAGCCTTTCAAAGTTTTTCTTCCTTTTCAAAACTGTTTTAATGATTTCAAGGCCTTCGCCCTTTTGTATCAACTTTAGAAAAGTCTGCCAATTTTAATAGATCGGAATTTTCATTAGACTTAGAGTATTAGATCAGTTTTTGGAAAATCGTTGACTTCAAGGGTTTCACCCTAAAATGTTTCTTGAAATCCTCAGTTTCACTGTAATGCTTCCCGGTTTTCTATCTGTGGGCCTCGGAAACTCTGCGGTTTCCGGCCATTACACATTTTAATAGCCCGTAAGCAACGCGGTTTGCTTTTGCTGTCACTGCAAAGAGGAAGGGCGGCTGCCCGTCAGTAAAGTTTATTAAAAACAAAGGTCGGCAGAGGCTCCTCCAGGAGCTAAGAACCGGTCCTGGGGTCTGGAGAGGGCGACAGCCACTGAGCACTGAGCCGGGGTCAGGGACGGCTGGGAGGGGACAGGGCTGCTGACCACTATCACCCTGAGCCAAAGGGGATTCGTTGGAAGGCTATGGACTGATTTTGAGAAGCCACAAAAGCTGTTAAGTGCACACGAGCTGTGGTAAGGTGGATTTTAGCTTAACATGAGGGGAAAAAAAAAACCATCTGAAAACAGTGAGGTCCGGCTCTGGGGAGACCCCATAGAAGAAGGGACCTTGGCCCGAGGAGTCCTCCAGGTCTCAAGCTGCACCTTGGCTGGAGGGGAGGCCGCGTGGACCGAGCTCCTCAGGCGGGAGGTGATGGTGATGTCAGTGCACTGCAGAGAGAGACACTGCCGGGGCGGATGCACGAGGATCATCGCCCACTGCTTAAGGGGGAATTTAAGAAATGGGAAGTTTTCAGCTGCCACAGCATAAGATGCTGACAGGGGCTGCGAGCTCCAAGCCCTGCTCGAGGTCAAGAGGGAGTTAAACCATGCACAGGCCGAGGACTGTGGCAAAACTGAGGGTTCTGACCCACACTGTGGACCTTTTCCGATTCGTGTACACGTGCACACATGCACACACACATGCACACATGGCTAAAGATGTTAAAAACAACAAATCCCCCTAGTCCTTTCTCCAGAGGCACAGAGAGAACCCTGTTGCTTCCCTGTGTGCTGGGGCTCACAAGCTCTGCTGCAGGGAGCAACACCAGACCAAAAGGGACCAGGACTGCAGGACCCACAGCGAGGCTTCATCTAGTACGTGTAAACCTGGCAAGGCGTCTGCTAAATAAATCCAGCGTGCCCACACCGAGCCTAAGTCTCCGTCTGGCCGGACGAGTGCTCGGAGCCGCGCCCACGGGACACCCTGCTTCCCCTGGGATGTAAGCAGCAACCGCAGCCTCCGGGAATACAGAACAGGCTGAGGTAGGCCAAGGTCCTCGGGTGCTTCACACATTTAGGAGCCACTGCAGGGGCCGGGATCTTGAGGGCCCAAAGAGAGGCAGAGGGAGCCCGTGGGCCAGCCAGAGCTGACGCCACAGGGTGGAAAAGGTGACAGGAAGGAGCCGTCACTCTGAATACAGCTGCAGGTCTCAGCGTGCTCTTACCCTGTCAGGCATAGTTACTATTATTTAAAAGGAAGCATGGTATGGTGCACACCTGTAATCCCAGCACCCTGGGGGCCGAGGCAGGACAGTTACAAGTTTAAACCCAGCTTGGGAGATTTGGTGACTTAGAGACCCTGTCTACCAAAAAACAAAAACAGAAACAAAAACACCCTGCCCTGGCACCTGAGCACGGGTCACTACAGGGGCTTCCTGTCTGTGGCTTGGACGCTGTCTATAATAACCGGTCACACCCAGAGCCCATTTGGGGCACTTTGGTGAACTGTCTGCCCCATGTGAGGGCTCAGTCTCCTGGGTGTGAGCCAACACACCAGTGTTTTGAAGAACCGCAAGGCCGGGTCCCTCCAACCGTCTGGATCACAGGGCGCCAGGTTCCTGCACACAGATCAACCAGCAGGCAGCAGTGTGGGCTGCGGGACCCACAGGGGACACCCAAGCTCCAGGAAGGACGGACGTGGGGGACCCTCCAGACACTGAGAGGGTGGACAGTGTGAGACACGGGCTGAGTGGGGCCCCGATCTCCACGCAGAAGGCAACCTGGAGTCGTGAGCGGGCCGGAGAGGCCCCCGGCCACAGGGCACTCAGGCAGGCAAAGGACAGCACGGCAGTGACAGCAACTCTGACTCCAGGGCCACTGCCTGCACCCACACCGAGCCCCTTGGGGCAATGGCAGGGTTCCCACACTGTCCACCAACTGAGGGGTACATTCTGGCCGGGCCCGTCTTTCCTGGACATGGCCAGCGTCCCCTGATGCCATGGATTTCCTGATGTTGCGGCCACAAAAGGAAGATTACACACAACAGAGCCAGCCCGTATTTATGGCATGACTTCATGGGACAGAACCCTACTGCAGTGCTCTTCTGGGTTTATTCATAGTTTTAAAAAGAGAAAAATGACAAAAGAAAGTGGCCGGCACAGATGGCCTGCTGATGTAACCAGGAAGCAATGCGGCCACTCGGCTGTCTCTCACAGAGGAGCCTGGGGTGAGAGGTGACCCCACACCCTCCCAGCACACCCAGGGTGGCCATGAACCCAGGCCAGCCAGGGCCCTGGCCATCACCTCCAGGGGCTGCAAGTCCAGTGCCAGAGGTGCCAAGGCACGGCCAGGCCTGGTGCCCGGCTGTGGCTCTGGGTGGCCACACAGCTGCCTGGTCCTTAAGTGGTCCACTCTTGGTTTGCTGATTTTGGGGTCTTGGTTTCTACTATGGTAGGGCACTGCTGCACCTTTAAAACTTGAGAATTTCAGAGTGGTTTAAGATATTTTTGCTCTAAATTCTAAAGCAGGAAATCTTTTTCGGCACCGTGGCATGGGTGCCTCCGACGGCTTCATTAGAATGACAAAATTAACTTTACAAGCCAGGCAAGGTGTACATACATGTAATCCCAGCACTCTGGGAGGCTAAGCCAGGAGACTTACAAGTTCAAACCCAGCCTGGGTAACTCAGTGACTTAGAGACCCTGTCTCAAAAAAAAAAAAAAAAAAAAAGATCTTTAGATACAGGTCAACGTGAAGGCCTTGGGGTCAATGCCCAGGAACACAAACACACAGACACACACTTCAATTCATGGGCACAGACTAAATAAGCATAGACTGAGAGGCATACACAAAGCCTCCCACAGCCAGCTGTCCCATGTCCAGGCACTGCCCCCAGCCAACACAGTGCCCACGCTTGCAGTGTCACCTCTGACCCTCAGTGTGTGACTCCCGGTCACACAGTGTGTCATCAGGGAGGTGCGGGGATGGACACTGCCATGGGCTCCAAGCCCTAGACCTCACCCCCCAGGTGGCTGGGACCCGAAGTGAGCACACATATCCACTAAGGTCCTCTCATGGGGAGTGTCATGCCCACAAGGCCCAGCACGGCGGCATCCCCACAACCTTCCCTGCTCCGGCCACAGCTGGCCATCTGAGTGACCCATAGCCACACTCCCCACTCCTCAGAGGCAATCAGGAGAAGGAGACAGGCCCAGCTGTCGGCTTCTTCCCACAGTTGCCCTCAACCACGGACGAGGCTACCAGACTTCAGCCCCCTACACGGTGACACCTATCTCCTTACCCAACCCCCTGGGTGGTCACTTAGCTGGACTCTCCAAGGGGACGTCTTTAACTCCCAAGGCCATCACTGCGGCCCCCTCAGGACTTCACAGTGTCCAGGGGAGGTAGATGTCACTCAGCATCCCTGACTATGGACACATGTGGAGGCCGGGGGCCTCCATCTCCCCTCAGATAGCTCGGTCGGGCTCTCACGGCCTCAGCCACCCTGTGCAGCCTGCACCTCCTCCCTGCAAAGGCTCGAGGGGCAGGGGCAGATCACCCAGGGGTGCACATACCAGTGGGGACATGATGGAAAGGTGGTGGGAGTCTGTGGGAAGGAGGTGGGCAGGTGCAAACAGAAGAACTGCACCCAGGAGGAGCCACGGATTTACACCTCAGGGGCACTGAGTGCACAGCCACTGCTTTGGGAAAGCTACTGGGCGACAGCTCAGTGGTGAGCACCTGCCTAGTGTGTGGGAGGCCCTGGGTTCAATCCCAACTCCATCAAAGAAACAAGGCTGGGCTGGGGGTTTAGCTCAGTGGCACAAGCGCCTGTCTGGCAAGTGTGAGGTCATGAGTTTGATCCTCAGTACCAAGACAAAAGAAGAAAAGAGAAGAGAAGAGAAAAAAGAAAAGAGTATCCATGTACAGTTTAGAGCTTTCCTCCTAAAGCAGCAATGTGATTCCTCTAAGCCTGGGTGCTGAGACACAGAGATCTCAGCCTTCCTGGCGGCTGCCCCCAGCGGCCCTGTGCCCATCTTGGGTTCCCAGGGCACCCACCCACCTCTGCCCCCTCCCATGACTGGTCAGGGCAAGGACAAGTGCTTGTCTCTGGGTCCCGTGCTTTGCACCTGTTTGGGTTGGATCCACAGGAGGGCAGAGCCATTCTGGTCACAGCTGTGCACCACTGTCCCTGACAAACAGCTGCCTGGGAACAGTGAATATGTGGAGGCTGGGGGGCTCTGAGCTCCACGGTTCCATCAGGCTGAGACTGAGGTCTGGAAGATGCTCGGGTTTCTCCCTGCAGCCCAGGCAGCACCCCATCTCAGTCCCACAGCTCTGCCACTCTCTGCCTCTGCTGCTTTGGGCCGGCAACCCCAGAGGGGACCTGAGAGACGCTCACAGCGTGTGTCACCAGGAAGCAGCTCAGGATCAGCCCAACTCCGTTGCGCCGAGCATTAAAGTAGTCAGCCTGCACTCGCCACAAGCCAGAGGCCTGCAGCACACTGCAAAGGTTCCATGGCCAAGGCTCAGGGGACCCTGCATGGGTAACCCCACCCCACTCCTCAGCAGCCCGCTCGCAGCCAGGGCTCGGGGTCTCACCGCAGGTGGGGAGGTCCTCCTCAGCGGACGAGGTCTGCTCATCTGTGGACGGCTTCTTCTTCCCCAAACCGATGATCTTGGTGATTTTCTTTCCAGTGACTTTAGGGACCGTCCCTTTGGCCTCCGGTTTGGAACTTTTCTTCCTCTTCACTGTCAACGACAACAAAACTGTAAATGCTAAACAAGAAAAAGAAAGCATAGACCATCACGCACCCCTCCGACAACTCCTGCTCCCCGGGACCCAGATGTGTGAGCAGCACACAACACGGGGCTGCTCACGGGCACTGGGCTCTGCGGCAGGCTGAGTGCACGCAGGTACCAGGCGCTCCACACCGACCGCGAGCGACACACACTCACCATCAGCAACGTGGGCACCGCAAACATGGTGAACAAAACCGGTGTACACACAGATGGACACACACACCGAACACACAGGAGTGCATACTTTCACACACACACACACACACACACACACACACACACACACACATGCACGCATGCACGCACGCACGCATGTACGCGTGCACAGAGGATGTGCAATGGTGGCAGTGCTGCATGGAGACCACGCAGGGGTGTGAGGGTACCCTGGTGTCTGGGCCCCTGCCCCTGAGCTGAGCATCCGTGGCAGGGCCCGGCCTGCCCAATCCGGAGAGAACCTTCCACACAGAAGAGGCCCTGCTGCTGCAGCAGAGCTCAGGGAAGTGGGGCAGGCACAGCCTGGCCTGCAGGGTGAGTCCACAGCCAATGGGGTGCTGGGTCCTCCTGGGGCCCCCAGACCATCTTCTGGGCCCTTGCCCCGCCATATGCAGGCTCTTAGATCCGGACTGCCTTCCTGTCCACAGTGCTGTGCTGGGTTACGAGCTAAGGGGCAGCACACAAACCCACAGGCTGCACAGGAAAGGTCCTGGCTTCCTGGAACTCAGATGGTCAGGTGAGGCTGGGCCCAGTCATAGACAGCAGTGCGTGGTGCCCACGCAGCCCATGTAGATGTCGGCAGCCCCCAGGATGCCAACACAGAGAAATTCTCTCTTCCACTGGGTCCCCGTCCTGCCACAAAGGGCAGAGAGCCCGGTTCTGCCACCCACACTGCTCCCCCTACCTGCTGGCTTTGTCTGTGGCCTCCCAGGAATCAGGGAATCAGGCAAGAAATCATAATGAGGTGAGATGCAGCTCACACAGCCCAGACAGCAGCTCTGGAAGCAGCAAGGTGGCCCGCTCCCCGCCCCGGGTGTTGCAGACAGGGTACCAGACCCGGTCCTGAGGGTCCCCAAGTGGAGACCTAGCCTGACCCCACAGCCTTACAAGGCTGTGTCAGGGCTGAGCTGCCACCCCCTGCCCTGCCCACTGTGACGTCCTTGGCCTCTGGGTACCACACACCCTTTAAGTCCTGCCAAGGAACCAGTGCACACGGACCATGGAGACCGCTTTCTGGCACACTCAGGGACACGTCTGGACCCCGAGCCTCTGGATACTGGCACTCACAGCCCCTCCCTCAGCTGGCCTCTCTCTGGTGGGGGTGGGGTATGTACACAGGGACTGTGCCATGGGGCACCAGCGAGGGCCAGGCTCAGGCTGCACCCCCTGCCCTCCGGGGCCTCAGTGTCATTCTGTTTCCAGTGGAACAGGAGACAGGAACAGTTAGAAAAGCCACACTGAAATTTAGGGCACACAGACAATTACAGACCCACTGCGCCTCCATGCTCAGTGCAGCTGATGCTGGTGAGGCTGTATTCGGAGACAGGACCTCCAGAGAAGCTATGGAGGTGACAGGGGCCCATGTGGGTGGTCCCCGTCCCAGGGGGAGCATCTCAGTAAGAAGAGGCTGTGTACATGGGAAGAGCAGGTGGGGACACACTGAGGCCATGGTCACCCACCACGGAAACCAGCCCTGTGCTGCCTCTGAGCCAGAGTACAAGCACCTGGGGTCTGGCCCAGGGTCTGTGCTCTGGCAGCCTGAGCTGACTAATATGACAAGGTCCTCCTGGCAATCGTGTGTTATTTTAAATAAAGCAGAGGAAGCCCCCATGTGATCCCAGGACCACATCCCAGCCCTTCTCCGCTGTGTCATGACACCCGGAAAGCATGCGAAACCCGTTAGGCACCCCAGCGGCCAGGCACAACCTCGTCATCACCCAACAGAAGCATCTGCAGCATAGACAGCTCAGCAGCTCTGAGCACAATTCCAGCAAACCAGAGTGGCGGCTGCGTCCTGCTGTTGGCAAAGTGCCTGTGGGGTGTCACCTACCTTCACCCATCCCCCTGCAGCGCAGCTCTGCCCAGCACATGGCCGAGGACAGTCAAGGACAGCTGTGTCCAGCCAGCACCCTCGCCATGCATGCACTCATCACCCCGCATGTCCCCCGAGCTGGACTGTTAGGCTCCCCTCAGCTCTCCTGAGCGCCAGGAGCCATCCTGCTGGAAAGCCTTTGCCATTAGATGAATTTCACAAAAGCAAACATTGGTTCATCCTCGTGGGAAGGAAGCCATCGACCCCCTTGTGGCACTGCTTGGCAGCCAAGGTGGGGTCAAGAGCCCAGAACAGAATTAGGGAACAACAGCCTGAAACTCAGGGAAGCAGGAGTACGAAGATGTTATTGTGCTTCAGGATAAAACAAAGATAGCTTTGTGGTTGGGACTGCACATAATGATAACCCTGCAGAAGATGCAGATAATACGTCCCACCAACCGGCTTCCGACAGACAGGACTAAAATTACACCAAGACCAAAGCAGAAAGCCACATGTGGGGACACAGACAGCATGGCCTTCCAAGTGACCTGTCCTGCGTGACGGTCCCCATGGGTTTGGAGCTGGGCTGCTGTGGGCACAGGAGGACTTCAAACCCTTTCACACTGGCCACAGAGGGCAGGTGGCCAAGGTGTGGACAGGTGACCCCTGCAGCCAAGGACACAGGTCCCAGGAGCACATGGACGTTTGGTTTCCTCTGACACCCACCCTCACCTCAGAAATGAGTGTCCAGTGCAGACGGGCAAAAGGCCTGTGTAAGACACACAGCTGACCCAGGGCTTACATGGAGGACCCTCCAGGCTCAGGACTGAGACACGCACCACTAAGAATGCTAGTGGACACGGGGCCATCCAGGAGGCTGACGGAGGGAGGGGCAGCCGAGGCCAGCTCATGATGCCATCACTTAGGAAACCACACCACTGCACATCGGCAGAGATGGCCGAAGAGGGACACAAACCGGGTGGAGGGGCCTGGGCTGGTGGAATGCATAAGACCCCACGGTGCTACTCCAGGATCCACATGTAAGCAACATGGAACCACATGTCCCACACCAGCTCATGGATGCACCGTGCCCACCATACAAGGAAATTCTTCCCAGGAGCAGGCGGGAAGGGGCTGTCAGCAGGCATAGGCTGCAGCCTGAGAGGTCAGTGGAGTGAGGTTGGGAGAACAGGCCCAGCTCAGAGCTGCCACTGGGACTGGTTGGAGGTGCCGTCAGACTGCGGTGGTGGCTACACCCACAGGTGCTTATCAAGGCTCGCAGGAGTGCAGACCTGGACAGGGCAAAGCTGAGCTCAGAAAGTGTCTCCATCATCGGTACACCTGCATTCACATTGAATTACACATGACAACCCCAAGGCAGGTGGCACTGACACAGCATCCATGACAGATCATGGATACAGAGACTGTGCTCAGCTTGTACAATGCAGTATTACTCAGCCCTAAAAAGGAAGTAAGTCTTAATGTCTATTGCAATGTAGATGAGCCCAAAGACAGCAGAGGAAGCAAATGTGCCTGGGAGGCCTCCCATGAGTCCTGGAGCAGGCGAGATCCACAGGGACAACGCAGTGGTGGTCAGTGGCTGGGGGTGGCCAGGGCTGGGGTCGGGTGTGGGATGTTCTGGCAATGGAAGGGAGGCAGCTGTTCCACAGTGAAAATGTGTCTGAGGCCACTGAGCGGCACACGTGACACCGATCAAGTTACTGAAACTTGTCACTGTGTATTTTGCCATAATTGTTTTAAAAAAATTAAATCCAAGTCAAATAAGGACATTTTCAGGTGACTTTTTTAAAAAAAGGTTTTCAGAAATCTGCAACCATGGCCTCTGCACTGGAAGCTAAGGAAGCTGAGGCTCCTAACAGAGCTCTGCACGATCGCACGCCAGCGGAGGTCAGGCTTCCGCCATCAACACCAGTGTTCCCTTCCTGGAAATCAGGCTCTGCCGGCTGCCACCTCGGTGGTCACCAGGGAGGAAGCGCCTACCACGGTCATCAGTGTAAATCTCAAGGCACAGAGACAGGCTGTGGGGCACGGCTGTGCTGAGGTGTGGCAGGACACAGGAGGGTGACAGGTGTGCGGCTGAGGCCCCCAGGTGGGTCTCGCAGTCACCCGCTGCGTCTGTGGGTGGCTCGATGCGCTGTGGCACGGGTGCGCTCACCTTGCTCCTTCCCGTTGCACGCGATCCCGTTCTCCGCGGTGCCCTCCCCATCCGAGCTGGGCCTCTCCGAGGACAGCTTCTGGAAGCACAAAAAGGGCTGGTTACTTCTAGGACAGTGGCGCGGGGTGGACATGGGCAAAGGGAACAGGGTGCGGGCTGAGGTCTCAGCACTACCCAGAGAACCCAGATTTGGTCCCGTCACGCCTGGCTGGTGAGACTGCCGCAAAGGCCTTAAAAACACTCGGAACACCAGGGATTTAGCTCAGTGGTGTAAGCACCTGCCTGGCAAGCGCACGGTCATGAGTTCGATCCCTGGTACCAGAAAAAGAAAAAAAAAAAAAAACCTGCCTAAAAACACTCAGAACAAAGAAAAGGATGCAGCCTGCTTCATGCAAATAGTTTTTTCTCCCAAACAATCTTGAGAACATATCAGAATCACAAAAAGAACTCCCTCATCAAGCCATATTATCCTTGCATAAATTAATATTGCCTCCATCACCCATTTAACTTCCTCCCGCTACACCCTAGTAATGGGGTGAATGGCAAGGATCTGCACAGGACAGTGGAATTCTCCCAAGGAGGAGCAGGCCACTACTGGGACTCTCCCTGCCCTGCCCGAGCCACACGGACCAGGCCAGGCACAAAGGAAACCATGCGTGATTCTCAGGACACAGGGACACACAAGCTCCGCTCCGGTGGTGCTGGCGGAGGAGGGAGACCGTGCCCATGACCCTGCAAGAGCCACAGGCAAAAGAACTGGGTGCGTTGAGGGCACCTGCCACCAAGGCGGCCTCAGAACCAAAACCCTTCAGCAAGACGCAGAGCTGGTTCTGACAAGCAGGAGAAGAACACCAGACACGCCTGGAAAGGACACCACAGTGAGGTTTACGAAGAGCACCCCACTTAACTACAGGGCTCAAAATCTGAGAGAGCGGGAGCAGGAGCAGAGCAAAACCACTAGGAATTCAGCTCCCAGCAGAACCGCAGGCAACAGACAGAGGCGCCGCAAAGATTTATGCAGAAAATGTCAACTGGGGGTCATTCTAAACAGCTTAGTGAAGAACAGGTGTGTGTGCACAGTCCCACAAATGTCACGGAAACATAAAAAGGATGTGACAGAGTGGCACAAAGCAGCGTAAGGAATTTGACGACGTAAAATTATCCAAACAGTGAGAGCGAGACAGGAGTAGGAAGAGGCTGTTTAGAGCGGGGAGGACACTGAAGAGGGGCCACACTCCACGGGGCAGACTCAAAAGGGCTTTCACTCCACTTATGTTTCTCTAAACTCTCTGCATTTCTGACAAAGAGCAGGAATTCATTTTGTATCAGATGGCGAGTTCTGTGTGTGAGCTTGAGGGTTTTAACTGGTGGGTCCTGGGCGTGGCTCTCCACAGTGTGGGTAGGTCTCGTCCAATCAGGCAAAGGACCTAATCCAAGAACAGGAAGACCCGCCGGCCAGGGGAAGAAGCTTCCCAGCAGATGTGTCAGTGCCTCTGCCCTGGGGACCCCTGGGGGTCTCTGCCCCCGGCCCCCGCAGCAGATGTGGACTTGCGCGGGCCATGACCATGGGAGCCAGCTCCCTGGAATGCTCCTCCCCCGCACACATGCACGACCACCAATCCTGCTTCTCTGGGGAACTTGGATGACCACAGGGATGAAAAACATCTCTGATCCTCTGATCCTTGTCCCCTGATCAGGATGAAGAAGGACGCCTCGGAAAGTTCCTGGGGCTCAAGCTGCCAACAGAAGACTTCGTGGCCAGAAGTCATGGGGCTCCATGGAAACAGTATCGATCGGCCTCTTACGATAGATAGACAGGCAGATGTCACACAGAGTGGCCATCCTGGGTTCCAGGCATTCTGGCGGGGGTGGGGGGATGTGTGCAGGCAACAGGGAGTCAGCTCTTCCACCTTCCCAGAGAGTGGGGACCACCCAGGGCCGGGTCCCAGCCTGCAGGGAGCAAACACTGGGAGGCTGAGTTAGGAAAAGCCCGCTGGCCGGAGGAGCCAGAGCTGCCCTCAGCCCTGCTCCAGCAACAGGGGACCCTGCACCAACCCTTTACCCACCCCCATCAACCCTCCTCCTCACCCAGGGCCAGGAAGCCCAGAACAAAGCAGAGCCTGAGAATCAGGCCCCAGCGGGCAGGAGGCAGGGCCGCACTGCTTCCCACATAGAAGTGAGGATGGGGACTCAGGCAGACTGACCGTTCCCAAAACAATGAAAATGTAACTCCCAAGTGCCCTGGCCTGCACCTGCATTAGCGGGTCACGCTGCACCCCGTGAGGATGTACAGTGCCATGTATGCCTGAACCAAAAATAAAACTCAGAACGCTTTACAGGGTGACCCAACTCAGCCAGTGGGTCCCCTGTGTGAAGACCAGGTCTCTCACCTTCTCCAGCTCTGCCTTCTGCACAGGGGCGCTGGCCGGGGCAGGGCACTCCAGGTCCGCAGGTCCACTGCAGCCGCTGTAGGCTTCTTTGATTACCTACAGGAAGCAGAGACAGTGACTGAGTCCAGCGAAGGCAGAGCCTGTAGGGAAGCTGCCAAACCAGGAGGGGACAGGCTGGCATCCAGGGCAGCAAGCACTCTGTGGGGTCAGAAGCACCTGGCATCGAGTGACAGGTGGCTGCTCCTTCATGCACTTACCAAACCCTCCACGCGGCTCTGAGGGACAGCAGAACGGTGCCTATGAGGCTCCTGCTCCTGTAGTTCACCCCATATTATTCTGGTCTTATCACAGACAACAGGAGCTTTCAGAAATGAAGCTGCCGTTTGGCAGCAGGAAGAGCTACCAAGACAAAGGAGGAGGAGGAGAGTGGTTTTCCAACATCAAGAGACCTGGGCCCCTCTGTGGGTGACTCACACTGGCACTGGGTGCTGGACAGATCTGACTTTGTGACTGACAGAAAGAGGCCGGGGCACAGCTGGTGCAAAGGTCCAGCAGGGGGCACAAGGTGCACAGGGACCCTGCGACTCCCTCTCCAGCTCAGAAACTCTCTGGGTAACTGCAGAAAAACAGGCCCCTAGCAGGTGGTTAAGACAAGGGGATCAGAGCCTGGGAAAGAGACACCTCCAGGGGGATGCCTGGATTGCTGATTGCACCAACTGGCTGGTGCCGTGCGGCAGATACAGAAGACGGAGAATCGGGCTGTGGGGAAGGAAATCTCCGTCACAGCTGTGAATAAAGTAGGCGTCACAGCAAAGGGGGTGACACAGTCAGCCTGGTGAGCCGGCCGGGAGAGACGGGAAGATAGCATCGAGGAAGACCGAGGCCCCACCTCTCCAGGCACGGAAGGGGCGACTCCGGGAGGAGAAAGGGGTGACAGAGCCAGAGGGACACAGCTGGGCAGCCGCAGAGGTGCAGAGAGAGGTCAGTACAGGGCAGCCCTGGGAGGGGTCCCCACAGAAGCAAAGCAGGCCAGGGCCGGGGAAGGGACCGCAGCAAAGCTGTGCGTACAGGTGGGGAGTTTCCGTCGCCTTTGTCCCATTAGGCCAGTGGGAGCGGGAGCTGCTGGTGCTGGGCCTCGGGAACCCCCTGGTGGCCAAGTTCCTTCCTCCCAGCTTGTCTGTCCTCACTATGCAGCTTACACAATGTGCAGGCGTGGCTGGCCGTGAGGACACAGACAAGGTCCTCAGGCAAATCTTGTGAAACGCCATCTCCTCTTTCCAGAGCTAAGCTACAGCTGGAGTCAAAAACCAAGCTCCGCCTGGCCGAAGCCCCAAACATGCACGCAGCCATGCAGCTGCATCTCGGCAGGCGGCTCCGAACTTGGTGCTGGTGCTGGTTCTGCACCCCAGAACTGACCAGGATGGACCAAGCTCATGGATGAGCAGCACAGCACTGCCCACATCTGGGACAAGGGACACAAGACGCCAAGGGAGAGACGAGAGCCCTCCTTGCCGACCCCAGGCGTGAAAGCCTGAGACACTGACACTGTCCAGTCAGGGACCTGTGCCTTCCAAGGCCAGCGGCTCACTTCCTGTTAACCACTTCCACGCCAATTTCGTTCCTGCAGGGCTCTTCCCCCGCATGATTAAATCTTCAGTTAACAAGGCCTGGTCTGGCTCGGTTTAAGACTTGGTCCAGTGCTCAGGGAAGCAGCAGGACAGCTCAGGGTCCCTTGGGGTGCCCAGTGTGCCTGGGCTGAGCCCCCCTGCTCCCACACATGCCAAGCTGGGCAGCGGCTCTGCACCTGTGCTCCTAACAGCAGCCCGGGACCATGTGAACACTCTCCTGATGGAGGCTCAAGGTTAACCCCGCCCTTTCCCACAATCCAGGCTTTGGTTAAAGGCAGGGTCACAGGCAACCATACTTCTGAGCCTGTGCTAATACCGGCTCCCCATTCCAGCGTCTGCAGAGACCTGGATCTCAGGGCTGCTTTCTCTGCTTTGCTCTCACCCTGCGCTCCTGCTCGCAGGCCCCTGAGGTGCCTGTGGGATCCCCGAAGGAGGCACGCGTTCCCCAGGACCTAAACACGCAGGCTCTGGCCTCCTGCTGTGTGAAGCAGTGTTGCAAAAGCCAGGGACTCACATTGAAGGGTCTGGTGGCCAGCCTGTGACCATGGCGAGATGGGATCCTTTACAGGGAGGGCCCAGTGGGGCAGCTAGATCATTAGGGTGTCCCTGGGGATGTGGGGACTCCTCCTTCCTGTCTCTCTTTTCTGAATTCCTGGGCACCATAGGGTGAGTGGCCTCCTGCACCCCACACCCCTGCTGTCACACACTGTCTTGTCCCGGGCAACCTGGACAAGCCCACAAAGCTGCCCGCTGCCAGTGCTAAACACTGACCACTGCACAGCACAGCCCCCTGGTCACCAGTTCCTTTACCAGCTTCAGCCCAGATCCCTGCAGAGGGGAGTGGCGCAACCACAGTGCACGGGAAGGGATGGGCACCAGGGGACCCAGACAGGATGTGGGCCACATCCATCTTCCTCCAGGCTCAATAGTAAGGGTGCCAGGACACAGAGAGGGCACTGTGGGAAGGCAGCGTCCACCAGTGGGTGAGGCAACTCGTGCTCCACAAGGTCCTTCCCCGCCGTGCTCATCTCATGCCAAGAGACACCTGCAGGTGAACTCGGAGGGCAAGAGCACAGGTGTCCAGCTCTGAGTGGTGTCCAGTAATGCAGCTCCGTTTAAGGAGTGTGTTCTACACACGAGGAGACCAGAGTGCATTCCAGAAGGCTGTGCATCTCACTAAAGGAATTTTTATTGTCACGTCAAAGCTGAGTTTCAGAGGACAAAAAGCTCGCATCTCCAAATCTGGAGCTATAGGGTAGCAGCAAATCACTGGAACAAAACAGCTGCTGTTTGCCTTAAGAAAGGGTTCCTGCTGGAGACCATCAGGGCTTTCAGGAACTAAGCGTGAGGAGACGGAGATCCGCTTTTCACATTTCAGCTGTTTATGCTAATTCCAAGAGCGTGTTTAGGTCACTGTTTTGCATTCCACCTTTTTAATAATCCTGATAAGCAGTGGACAGACACCAAGCCGTGGCTGACCTGACCACTGAGTACAGGCAGCTAGGACACACTAGGGTTTTGGGACCCTTGCCGGCCGGCTTGTCTTTCTGGTACACAGCCTGCCACCTAGGCCGGGCTGTTTGATAATGGTAGTTCTTTATTTACAAACAAAACAGAACAAAACAGGGAAAAAGCTTATCTCAGCCACAAAGGCGTGGCCTTCAGGAGGAAGGCATTGACTTATTTCCACCCAACTGTCTCACAAAGTCTGAGCTTATTTTGAAAACACAAGCAAGTTAATGAGGAAGGACGCAGCAGCTGGTGGTTACAGACTGTGACCCCCGAGCCGTGCAAGCCAGGGCACCGTGCTGCAGAGCACAGGCCCCTCACATGCAGGCCAGGGCACCGTGCTGCAGAGCACAGGCCCCTCACATGCAGGCCAGGGCACCGTGCTGCAGAGCACAGGCCCCTCACATGCAGGCCAGGGCACCGTGCTGCAGAGCACAGGCCCCTCACATGCAGGCCAGGGCACCGTGCTGCAGAGCACAGGCCCCTCACATGCAGGCCAGGGCACCGTGCTGCAGAGCACAGGCCCCTCACATGCAGGCCAGGGCACCGTGCTGCAGAGTACAGGCCCCTCACATGCAGGCCAGGGCACCGTGCTGCAGAGCACAGGCCCCTCACATGCAGCAGGGGAGCCTGTCCCCCCACCCCAGCTCTGTCCGAGAGCAGCCCATCACCGCCACCCATCCCTGTGACACCAGCTCACAGGAGGCCTCTGAGTGCGGCAGAGCTAAAATAGAGATTCTCTTTTTACTTTTTTTAAATTTTTTTATTGATACCGGGGACTGAACTCACGACTGCCTGCTTGTCCCCAGCCCCTAAAATAGAGATTTCTAACAACAGCTGATTTTCTAAAGTCATCGGCTGCGTAGTCAGCATTATGTTCTTAAATGAGCCATGAGCCAAAGAAGAATTGGCAACCAGGAAACATTCTGGACCGTACGGTAACACAGGCTGTGGCCAGGGCTGTGTTTGTAAGAAAACAGGTTAAATGCATCTGCAAGGAAAAAAGCCTATCTTCTTTCCTAATCTCTTTCTTTAATTTTGCCCTTTATTTACACTTTCTGGGTTCTCAGGTAAGAGAAGCCACGCGACAGCTGAGCCGTGTTTGGCTGGGTGTCCGTGACACCAAGTTTGTCTCTCAGGCCCTGGTCCGATCTCAGCATACGAGCTGTCCGATGTGAAAGAAAAGAAGAAAGGGAAACACTAGAAACTTCGCTAGCACGCTCCGCGGCCACTCTGACCCGCTGCTAGCGGGATCCACGGGGCCTGGCAGGAAGAGGGAGGTGGCCCCGCATTGAGGTCACCGATGTCCAAAGCCTTCGTGTGAGCACTTAGGCTCCCAGGAACTCAGCCCACACATGAGGACAGCGTGAGATAAGCACCCTGAATGGCCCGGGGTGGGTGGAGAGGGGCCCGTGGATCCCGCCCAATGCCTGAGGCCAGTGCCCACGAGTGGGAGACGTGAAACATGGCACGCCTGCGTGATGAGATGCTGTGTACTGCAATGGAGAAGGAAGAAGGGCTCAGCTCTCTGCAGGGCAAAACCCCTAAGACGCTTTGAAAATAACAGGGCACTGAGGAGGAGGAGGGAGCGCCCACGGCACACGTAGGAGCTTCATCGAGCTGGGCAGTGAGAGGAACAGGCGAACACCACGTGCGGGAGGAAGGGTCCACGCGGCCAAAAGCGGGGCCAGGTGAAGAGAGCACCCTCGGAGAAAGCGTCTCTCCCTGCCCTTTCTGCAGTTACTTCTTTGATTCTGCCTGTGCCTCTCCAAAACTGGAGAGAAAGAAAGGAAAGAAACAAGCAAGCTTCGCACTCAGCTGCTCCTGTCCGAGGTCTCAGGTGAACACACGGACAGGGTGAGAATGAAAGCAAAGCCCAGGAAGCCACTGCTGGCGCCCAGCTTGGCCCTGGCTGTCACGCGGACCTGCTCACCGCATTACAGAGGTCTGAGGCAAGGGAGGCGGAAAGCACCCCTGAGGTCATGGGCGGGGGCAGACGTGTGCCACGGTGAGCTTCAATCCCACGGAACCAAACCTGAGAGGAGCCTTCTCCTCAGGTTCCCGGGGAAAAGCCATCACCCTGGCGACAGAACATTAAATGACCACATCCCTGTGCTGTGTGCAGAGGTCCCCAACCAATCAGCTTCATGGGGTAAGAGGTACTGACCCCAAGGGATGGGGTGCAGGTGTGGAAGATCCATGAGGAGAGGCTGGAGGCACAGGCAGCGTGTGCTGGTCCCCTCCTGCACTGCAGACTAGCTGCCCACAGTCCACACACTGGTACCACCCACGGCCCTGGTCTGGGGACCCTTCTGCAGCTACAGGCACCACTCTGAGTCCTGAAGGCCAATTCCATGCTCCCCTTGACAAAGTCACCACAGAACTTCCAGAACTGACAACTACCTGCATGGATGAAATGCCTCAAATTCATTTGGTGAAATCCTAGCCCTTGGGCAGTGGTGTCAGGAGGCAGGGGGTGTCTCTTAGTTATTTCCTCGCTGCTGAGACAAAATACCCAACAGAGTTACAGGAAAGGTGTTTTAGTTCACAGTTTGTGGAGGTTTCAGCACATAATCAGCCGTTCCAAGGCAGGGTGGCACATAGCAGAGGGGGAACAGGTCATGGCGGCAGAAGACACAAAGCAACAGGCGAGAGGAGATGGGCTTCTTTCTGTCCCTCATTTGTATCCGGTCTACCAGGATTATGGTGGTGCCAGTCCAATCAGCAGACTGATCCAGCGATCACACAGCCGACCGCCTGAGGCTCTGGGAGAACATCTAGACCCAGACCATAACACAGGGCCTCCAGGAGTCATGAAATCCCTGGTGGGAGCCCGTGAGTGAGATTAGAGCCCTGCCTGTGATATAGCAACCCTGCAAGAAGACGCTCCCTCCATGGTCCTCAGACACGGAGCCTGCGGAAGCAGATGCCGGACCTCCAGCCTTGAGAGCTGGGAACACAGGTTTTGCTGTTGATGAGCCCCCCTATCTGCTAGTTCATCAGAGCACTGTGAGTGCAGACCAGGACAATTATGGTGACCAGCACTGAGAGAAAAATGAACAAAGGGAACATGACAGCATGTTAGAGACGGCCAAAGGGAGAAACACTGCACTGGAAGACGGCAAGAAAAAATAAGCCACAAAATACGAAGAGAGGGTAAGAAGCAGAGCCGAGCAAGTCTGCTGACTAAACACCACGTCGTGGAAGGGGGCAAAGATGTGCTTGAAGAATACAGTTGGGAATCCTTCCAAAAACATAGCAAGATGACATCCCAGAAGCCCAGCAAATCCCAAGCAGAATCACCAAGAAAGATCTGTGGGTAAAAACAATAAAGAGAAACTATGGTCTGGGAGACAGCCCGCCAGCGGGGGCCAGATGGGCTCTCTCAGAAGGGAGGGACCCAGACCCTGGCGCCCTGCCCTGCGCAGCCTACCTTCAGCCACTGCTCGGCCTGCTCCTTGCTCTGGACTGCGAGCACCAGCGGGTCGGCGCCCTGCTGCGTGATCTTGAGCTCGTGCTGCTTCTTCTTGCTGTCCTTGGGGAGGTACGCGATGCTGCAGCCCTGCAGTGGCAGCTCCATCTGCGGCTGCTGGTCCTTCGAGCTCTTGTAGCACTGCGTGTAACACACGGAGGGCACACGCGGTGAGGGGGTGTGCATGGAGCCCTGGGAAGAGGCCCACCTGAGGGTGCGGACACGGCAGGGACCTCACAGGAAGCCCGCTTCACACCCACACGCTGCTTCCACACAGGGAAAGCATCGCCCGCCCTCCCGGGCTGCGTGGGGCACGGAGCAGCTGCGACTGGGGCTGAGGGGAAGCGAAGGTCCCCTGCACCAGGGCGCCTCCCTTGGACGCCGCCAACACTCGTGTGGATAAAAATGTTTCGTCTGCATGACTGATGCAGTGTAGAGCAGCTCCATTTGTTGCAGCTGCACGGCCAGTGCGGGGGACACAGTGTAACCACCCACGGGCTGCGAGGTACCCTCTGTGGGCAGATGAGTGGCCGTGTCACTGCCTCGCTTCCTGACACCCTGCCCTTGGGGACACGGTGATGCGCACTCCGGGCGTCCCTGACCAGCTCACCAGTGAGCCCGGCTCCCTAGGCCCCCCAATCACTCCGGACCTGCGCAGCAGAACCAGGCGTTGGCCGCGGTGTCCACCCTCGCGTTCTGCTTCCTCTGTAACCTGGAGGCAGAGGCCACCTTCTTCCAGGAGACTTGAGCCCAGTGGTCAGGGATCTGCGTCCTTTGCTCTGTCACTAACTTAATCTGGGTCCCAGGAAGCTCTCCTCTGAGCCCATTTCCTCATTAATAAAATGTGTTCTGCTACTCTAGTACTTAAGTGCCATGATACTCAGGAAGGACGCTGCTCCGGAAGCAGGCTCGCACCCTGGCTAGCTGGCTCAAGCAGTCCCTTCTGCAGACGGACAGGAGGCTGAGGCCGGTTGGGCAACGGGAAGAAAGCCAGAAAGGCCGCCTGGCCCAAGAAGCAAGACCGCAGTCTGGCCCCGACTCATGGGGAGCGGATGGACAGACGCCGGCTTTCAGAACGTTCTACAGCCTTCCCTGTCTCACAGCTTTAAATCTGTGATTCCCGGGGCCCAGCTCAAGGGTATGTCTCCTTCAAGAAATTCGTGGGCAATCGTCCTGTCTAAAAAACACCCCCAGCCGCCACTCAGGCTGCCGTGACCCTCACTGTTTCCCAGATGTCCTACATCCGGAGCAGCACGGCAAAGGGGACAGAGAGACCAAGCACGCAGCAGGGGTCGGAAGGGGACTTCGCAGACAAATGCCACCCAGGCCAGGCCCAGGGAAGCTGCCCAGACACAGGACACTCTCAGGCTGCCCGAGGACGGGCCAGCAGGAGGGGAGGAGGAAGAGAACCGGCTGAGTCAAAGGACAAGGATGGGGTGCAGCAGCTGAGGAGGGGCTGGGGCTCACAGCAATGCTGCACAGTGGCCCCCAGCACCACCTGGGCTCAAGAGCTCAGCAGGTGGCCAGGAACCCTAGAGAGGGGCGTGGCCATCACTTCTGCTGCAGCTCTGGGACTGCCAGGCTGGGAAGAGCCTGCTTCCTCAGGAGAGGCTGTCAGCAGAGGCTGCTGGGTCCCGGGCTCCACGCCACAAACCAGCTCTCAGCAGAGACGAGAGGCCTCACATCTCATCAGACAGGGCTTTCCCGAACTCCTACTTCATATGTGCTATTCCTCTGAGGGGACAGGCAGGGTGAGGGATAGAGACCCAGGGAGGTGAACCCCGAATTGCTGACCCCCCACCACAGCCACAGACGGCGCACACTGTGTAGAGCTTCTCTGTTAAATAAGACCGGACAGCTGGGCATGGTGGCCTCCACTCTAACTCCAGCGACTGGGGAGGCTGAGGCAGAAGCCCAGCCTAGGCAGAATAACAAGCCTCTGTCTTAACGTTAAAAAAATGTTTTTTAAAGACTGGAGATGTAGCTCAGTGTAAGGCCTAGGGCTCAGCTCCAAGTGCTGGGAAGGGAAACAGAAAGTTGTGTATTTTAAAATCTCCCTCTGATACATCCACATCTCACAGCTATGAGGTCAGATTATAAATGAGGACCATATTAATCTCTCTGTGTTTTTCATGCTTTAAAATTCCCCGTGGCATCATTTTTGGGATACTGTAAATGGGAGAGAAATTCAGGCCACACATGTGGAAGAAATATGTACTTTCACTGTTCAAAAAAGTTGAACAAAACCATTAATTAAAAAACACAGGGTCCTAAGAATCTAAGAAAATAAAAATCTCCCATAACTCACGCATAAAACTCAGTTTAAAAAAGTATAACCTTCTTCACTAAAACAAGATGTTCAGGAACTCAAATTCTTAGGCTTTCTGTTTTAATGCCAAATTTCTGAGTGGCTTTTCCTCCAAGGTGAACTTGAAAGGAAAATAAATACTATAAAGTTCATAGCTCTGACTTCAACACTGGTTTCTGTAGGAAGGAAGAGCGGAAGGAAGGAAAAAGAGGAGAAGGGAGGGGAGAAGAGAGGGGAGGGGAGAGGAGAGGGGAGGGGAGAGGGGAGGGGAGGGGAGGGGAGAGGGGAGGGGAGGGGAGGGGAGGGGACAGGGGAGGGAGGGAAGGGCTGCAGCTCAGAGGCCCTGGCTTCTGGAGGAGCCTAGAGGAGCCTGGCAGTGCGGCCAGGCGCCTCAGCTACTTGATCTTCCCTTTCTGCTTCTCCAGTGAAAAAGACTTGGCCCCAAGCTTCCAAAAGAATTCCCCCTCCTGGCCCCTCCCGCCGCCTTCCCACTGCTGTGACCTGGCTGTGAGGAATGCACTGACTGACTCACTACAGATGAGAAAACCCATCTGAAAGTCCTGGCAGCCCGAACGGGGCCCACGCATCCGGGAAGTCACCCCGGTGCTGGGCTGGGCTCAGCCGGCCCCGAGCTGGGTCTGGCCTGGCACTGTGCAGGGGCGCAGCACATGCCGAGCTGGGGTGTGGGGCCATCTGAGAGACCCTCACCAGCAGCTTGGTGTCCTTGATGACGCAGAGTAGCTTGGTCCACTGGCCGAAGCGCTTCTTGCGCAGCAGGAAGGCGCAGATCTTGGCGTCCTTCACCAGGTCCATGGAGGCCTCCTCCGAGGGCCACTGGTGCCGGGCCTTCTTCCCCTTCCCGTCCTCCTCCTCCTCGTCGTACGACTCGTAGGAGCTGCTCATGGCATCCGAGTCATAATCTGGGGGAGACAGGCAGCAGGGTGGAGGGCCCTGAGCACAGAGCTTGCTCGAGGGCTCAGGGCTCACAGTCACATTTCTGCCCCTGCGGAATTCGCTGCCAAGCAGCGCCTGCCCCTTCACAGCTTGGGCCTGGAAACCCAACCTTCTGTTTATGCTAAGCATCTCCAGATGCGTCCGTGTGGACGGCAGACTGGCTGGGCCCACAGTGGGCACCTGTGACTCCTGCCCACATGGTCCACAGCTCTTCTGTGTCCAACTTCAGTGCTGGGCGCTAACTCATGGCGCCCAGCTCTCCAGCACTACCGCAAGCACAGACCCTGACCCTTACAGGGACTTGAGCCCCAGCCAGGCACCTCCCTCCTGTCACCTCCCCAGGAGTACACCCCACTGTGCACGTGATGCTCAGCTCCCCGAGCTCGTGCTGTGCTCCACTCCCTCGGACACTGCCCAGCCCCAGGTTTGTGACTCCCACCCCCTTCTGCCCTTGCCTGGGATGGGGGACTTCAGTGCTGCCGCCTCTCCCAGCCGGGCCTCTCGGAATTCCCAGGCCAGTGCTGTGGGTGAAACGGGGCCTCCACAGTACCCAGCTGTGCAAACTGTCATTTTAACGTGACTCTGCTTAGAGACAGGGCTTCTGGGTGGTGATTCAAGTTGAAGATGGTCACGAAGGCAGGATACTAACCCGATGGGACTGGCAGCCTCATGACAGGGCATGGCTGTCTGTGCCATGCGGGGATACTGTGACAGAGAGGCATTCACAAGGGAGGCAGAGGACCACAGAGGCCCGCACAGACCCAGACTGTGCTGCTGCCGCCACTGCCAGATCGGGGACTCCAGCCTGCAGAGCTGGGAGGAGGGTGCTGTCACAGCACGCAGAGCACAAGAACGCCAGGGTGAGATGTCCTCCTCTGTGCCCGCAGTGCCTGAGACATCTCTGGGGCCTCCCATCATGCTATCGATGCCACACAGCCCGGAAGGCCAGGTGGGAGGGAGGCTGCCTGCTGGGTGTGACAGCGGGGGTCCTGGCGAGGACAGGAACACCCACTAGCCCTGTGTATGTCCCCGGGACTGTCCCCAGTGCATCAGCACCTGCAGCCCTCAGGAGGGCCAGCCATTGGAGGCAGCATCTGATTCACCCCTGATTCACTTCCCCTCCATCCAACAGTCCATCTGGAACACTCCCTGCCCAAAACACTTGGTCCAGTTTGCATTTTCAAGTCTCTGCACAGAACCCACATGCAGAGCAGTGGGCAGAAAGATGCACAGCAGGACCTACGCAGATCCTTGGGGATGAAACAAGCTGAGGAGGACTCCAGGCAAGAGCCAAGGAGCCTGCTGGGTACCTGTGCAGTGGCCCTGGGATGGCAGGCACTGGTGGGGACCCCCAGACGAGGTGCTGGGGTACCCGGCTAAGGGACAGTGAAATACTCAAGGTCTCCTCCACCTCTGCTTCAGAGGTACCAGAACTCAAAAGATATTTCACGACAAGTGGAGGAAGCAAGGGTGACAGAGCCACGGGCCAGGACAGCTGCGTCTCCCCGCTCAGGAGCAGCTAGGTGTGGAGCCCCCACCACACGTCCTGAGGCACTCTCTGGCATTGGTGGCTGGGTGCCACGTGTGGGGACAGAGCCGGGAACACAAAGCCTTTGTTGCACTTGCAAAAGCTCTTACGAGCTCTCAGCCACCAGAGCCGGGCACACACCACAGTCTCACTCAGAGCAGAGGGAGGATCAGGCTCCGAGAAAAAATAACTCAGCCAAGACCACAGCCCGAGGAGCCAGCCTGAGAAGAAGCCAGGGTGCTTGACTTCACACTGATAGAGCAATGATGTCCCCAGGCAGCCCTGTTCGTCCTGGGGACTAGGATGAGGTCTCCAACTGCGGACAGACAGAGAGCTCCTTGTCCTGTCTCCCTCTAAGAACAGGACCCAGTCTCTTCTAGAAAACTTCAGCCAACTTGCAGGCAATGAGAGCCACAAGAGTGAAAGGATCTCCGAGAAAATCAGGTCCAAAAATCGTCAGCAGCAGCTGCACAATAAAGGCCACAGAGGCCTCCTGACAGCTGGTTCACGGGGTCTCAGACCTAGGGGGCTGGGACCCCAGGGAGTACCTGTCTTGGGGCTGGGCCTTGACATCAGCTCAGCAGGAAGGAGGCACTTGGGGAAGTCTCAGAAGCCGAGGAGGGGAGGAGGGAAGAATCTCAGCACCCCGATGCTCCGTGAGTGGTGTGGGGTGCAGCCAGCGGGGCTGCGTGCAGGATAAAGGCAGACAGGGTGCTGACCGGACACCGCCAGCCAGGCACCGGCTGAGAACCTTTGTAGAGGCTCCACTTCATGCAGGGCGCTCTAACAAATGGCTGTTTTTAATTATAAAATATTTACTTCAGATTTTAAAAAAAACAGGGCATAAGTGCAGTGACACACAGGGCACACTCAGCAAACTGGGCAGCACCCTCGTGGGGAAGGCGCATGGTCACACTGCCCGGGGTCATGCTCTCGTGCACACATGCAATCCCAGGACTTGCCCTCTGCATGCCCTCGGAGCCCCTCTGTCAGAGGGGGCAGGCAGGACAAGGAGCCCCAGTGGGAGATGGGTGGCACCCTCTCAGCCGTTCCCCCATAGGGGCAGGGACACCCTGGGATTCCACCTCCCAATGACCCGCTAGCTCTGACCAGGCAGCAGCCCGAGAGCCACCAGCCACTCTGGAGTCAGGCTTTGCTCTTCCAGAGAAGGAATGGGCTGGGCAGAAAAGCCAAGGCTTCAGGCAGGAGTGCTCCCTCCGGGGTCCGAGGGTAGAACCCTTTTACAGGCCCTGCTGAGAGGTCCCTGGGTCATGGGGGCACGCCCTTGAGGGGCTCCCGCTTCTTCCTGCTCCTCTTGGCTTCTGGGCCTGTGGTGAGAGGCTGGGTTCCACCACACCCTCCAGCCACTGTGCACCTCTGTTGCCGCGGCCCAGGGCACGGGGACTCCCAGGATTGGGTGAGGACCTCAGCACTGTCAGCCAAAATGCACCTTTCCTGCTCACAACTCAACTGCTTGGCTGTCTCCTTGTCGTAACAAGAAGCTGACTAATACACATTTTTCTTTGCTCTTCCATTTTAAGAGTTCTGAGTGCCAAAACTGGGCACAGCTGAGGTGTTTCACAACAAAGGAAAAGGAAAAGGGAAAGAATGAAAGTTTAGCACAGGCAAATCAGCAGGACAAAGCTAAGGAGCCAGTCCCAGCTCAAATATTGCCTGGGCACTTAAAAGCCAGGTACGACACACGAACTTGTCTGCTCCAGTGAGAGTGAGAGACAGGCCTGCAGGTGAGACGTGTCCAAGCAAGGCACACTGGAAACAGCTGAGGTCTGCAGCTGCTCCTCTGGGTTTCCGGGCAACGGTGGTGGCTCTCACTTCCAGGTGGGACGGAAGGCCACCGGGGCTCTGTGTGCCCTGAACTGCCCAGGCCAGCCAGGCCCAGTCCACTCGGAGCAGTGTGGTCATCGCTTACCAGGAGGCACAAGTCTTTAAGACTGCCCACTTGGTCTTCCTCCAGGCTACTGTGAGGACCCAACGAAGGACACAGGAGAGCTTCGTGACTCTCAGGGCTTTGGAAGAAGGGGACACACACCACAGCCACCAGCAGGGCTAGAGGAGCCTGGCATCACCCCAAACAGCACATCAAACCGCAAGCTTCACACATTTGCCTGCACCTGAGAGGGACAGCGTGGCCAGAGGCCAAGGGGAGAAAACCACCAAACTGAAGACAAAACCTCGATCTGAAGCCCAAGATGCCAAGGCGAGCTGCAGTGCATCTGTGCTGTGTGGACTGAGTGAAGGGGCGCTCCGGCTCCGCTTCCTTACAGAGATCCTTGAAGGAACTGCAAGGCCAGGTGTGGCTCCTGCTCTGGCTACCGCCTGCCTCTCCTCCTTAGCATCCTGGAGTTCTGGGACAGGCAACACAGCACCTGCCGCCGGCCCCCTGCATCACGGTCGGGGGAGGGAAGGTGGGGAACTGGGGCTTGTCTGGAGGACTCCCGTCTGCCCTTGAGCTCCCCAATTCAAGCCCAGCCTCTTTTCCACACCCTAGCTGAGGGAGAGAAGCAGCTGTCACTGATGCTCACAGCTCTGGAGGCTGTGAGTGGCCTAATCCCTAGGGTGATCTCTCTCCGAATCACAGAGGTCCCCCTCCTCTAATCAGAACCCAGCTGCTCCCGAGACGGGGCTGGGTGCCTCTGGCAGGTGCAGGCACACGAAGCTCCTGCAGAGCCCTGGGGTTTTCAAGTATGACCATGTCACAGTTTGAAGGTCACTATTTTACTTTTAGAAGCTGCTTTGGCAGCCAAAATGTTAGTAGGGATGAAGGCTTTACCAGCAGACACCAAGCCAAGATGTGCTCACGCTGTGTGGCATGAGCTGTGGGTTACCGGGAGCACTGAGGAGCGTGACATCACCAAGCAGAGCAGGCGATGGGGCAGGCAGGCCTTCACCAACCAGAGCATTGTTACAGCTGTGTCCAGATGACCTTCCGACACCTCATGTGGTCACAGTGGGACTTTCTAGAGGTGGCCGAGCCTAGAAGGTGTGACGCTGGGACGAAGGGTGTGTGATTTTACTAAATCAGTCACGACTGGTTTGGTGCCGCCCTACTCCTGGCAGGATCCAGCTGCCCCAGGTGCCGGCCGGCTCCCTGACTTGCTCTGCGCCTTCTGCCTACCATAAACCACTTCTCTGCCATCCAAGTATGGCCAGAAATCTCTACAAACCGTGAGCTAAATAAACCCTTCCTTCTTTAGCCTTTTGTCTCAGCAAGAGAGAAATAACTAAGGAAGACAGTGGTCCGCAGAGCACTCCATCACCACCCAGAGCGCTCTGTCATCAGGACCCACACTCGTGCCGGCAGCTTTCCTACCCCCACGGGCTCACACCAGTGCCTGTGGGTGCAATGAGGAGGTGAGCGTGGAACCCAGCAATGCACCCTTCCCCTCGGGAAGACGGGTCCAGGGCTCTGTCCTCCACCCGCAGACACAGAGGCCAGTGCTGACCCCCCACACCGGGTGACACTGTCCCCACGCGCTGCCCCTGAGAAGAGTTGTCGCCACAGTCCACTACCTGCAGGGAGGGAGAACCAAAGTGAACTCCCTGCGTTCCTTCGCACGCAGCCCTGCTCCAGCCAGGGCACCGTGGGCCGCGTACCAGCCAGCAGTCACCGCCAGCCTGACGGCGCCTCAGGACAGTGCCAGTGCTCATACTCCTTGGGGGGCTGGCGAGGTCTCTGGAGTTCCGAGCAGGGGTGTGCGCCTCGCCCCGTGGCCAGCACTCACCAGGCCCACGGACCGGGCTGCAACGGGCAGTGGCTCTTGGTGCCCACTCCCAACACTTGTGCCTCCTGTCCCAGCGTTCTAGACACACTGCCCAAGGGCAGGAAGTGGCTATGCTGCCACTAAGCAGAAAGCAGAGACGTTGCCAGCCACATTCTGGCTAGAAAGTGTCACAGTCGCCAAGTAGATCCAGGGGCCGATCCCCACTGTGAGGAAGCTGTGACCACTCAAGGGCCAGGACGCCCAGCCCCTCTCTGGCCCTGCGGTTAAAGTTGATGGGGCCACAGCTCCCAGGCAGGAAGTCCCAGTGGCCCCAGCCTTTCCAAATCAGACCTGGGCACCCCCAGAGAAGCTGGGGCTGAGCAGGGAGGCTGCAATGGCAGAGGGGATGCGGCTGGAGCCGAAGGAAACTGTGGCTGCTGAAGACGGGGGACTGAGCCCAGTCCATAAGGGGCCTTCCTTGCTAACACCTCCCCGCTGCCGGACGCCCCACCTGCCTCCTCCAGCTATGGAGAAGGGGCCCACGAGGCTAACCTGGGGATGTAAGGGGGCTGGAGAAAGGGACTGCGTCCTCTTCGAGGACCTGGGGGTTTCCATCACAGGCAGCAGTGGCTAAAAAGTGAGGTACCATGTGTGTTGTCACCCATGTCACCAGCATGGGATCGTGGCCCTCCAGGTCCTGCTGGGCCCCTGCCTCAATGCAGGCCGGCACCTGCAGCTCTGGGACTGCGCCCAGTGCCTCCTGCAGACCCTGCAAAACATTGGTGAATGGACACATGGGTGCCAACCTGTCCTTCCCAGTCCCCAGTCAGCTCTGGGCCTCTTCCCCACAGCTGCCTTTCTGGGCAGACAAAACAACTCTGAAGGAGGGCGGCCAGCTCGGTCCCCTACATCCCCTGGGCCTCTGGCACAGCTGGAACTGAGCTGGGGTTCAGCGGACAGCCTCTGAGTTCCTGTCCACCTGGAGAAGGCGGCAGGTCAGGCTGGGCTGGGCTCAAGCCTCCTGTGCCTGTCGCTATTCAAGGGACAGATGGCCTTGCTCATGAAACCAGGCAGCACCAGGGCCTGAGGGCCAGCACCTGAGGAGGGTTCAAGCCACACAGCTGCCACCAGAGGCTCCTTGGCAGGAAGCCCACAGGGCCCCACACCAAACAGATCTCCTCGTTGCAAGGCACTGAGAACAGTCAGGAGGAGGGGACAGCCTGCGGAGGCTCCCTCTCCCTCTCAGACATGATGAGGCCTGGCTGGCCCTAGGATGAATCCTCATCCGCTCGCAGGCCAGGGCACCCGTAGAAATGGTGGTACTGTGCGGCCCCTCCCGTGCAGAACGGTTCTTAAGAGGCAGAGAAAGTGAGACATCCACCTCGCAGATCAGTACTCCTGACGCCCCGCCCCCAAGCCGGAGCTGTCCCCTGCTCACCAGAGCCATAGGGACGATTGACAGGAGCAGCGTGGCCTGGGCAGGACGTCCCAGGGCCAGGCAGCAGGTGGTGCCTGGCCCTGGGACACAGACTGCCCACTCTTGGGGCCCAGAAAAGGTCACCCTGGGGACCTCTGCTGCTACAGTTGCCTTCCACCATCATGACAGATGCTGCTTCAAGAGGCAGCCAGGCCGCTCACTGCAGCCAAGGAAAGACGGGGAAATGCCAAGGCTCCTCGGAGCAGGGACTTGGGTGGCACCATTCAGACACGGGAAGAGGGAGCTCCACAGCACAGGCCAGGCCAGGGAGCCGCAGCGGGCACGGCCCTTGAAGCCAGGGATCACTCACTTCTGCGGAAGGGGCCTCCAGGAGGTGCTGGCTTGGGGCGCTGGGCACCACCTGCACCTCTTGGGACTCCTCTGTGTGCCACTGCCCTGGGGCCGAGCTCTCCTTGCCTGTTTTTGTGTAGAGCACAGGGCCTGCCCCCCGCACACCTGGGCAGCGCCTGATCAGCCCATGCCCCCCATCCTGCCACTTACTGGACGTGATGTACTCCGGAGCCTTTCCGGGGCTCAGCGGCACGGCTTCCTCGTAGTAGCCTTCAGGGAGGGACGACGTGGGTAGTGGCGGGGGCCCGCTGTCAGGAGGCTGTGGGAAGAAAGAGACAGATGGAGAAGTGAGCAGCCGCACCCAAAGGTGAGCTGCCTTTCACCGGAGGCAGGGCCAGGGCCCCTCCTCCTCCCTGGGACCCGTCAGATTCCAAGGCCATTCGGCCATGGTATGACACTGTCAAGGTGAGGCCTGGAACCAGGCCCACTGGGATGGCATGCGGGAGGCCAGCCGGAGTCCCCATCCCCAAGGAGCTGCTCTCCGGCGAGGGCACCCATCCTCCAGGCCATGCCACCCGCGTCTCCCTCTGAATGTCCACGATGCCTGCTGGTTCCCCGGCCAGAAGCTGGGCTGTTGCTGCGCCCTGGTCACAGGTGACATCGGTACCCAGATGCAGAAAGTGGGCCCAGGCCCTAATGCATCTTGCATAACACCAGCCATGTGGACGTGGTGGGGTCGTGCCCTGTGCCTCTCTCCTGGGACTCCATGGGGAAGAAGGATGCGGCAGAGAACACAGCTCCAGGCCTGAATTGGAGGCCTATCAAGCTAAGTTTCCAAGTGGGACAGTTCCGATGAAATCATAGGGGTTTTTCTTCCTGCTTTTTATTTTTTTTGTGGTCTCTAGAATGTGAGATTCCATCACTTTCCAAGGCGTCCTGGGTAGATGACCACTCACCGCTGCAATCCAGCCTGGCCCTCCACCAGTCAGCTGGGAAAGTGGCAGACTCGGAGGAGGGGGGGGAGGGGGGAAGAGAAAGACGGGGTGGAGGAGGGGAGGGGAGGAAGAGGAAGAAAGGGAGGAGGAGGGGAGGGAGGGCGAGGAGGGGCAGGGAGGAGAAGAGAAAGTGCTCCATCCAGACCTTAGTCCCTGCTCTGCTCAGATACCAACAGCCACTCCTCCACCCCACCTCACCCATGGTCCAAATAGATCCTGTTCCCTGGCACTCCCATCAGTGGGCATCTCCTGGGTGGGCCACCTCACAGAGGGCCACTCCCAGGACTCCACAGCCTCCTACAGAGGCTGCTCTAAAACAAAGCCCGATATGCCACGCTCAGTGCCAGGCAGGGCCTGGGCAGGGGCCCCCGGGGTTAAAATCCTGCCTGCTGCTTTTGGAAAGGAGGGTATGATTCACTGGTGTCTTTTATCGGTGAGAAGCAGGTTTCCCAGCCTCCTCTGGTGACAGTCAGATTATTCATGTCCTGGGGCAGCATTAGAGAGGCTGAGTCATGCAATGGCTGGTTACATGCCCAAGTCAGATGCCTTCCCTGAGAGCTCTGGGCAAGGTGAGGTCACTCCCAGTCCAGGGGACTTCCGAACACACCTGTCTCACCCCATGGGGTTGCTTACTTGGAACAGCCTGCTGGGAGACAGGCTCTGAGCCCAAAATTCTGCCCTGGGAAATAAATGACCACAAAGGTGCACAGATGAAAAGATGCCCAAGGGGGTTCGGCAAACCCTAAAACCACCCCAGGGATTCTCTGAGCAGAAGGTGCCCATGGGCTGCTGCAGCCCAGGCAGGGCCCTGGGGTCACCTCCAAAGACACTGAGTGAAGGACAATGGCCGTCCTGAGTTCCCACTGCAAAGTGTGTGCTTCTGCTCCCGTGGCACAGGGCAGAAGAGTGCGCTGAATACTCAGCACGCCATGGGCCGTCCCTTGCCAGGGGGAGCAATCCCCGAAACCACAGTCCCGCGGGGCTGGCCTTGCCACCCTGTGGAAGGCACCATGGAATGGCACCGGGAGTGGCTCCCGGCGCCCGGGGCTGTGCGCAGTGACACAGCTGTGGTTGCTGCTGTGGCTTGTGCTCCAATAACGGGACAGCAGGAACCACTATTTACTGCTGGCCTGCTGCGGGCCGGGCACCAACCTGGGACAACTCACGGATGGTCACTCGGTCATCAAAGGACACTGAGATGTCAGTGCTGGGACTGCACAATTGGGAAACTGAGGCCCGAGGGCTCAGAGGCTTGGCCAACTGTGGAGCCACTCCAGGGGACACTGCAGTGCTGGGCAGAGGCCAGCAGGGAAGGGACAGTGCAGCTGTCACCTGCGCCTGACCTATACTTCCGGACACACGGTGGCCCAATCTGTCACCTCTGAGGGAGACACACACTCCCAAGTCACGGCCTTCCCGGCCCTCCTCACCCTGCCCCGTGAGCACCCCAGTTAATTCCCTCGTCCTTTGCACCAAAGACGCCAGTAACCATGAGGCCCAGTTTAACCAAGAAAATGGGTGCCTTGAATCCACAGTTGCTTCCAGGCCTGTGTTCTACACACACATGTCTTAACACAGTTGCTGTTAAGAGGGCAGATTACACTAACATCACATATTCCGGAATTAGGAGGACCCAGGCTGGATCCTCTGCCTAGAGCCGTACAGCCTTCTAACCAGAACAGGCACACAGGCTGCGTGCCCAGCAAGGCCTTGACGGCACGGGCATCCTGGCCAATGAGGGAGGCTGGGCACTGGGCAGAGGGTCCTGAACTGCACGCGTGGCCTCGGTCCTCACGTCATCATGGGTGGGGACAGGTCACCTCCTGGCAGTCAACGTCCTCACGCAGGTCCTCCCATCCCATTCCGATTGCCAGTCGCCTCGGTGCCCCACAGCAGGGTGAACGCGGCAGAGAACACCCCACGCACACCCCAGTTTATTCATGCACAAGGTCCTCAGCCTCTTGGGGGCAGGCAGGAGAATTCCACCAGAGAGGGCATTTAAGGCACGCGACGCCAGACGCTGAGATTCCCCACAGCCCAGGAAAGCAAGACAGTCCGCCAAAATGGCCACACCAGGCCCCCAGGAAATGGTGGCTTTCATGCTGGGCTTTAGTATCAGTTCCACAACTTCTGCTGCCTAATTCTGCCATGTGATCTCAAAAGGTGCCATAATTTCATCTGTCAGACAGGAGACAGAAATGCTGTGGAGAACGCTAGGGCTTGAGACACACACTCGTGGGACAAGAGGGTCACTGAGAGGAGGCAGCAGGGGTGGGGGCTGGAGGACAGTGCTTGGGGGCCAGAAAGGAGGTGGGGGTGCTGTGGAGTGGGGGCGGGGACATCTGTGACCATCCACAGAAAGCGGGTGGCTCACATGCTTCCTGGTACTCACCTCCACAGGAGAAGTCACTTCTCTTTGTGGGCTCAAAAGGGCACGAAATTTCCGTGAGCCCTGGCCCTCGGGGTTGGAGTTAGGCTGTCCTCCCTCGGCCCTCCCAGTGCCATGTGACCTCTGCTGTGGACGGAGTTCTAGGAAGCCCTCCTGGCCAGCCCCTCGCAGCTGCGACTCCTGCTTCTGGCCCGGTGCCACCCTCGCTCTGGGAACACCCAGCCCGCAACACCCCCGCCAGGAGCTGGCACAGTGTCTCCTACATGTCAGACAGCAAGACAGACAGGAGAAGCCCAAGACACGGAGCCACTGCCAGAGCTCACAGGTCAGTTCAACGGGAGAGAGTGGAGGTCGCTGGTGACCGCAGGAGGCACCTCGAGGCACAGGGGAGGACCTGACGCTCCTAAAGCATCAGGACGCGAAACTGTGACACAGGGCAGCGCTCAGCAAAGGCAACGGCTGCGAGGCTGGTGGAGAGCGTGGGCGAGGAGAAGCAGCTGGGGTAAAGGGGACCACAGCAGACCCTCGAGGGTCCAGCCCATGTGGGGGCTGTGTCTGTGTGAGCACAGTCACAGCCAAACCTGGGGCCCTCGCATGACCCCTGTGCCTTCCTCTTCCGGGCGCAGCCATCTTCCCACCCCATCCTCACTCACGACAGGCCAGGTCTGCTGACAGGGCGGTGATCACAGCCCTGAGCCAGTCACCAAGGCGACAGCTCACACCCTGATTACACACTCACTAAAAAACTCCCAGAAAACTGAGGCAGAGCTGGCTCAGCGGCCACTGGCTGAGCCCTGGGGTGATGCTGTCCCCCATTTCCTCTGCACAATGCCATGACTGATGTCCACAAAACGCTGACCGGCCACGGCCTACTGGCTCCACTCCAAAGCACTCACACAGCGCCCCAGCAGGTGGGCGCAAAGACGAGGGTCAGCTTTGCTCTCAAACTTGCATTCCTGTAACTGAGAAAAATGGGTGCAAAGGGACCCATCCCACTTCTCTGGGATGCTTAGGAGGATTCCATGGAGACAAACTGCAAAAACAAAAACCACCCAATCAGGTGTGGGGGGCCCAGCTATGAACCAATCCTAGAGCTTCTGTGTCCGCTTTCGGCTCTGCAGCAGGACAGCCAGACGAGGTCATCTTGGAAAGGCTCTGCTCGGCTCTGCTGGGCAGGCGCGCTGAGCCAGGGGGAACCTCAGTCTGACACCCGGTAACAGGAAGCCTGTGCCCCTCGCTTTACCTCGCCTCTGAGCATTCTGGGAATTCTCAGGGACAGACAATGGTCAGCTTCTATCGCAGCCATCCCACACGCCTTGATTCTGACAGCGCCTCTGCAGACAGACCACTCCAGAGCAGCGTGAGCCCAACCCCAAAGCAGCAGCGCCTGGCACAGGGCCTGGATGGAGACCTGAGGTCTCCAGAGCCCCTCCAGGACTGTAAGCCAGACAAGGATCAGCCAGGCCCATCACAGCCCAGCCAGGCAAGAAGCTGGCCGCTTCCTGTGCACTGCACAGGAGCCTGCTCCACCCGCCTCTCTGCCCCAGCCGCCCTGTTTGCGCACACCCCCGAGCTAGCGCTCCGCCTGCCCCTCTGCTTCCTGGGCTGGCTTTTCATCTCAGTATCATCAGGTTAAAGGACCCATGTCCAGGCCAGAGGAACAGAGTGCACCTCAGTGAGGGGTGGTGCCATGCAAGACCTCAGACAAATGAGGCCCACCCTGCCTGCCCAGCTCACATCGGAGGAGCCAGCCCCCAGGAAAGCACGGAGCCCGGTGGTTCGCCGCCTTATCCCCAGCTCTGAGGGGGGTCCAGGTGCCCCGAGTGAGCCCTGGCAATGCTGAAAGGGATGGGAAGGAAGAAGTGTGCGCACCTGCAGATGGGGAAGCGAAGCACTAAACAAATGTGAAAGGCATAAAACTGATCAACCACACATCACAGGAGAGGACATAGTTTTCTCTTTAAAAAAGAATGCTTGGCCCACAGGCCCCGCGGGGCAACTGCACAGGCTTCAGGCAGGAATTCAGAGATAAAACCTAGAAAGTGGCTCATGTCCGCAGGGTCTACCTAGACAGATCCCCAGGCTTGAGGTTAGTTTTTGGTTTGGTTTGGTTTCTTTCTTAACCTGCTGTAGGAACCCATTTCCAAGGACCAGAAGCTCCAGTGCTTTGCAGGAAGAGATCGGCTCCCTGAGGGCAGCTGCGCCCAGAGGATCCCATCCATGGTCCCCAGTGGCTTTGGGCCTGGAAACTCGGCACGAGCCCCGGAGACACCAGGCCTCTGGCCTCCAGAGCTGGCTTCTGTCTCACGTCCCAGGCACATGCAGCCCAGGTTGCCATGCCCGGGAGTAGGAAAGGTCAGTGCACTCACCAGCCAGGGCTGAGGGATCTCCGGCAGGGGCATCTGTGGCGGTGCCGGCAGGCTGTTGGCCTCTGGCCTCTGAGCATGGTCTTTCACATCAAAGCCTACAAAGGGTGACCAAAACCAAAGATCCAGGTAAGGAGTAGAGGTGACCACTGCAGGCTAACCCTAACCCCACACCAGCCACAGGGCGAACCCTGAGCTCTCCAGACCTCTACTCCCATCCATTGGTGTTCTCCCGGGAAGAGCAGAGGGACGGAGGTCACAGAAGGGAAAAGGGGGACAGGGAGGGAGGGGGAGGGGAGAGCCTGCTGGCGACATCACCAGCTGCAAGTGTGGAGCCCGGTGCACCTGAGGCCACTGGGCCTCCCTCACCTGAGCTTCCGCTCCAGCTTACACTTACTCAGGTGCCAAAGGGACAGATACCTCCCTGGGATCCCAAACATTTTAACTAAGTTTTCTCCTTTCTCCTGCTCCCCATCGCAGGTGTTGCTGGGTATTGAACCCAGGCTCCTCACACTGAGCTACATCCCTGGCACTACATTAGTTTATTTTGAGACAGGGTTTTGCTAAGTCATTAAGTTGCTCAGGCTGGGGACCCTCCTGCCTCGGCCTTCCAAGTAATTTCAGAAGTGTGGCCACTGCTCCCTAATGGGTAAGGCTGCTACGGTGCCTACAATGGGTGTGTAAACAGCATGGCTTAGCGCATCTGCATCTCTTGGAGCCAAGCTCTGCCCTGTACCAGGCACAGGGTCTCAGTTGCTTCCCTAAACAAGAACGCTGCGGGGGGAGGGGGGCTGAGAGCCGAGTGCTCTGTGACAGAGGCATGTCACTCGGGCTTCCCCAGGCTCACCGGGTCTTTTTCTCTCTCTGGTAGGGCAGGCGGGGTCTCCTCACCACACCACTGCACTGTGCCCTGGGCCTGCACGAGTCAGCTGAGTCCGTCCAGGGAACCCAGGACCCCGGCCTCTTAGCTCCTACAGGTTTCCCCTTCCACACCTAGCTGCACAGCACCTGGAGGCCTGTGTGCAAACCTGAGGAGTAAATCTCAGCGGATGGGCGCGTGGAGCAGGTGGAACCCGGAGAGACGGAGCAGCTCACCTCGGGACGCCTGGATCTGCAGCAGGATGTTGCTCAGCACCGCCTTCTTCTCCCTGACTGTGGAGGTGAGGGACTCGTGGTCCAGAAGCTCCAGGAAGAGGCGCAGTTCAACTATTAACTCTTCCATTGCTGAAAGGAAGGGAGCAGAGGAGGAGGTGTTGTTAGCCCCTCAGCTTGCTAACATCCGCACCCACCCACACCGCATTTCATGTTTCGCTTGATCGTTAAGTGTCTGTCACATTCTAACCTGGAACACGATTTGGCTGAAAGCAGGGCGACTACAGATCCTCACAGCCTTTTTCCTGACCAGATGCACAGCTTGGAGGTGGCAGAGCCCTGGGGCAGAGGCCCCAAAACTAGCTGCCACAGGCAGTGTCAGACCCAGAGCCTGAGACCAACACCAGCTGTTAAAGGGATGTGACAATCAACTTCAATGTGAAGCAGCAGGTGGAAGTGAAAGATCACACCAGTTTGCCAGCAACCCCTTGGGCATGACTTCCGAAACCCCATGCCCAGCCCCCTGCCTCCGCAGGGCTGCCTGTGTGGCTGGGATGCCGGGAGCCCACTATGACAAGGACACCCAGTGCCCAAGGAGGTCACAGCAAAGAAGTTTCCACTGGTGGCACAAGTTAAGTGCAAGGGTAAAACCGTTTGCATCTTAGCACAAACCGAGCAGAGACATCAAGCCATACCCATGCTCAGGGCCACGTTACACAGAGGTACTCTTGCCGTGTCCTGGGCATGACCTTAGTACCCAATGTGCAGTAAAGGACACCGCACTTGTTATGTCTCCACCCTGGAGGCTGCCCCTCTCCTGCCTGGAGACTGTACACCAGTGCTCCCACAGGGACCAGCTAGAGCAGTGGTGGCGAACTACGGCATGCATGTTGTTTTTCTCTTAAGACAAAAGATGTTAAGGTAGGAATTTTTTTTTCTTAAACTTCACTGCTCAGGTCTAATTGCAGTGTTGGCACTTTGCAATAAATAAGTGAGTTTGGGGTTGCAGTTTGGGCCCCCGTCTCTAAAAGGTTCATTGCCACTGCTCTAAAGAAACCCAACTGGGCGACTGTCATATACCACGTCTTTCGGGTGGCATCATTTTGACAAATTGGAAGAATGAGTACCAGGCCAGCTGCCACCTGACTCCAGCTCCAGCAGAGTTTCATTTCATCACCTCAAGGAAACAAACGGTAACATTTGTTGCCAATGTAAAATCTAAGCTTTCCAGAGGAAACAAGAACTTCAGAAACTTTGTATCCACCATCTAAAGGTCCTTATCCTCCACACAGGGAGGAGACAGAGGCAACAGTAACCAACCTGATTCTTTCATGTCTTATAAGGCTTCTACATTTGAAAGAGATGCAAAAATGAATAAAAGTAACCTCCCTAAAAGCAGAATAAACTGGGGTATTCACATAGCAGAGACCAATAGCACCTCCAAACCCGCCTCTGCGAGTCGCAAGAGTTGAATTGAGTTTCAGGATTGGGTCAAAGAGCACCCACCCACACACCCACTCCTGAGAAGGAGATGGGGTGATTCCCTACATGAACACACCCACTTCCTCGAAGAGGGTCAGGATTTCCTCCCATGCTTCCCATCATCTCAACAGTCTGGATGAGGAGAAGACATGAGCATCCAGAATCTTCCATCATGCCAGATATGAAACATGCTTGCAAAACTATAAAGCAATGCTACACCTCCAATTATTTCATTTGGCTAAATGCAAACACGAGTGTGTGTGTGTGTGTGTGTGTGTGTGTGTGTGTAGCCAGGGATAAAGAAACACACACACACAAACACACACATATACATATATATATATATATTTTTTTTTTTTTTTTTTTTTGCCATGGGGTTAGAAGCTGGAAGCAAATGTGCTACAAACATTCATGTGTTTCTGTTCAACCCTCAGGACTGAAGTCCTCCACCCCATCTTCCCTCTGCCCTCTCAAATCACATGCATCCTGCCAGGTTTACACGGGCTCCTACTGATAACACTGATACTTAAAGAAAACCCAAGAGAATATCACCTACACCTCAGTCTCCCTACACTGTGTCAAGGATGTCACACTGTCCCCTCCAGAGCTCAACGTCTGGTGTGACCAACCTGGGGGAACAGTGCCTTCTACCACAGGGAACTGGCCCAGGCAACCAGTTCCCCCTGCAGAGCCCTGCTGTGCCCCCAGGAGGGTCCACCCGCCTGGCCAGGGCATTCCCTACCCCGTGCATTTCACCTGGGACTATGCAACTCCAGGCAGTGGCTCCAGTACAGAAATGCAGGAATCATGAAGTGACCCTTTAAGCACACACGTGCGAAGGACAGAAGCCATTGCGACGGTTTATATCTAGGTAGTCCCCCCGCCCACAGCCTTCTGTGCTCACAGGTGTGACTATTTGGAGACAATCTGATCATAGGGATGTGACACTCATAAATACATGGATATGACATTCACGTGATGTTGGGAGGTGAGGCCCTCCCAAGGTGCAGGAGGTGGTCACTGAGGGTGTGGCCTGGAAGGTCCATCTCCCCCTCATTCCTCAATCTCTCTCTGCCTCCTGCTGGCCTTGCCATAGACCGTTTCTCCTCCCCAGGACCCTGGGCTGTGCCAGCCTCCTTTGGAGCCAATCAACTGTGGACTGAAACCTCTCCCTCTTGTGTGCTGTCCTGTGTCTCAGCAAACAAGAATGTGACTAATTAGCCACCAAAGAACAAGCTGAGCTGCCATGCTCCAAAGGTAGGACACCCAGAAGCACGGTGACAAGAGGAGGAGACAGACAGACAGGACAGACTCCTGAGACCTTCCCAGAGCAGGACGCCAGGTGCAGCTGAGCACTGTGTCCCTGGAATCAGTCAGGCATCATCGTGTGCTTTTTAAAGCTAATCTGGGTAGTTTCTGGTCACCTGAAATTACAATCAAAAGATTCTCAAGACACGGCTGAGAGCAACAACTGCTAAAAAGCTACTCTGTTTCTGAATCTTTATAGACCAACCCAGCCACCGCTACACCTGCCAGACCTTTCTAACGCTCCAGCCTTCCCCGGCTACAGATCACGTCTCCCCAGCTGCCCCACCTGGTCACCCCCTACCAGCTGGGTCCCGATGACATCACTCATCTCCAGCAGTGGTGCTGCTAACTGCACACTTGCTGGCCTGGGCTGTACCTGGCGCTTGCGGGGTTTTGTTTCTCCTCGCGGCAGCTGGTTAAGTGCTAAGAGCAGATCCTACGCTCTGCTCATCTCCGAACAGCCAGGAACACAGGGCACCAGGGGGCGCATTGCGGACAGTGACTGCTAATGCCAGGGCTTCAAATATTCTGGGAGCAGGGGGCAAAAGGCCAGGGGCCAGCATACGGCCTGTCACAAACAGCACACCTGGTGGCCATGGTGCACAGGGAACACTCAGTGTGGCTGGCTAGGGCACAATGTCCCACAGGGGCAGCGGCAGGGGCCCCCTTCCCATAGCGGGCTCCCAGCAGGAGAGACTGATGTGGTTTCCTGTGCTTGTCGGGAGCTCTCAGGCAGGGTCAGCTCCCCATTCTGCAGGGGGAAACTGAGGCTAGGGAGTTAATAAGAGCCCGGACAGGGACCAGAACCAGGATCGCTGATTTCGAGTGTCACTGCTTTCCTGCCATGGTGCCGACTGCATTCTCCAGTGGAAGGGGACACTGTCACCTGGAGATGACCTTCAAGTGACCTCTCAAAAAGTGGGAGGTCATCTGCACAATTACATCCTCAGAGGCCACCAGTATTTCCCAGACAGGTCCTGATATCAGGAACAATTTACCAGTAGACAAATTCATCCAACCCTCTCAGTTTGCCGATGGGACAGCTGGGCTTAGAGGGAAGAGGCATGGCGAAGGGCACATCCTGCCCAGCTCTCCCTCTGTGCAATCCCAAACCCCGCTCTGTGTGTCCACTCAGAGAAACAGCTGCTCACGTTCCCGTGCACGAAATGCTCCTGCATCTTTTATTGCCTCAGGATCTTAGCATTTGTGAAATACTGCAGATGAGAGAAAGGAGATCAAGAAAAACCAAGTGACGGCTCGAGGCAGCTGAGCCCTGGGAGCTTCTCCTGTGTCCAGCACCTGGCCCTGACATCGGCAGTCTTGTCCTGGACACACAGCGGTCAGTGACATTGGAATCAATCACTTACTTCAAAAAGATAAAGTGAAATAAAACAGAATTTCCAACTGACCACCACTGCCACACAGCACAGCACAGCACAAGATCACAACCACACCAGCAAAAGACCCGGTCACAGGACTCTCCTGAGACCTGCATTCAAGCCCTGCCTGACACTTCGGTTGTGTGTGCTGAGCGAACAAGTCTGCCCCACTCCACTGCTCCCCTAAACCGGGTGCTTCCTCAGTGTTTGAAAGTTAATGTAGGGGTAGAGCCAGCCCTGCATCCAGGGAAGCTGTGGTTATTGCCAGCGATGCTCTCCTCTCTAGGGCTCAAGCGCTGGGCCCCAGGGCTCCTGTCAGCGAACACCCATCTATGCCTGCATCAATGCAGCCCTGGAACCGCCTGGCATGGGAGGAGTCACGGGAGACTGCTCCACGGACTCTCTGCAGATACATCCGAAAATGGGTGAAGCAGACCATTGTACAGAAAACACATAGTTTACTAAATTTCTTAGAATATTCTGACACTGTATCAGATCAACTTATGCAGCTGAGCAGAGAAAGGGATCAGAAAGTGACCCTCGAGCAAAAGCCCCGACCCAGCTGGTTGTAGGAGGATGTTCCCCAAAGCAGAGCACTGGGGCTTCGGCATCAGCTCTTCCAGGGACAAACAGCAGCTTTGCAGTCTGTGTGTTTTGGAAGCACCTCCCTAAACCTGAAAGTAACAGCCCGAGAAAGAAAACCAAAGACCATCTCATTAATAAATATCAATGCAAAAATACTAGCAAATGGAAATCACAGTCATTAAAATACATTGTGCCCAGATGGATGGGAAGAAGCTTCCACACCCGGGTCATCGGCACCCCGCAAATCTCAGGAGCCGACCTCATGCTCACGGCCAGGGAGAGGGTTATGGGTTTGCCCGTGGGCTCTGGGCCGCACTCCATACTCAACACCCATTCCCAATCCTTTGAAGAACAAAAATGGTATTGATAAGGCGGTTC